ACTCCTTGTCACGTACAACCGGGGATTCGAAACCACGCCAGACAACTCAATGACAGACTTTATGATACAGCGCGCGCACGCTAACCATTCAGCCATCCAACCCCCATAGATTAAAGAAGTTAAAGTAATAATTTTTGAGAGCCAACAAATGTGTCCCTATGCATAGCCTTGCAAAAACATAATGGCAGCTATATTTAAATTTAAAATGAAATGAAATGGGGTATAGTGTCCTACTTTTCTGCTCCGACTGCCTTAATAAATACGAGTAGTGGATATCGGCACTACGGCTTACTTTTATAAGTTATATTGAATTCCAACTGCCAAGGGATATTTTACATGTGTGCCAACGTGTACATGGGACCTTGATTTTTCGTCCCATCTGATCAACTAGACAGCTGTCCTTGTTAGGCCCTCTGTCCTGCACCACTGACATAGGGAAACCACAATGGGAGTGAAACTGCGACCTCCACCAGGCTAACAAGCCAGCCTTCTGTGATCGCGGAAAAAACGCGGAAATCGCGGAATTGTCCACTCAAAACGGAATTTGAGATCTCACACGGAAAAAGACGGAAAAGCCGATATTTGCTGATACTAAACACAAACTAAAAACAATTTTGCAGTTATCCAAGTATTTCATCTTTTTATTCATAAAAATCGGAAATATTGAATGATATCGTGTGGTTTTGTTACTGTCTATTTTAGTATTTAGCTACTTTCATTTCATCATTTAGGAATCATAATTTTACTCGAAATGGAAACCCGTCTTTCATGTATCCCTGTATACAATTACTCTGTAGTTGAACTAAGCCACCGTGGCTCCATTTAAATTTAAAGATAGTCAACAAAATATTTCATTGAATTATCTCTTAAGATGTTTTCGAAATACATAGTCCTTTCCTAGTAATTTGTTTACAATATATGTATAATTAGGCCGACATGACCATGAAAGATATCTATACATACAACATTTCATCCTGTCTTTATCTTGCTAGCCATCAATTAGCAGTTCAAATACAAATTTTGGCTGTTGAATAATTTAAGGGGTCATTCAAATTACCCTTGTATTTGGGAAACAAATTCTTTGTTCCAACCTTCAGCCATAAGTATTTATCCTCTGACCAATAATATATTACCCCAAAACAAAAGAGCAAGAGAAAGAGAGAGAGAAAGAGAGAGAGAAAGAGAGAGAGATGGGGTTTAAGTCACTCAGCACAAACTAGGCCACCTTGGGACTAACATGTGGTTCAATTTTATTTCATATAATACACTTGCACCTATTGGTCTTTAGCTATGGGAGAAAACCAATGAGGTTAGGCGACACTACGGCCTGTCAAGTACATGCCGGGAAATTGTAACCAGGCCACTTGACTAAATGACAGACCTAATGATCTAAGACGCACCAATAAATTATTGAGATTGGCAATGTTTAAATGACAATAGTAGTTAGTACCTACCCACTTCTATGCTCGAAGGGGGATTACGGTGGCTAAATGGGTAAGACGCTGGATCGCTAGCCTGGAGGTCGGGTGTTTGATCCCTGCATTGGCCGAGAAAGTTCATCCAGATTTTCTGGCGTGGTTCTCCTTTGTCAGTGATGCAGGATGGAGGGCCTGACAAGGACAGCTGTCTAGTCATTTGGATGGGACGAAAAACCGAGGTCCCGTGTACACATTAGCATGCACGTAAAAGATCCCTTGACAGTTAGAATTCGATATAAGTGTAGGCCGTAGTGCCGCTGTCCGGGCAAAATTTCCCTCATATCACACTGTAGGGCGTATGCCCGTCTTCCTTAGCCCAATTCGGAGCAGAACAGTAGGAAGTTAAACACCATTTCATTCATTCATTCTATGCTCAAATACAACAAAAATGTGTTAGCTATGTGAACTGCAAATGGGAAGTTCAATTCATAAAACAGTTATATTTTCTTGCACACACTAGTACTTACCAAGCTCAATTCATACAATATTTCTATTTTCTAGGCATATGCTTCTAACTTGCAATCTGTAGATAAACAGTATTATTTTATAATAATAGTAATTGTTTGTAATCTACATTTAAAAACGTGCAAAAAATTCCAAAGTATTGCCCAGAAACATATAATTTTGAATTTTATCCCTTTTCTTTAGAAGAATAAACATCCATAAAACTACATCTACTATCTTTGCGTTGTTATCAAAGAAACTGCAAAATTCCTACAAGTTAAGTAATTTTAATGTCACGCTATAATAGTTAAAAAATAGATTAAATGACAAGAGAATATGCTGAAGCTTTCAGTCAAATTACTTCATTCTGAGCCTAGTTAGCAACTCATTTATAGGCTAGCCTTGATCGCCATTACTGGTACTACCGTTGTTACAATAATAAACAAGGTCTCGATTATCCATTTTTATGGTCAGCGCATCCACCAGAAAATGTATTTGAATCCACTAAATATTGCAGACATCTGATGGCATTGAGAGTTAATTATGGTCTTGATAAGTTAACTAATGTCTAATTAATAATTTAGATAACATTTAAGGTCTAAAGAAAGACCTACAATAGGAAAATTGAGTTCATGCATAATGCATGATCAGATAAAACTAGCCAGCGTAATCAATCAAATGGTGCATATAATTTAATATTTTGTCTCTGAGGGAAGATAAACAATATAGCATTAACAATGTGTCTTTTTTACGTCTGCTTTTGAAAGGTGTCTTGTTTCTAAGCATACAAAAAACAAACAAAAATTGAAATAGTTTTGAAAATCCAACATCTATCTGAAGTTCCAGTTGTTCAACTTCAAATATGATATTATGATAGCACATGATATATAGATGTACTGAGTTTACATTTAAAGTTTAAATTTCAGCATTGTCTGGGACTGCACTGGTTGTTTAAAATACAAGACTGAAGTCAACAATCAGAATAAAATAACCGATTCAGAAAATTGTAAAATTATCCTTGCTCACACTGAAGACATTATTAATCCAATATATAAAACAACAGTGTGTATTACAAAATAAAAACTGTTCTTGTGGTTAAGTGTTGCTAAGAGTAGACTTTAAAAAGACATTCAACTCATCAGCATAATCACAATTAACCCATTGTTGTACATCATGTATGATGTATGCAATCTATAGACCAAATCCTACGTAAGCTTACTGTTTTGTATAAACTCATCCCACCTATGTTGTATTGGTCCTGATGTGCACAGAACCGTAACATGAAAGATATGTTTTTAAATGTACAAATGTACTACATTAAATTTGTAGTAGGCTGAAATAACACAAGCTTATGTTCCATAAGTCAAGGATAATGTTGAACTTAATGTATGTATTATTATAACATGCAGAAAAATTAATAATATTATTATCCACAATAAATAAGATATTTCTATACTTTGATTTGTAACTCTTACTAAGTCTACTTAAGTCTAGTTGGCATCCCTTGATATATTCTATTATTTCCAGGAGTAATTTGTCTAAAGCATAAAGGACTAGGCATTAAACAAGCCTGGACATATTTTAAAGGCACGCAGGTCTGTCACAGTGTCAGACACAAATTAGTACACAACATATATTCAAGGCATATACGCTGTGATAATTTGTCCTTGACAAAGTCTGTGACAGGTGCCTTATGCCAAGACTCCTAGTTAAATGTACACTAGTTCAGCTCCGAATGTAGGTCTCATTACACTTGCCCTAAACTTTCAGGAACTGCCCTACTGAATCCTTGTCAAAAAAGTTTCGAACCCCAGTCAATTTTGCTGTGCAACTTTTTAATGCTAAACAGTTGTGTGTCAGTCCCTGTGAACGCCTGCACAGTATAAAGGAACATTTTAGTGAGAAAATAAGACCTTGCTTACCTCGCTAGAGTCAGTGTATGCGACACAACATGCTGTTAAAAATATGTCCCCTTCTCCTGCTAAACAGCTTGGCAGAAGCCATTGAAATCTAAATATAGGGTAACGTACAAATTTACGTAACTTGGCCATATATGACATAAGACGAAACGAAATTTAGCAGGAGGGGATGTATTTTTAACAGCATGTATAGTGTCCTTAATATCAGATCACTCTCCTTAATTTCTAAATCACTCTTCTTATTCTTATCGAAACTGGGAGAGCGATTTTTTCAATTTGTTCATTAAGGGGGGCTTTTTTTCGGTTCTCCTCTAAAATACCAAAAAAACAACGACAGCCATAGACACAAAGCAATCTCTTTTTTTGCAAATTAACATAAACATGTATGTATTACAATCACAATGAAGTGCACTCCCATTTCTCCCTTGATAGAAATTGGTTCTTAATACCAGACAAGCTATCTCTATAGAGCTAGGCTTAGAACAAAAGATATCTGCTGAGTAACATTTTTTAAACATGTGACAGTTATGTCACAATGTGTGTCTGGCAGTAATAAAAGTTTTTGACGATATGCCACATTTAGCCTACATTTATCTGTTTATCCATTTTTTAAGAAGAAGCTATTTACAGCTTGATATGTTTACAGACACTGTTGTATTTTTAAAAATGTAATACACTAATACTAATACAGAACAGAAGATTCTATTAGGCAAGCTGTCAATCATGACGGTGTATTACTCATCATTCACAAAGCCAACATATCAAAATACAAGTGCGTCAGTTATATCTCACGAAGCGGCAGTGTGTAATTATAACTCAAATAACCATTCCTTACATTGTAGTTCAAAATGTCATTTAAAACAGCAGACGTCGTCAATGAACACGTCTGATGATTATTGGCAATCATAATCAGCTATCAGAAAGTAAATAAAAGGCAGAGTAGAAAAATAAAATGCCCGGATGTACTTTCCATTACATCAAAGCGATGCAACGTTTCATTAATGCCAACGTGCTAAATCAAAGTTAAAATGTGCTAAATGGTCAAAGTTAACTATGAGGCGAACAAAAGAGTCATTATTATATGATATACATAAGTAGTTACCATTAATTACCGATCATTCCATCTGACAAACTTCCCGGAAGCGACAAAACTTTAATATCTTTATTTTGTTGCGCATGCGCTGTTTTCGTATCCTGTAGCACCTGACAAATTCTCTTTCCCTGTTGATCATCGAATTATTGCACAGTATAAAAGCAATATTAGTCTCACAGAAACAATGGTAAAAGCATTATGAATGATAAGATTATAGAAACTTTAATTCCGATGAAAAAAAGAATAGTTCTGTTGTATTATATTGAACAGAAATGGTTTACTTCTGTAACGCAAAGAGATCAGTGGCCGATGAGTATGGCTAAAATAGCCCATGTTAAATGTCGGTAGCTGTCGCATTAATAAGACCTTCACTTGTTGACTTGCGCTCTTGATTTGACGCTTTCTGTCATGACATTCATTATTTAATCTTCTTTATAATCACTTACTGAGTTGTGAAAACTTTGAAAATAGATTTACTTATTCAAATTAATAAGACTTGATGTTACACTAACACAGTACAGCCAATTGATTATGTTTAATTAATGACATTGGCAAACATCTATTCTTCTATGATCTAATAAACAAATGTGATCTGATTGGGAGCATGGCTGATTTGTGACCACACATTTTTCTAGCTCATTGGAAGATTTGGGACCACTATATGGTTTAGCTGCAATATTGTATCCACGTCCAGTCTTGTCCGCATCTACAAATAAATTGACACACTTTTCTGAGGCTTTGCGCAAGTAAAAATAGGTTCAGTTGCAAAATTTTCAACACATATAATCAGGGTTAGCATAGAAATAAGTAACAAATCTTTAAATGACATCTAGAAGCACGGTTAACTATTCATAACGTCGTTATTAAATAATAGAGAAGTCGTTACATCCATATATAACTTGTGTTGTGTTTTATGAATAGAAATAAGTAATTCTATGTTACAAATAGTGAAGAGTGTAACACTGAAATCTTAATCTTATCTTATCAAACAGTCTTTTTGTATTTAGGAGGTGACGTGAAATCATGTGAGTGTTCTAATTCAGGTTCGGTGGCCATTTTAAAAATGGACAGAAATTTCGTGTAGCTGTTGGATTTTATCAAATCATATAATTAGGCGGTATGGTTTCACCTTTATTTCAATGGGAATTGGTTTATTATATGTCATCAAATTATGACAAAACCTGCTCAAAGGAAGTCTTCAGAAACATCCACTAGTGGCTGGAGCAAGACATCACTACAGTAGTAGAACCATTTCTATATTTGGTCGACAGTCGTTATTGGGATTCAGTGATAAATAAATCCCCTAAAATCTGAGATTTTAAACATTTATCTAAGAAAAGGTATCTGTACTTTTATTCACACAAAGTTACATTTTGGTAAGCCACACAAATCGATGTAGGCCTAGTAGTTCATTTTACTATAAATATTAGTAACACATGCAGTGGAATATTAACCCCATGTGTATTATTAAGTAAATAAATGATGTGTACAAAAGCAATAAAAATATAAACTTTGCCTAAAAAAGAAATTTACTCAAATCTTATGAACATAATTGTTACATCAATTACTTTAAATGGGTATTTCCAGCTACTATAGCCAGGTGTTGGGTATTTTGTATGATCATTGTTTGTTGGTTTATTATTTATTAATTAACAAATGTGTAAAGAGGTGTGATTTAATTACGGCTGGGGCTATTTGCCACATGTGGTAAGACAATCCGGAGACTATTTGCCACATGTGGCAAGTCCCCATACCGCAATTAACAACCGATTTCAATGAAACTTACAGATAACGATAACATTAATAATATCTCTGCGTGGGTAAAATTTCGACCACTTCCGGTTAGCGGTTTCGGAAATATCAGGTTACCACACATTTCATGTGGCACGGCTACAGACCACAATTATCAACCGATTTCAATGAAACTTTCAGATTATAATTACTTTAATAATATCTCAGAGTAGCCAAAATTTTAACCAGTTTCGGTTAGCGGTTTCCGAGATATCAGGTTACCACACATTTCATGTGGCACGACTACAGACCACAATTATCAACCGATTTCAATGAAACTTGCAGATTATAATTACATTAATAATATCTCAGAGTAGCCAAAATTTCGGCCATTTCCGGTTACCGGTTTCCGAGATATCAGGTTACCACACATTTCATGTGGCACGGCTACAGACCACAATTATCAACCGATTTCAATGAAACTTGCAGATTATAATTACTTTCATAATATCTCAGAGTAGCCAAAATTTCGCCAACTTCTGAGATATTATTAAAGTAATTATAATCTGCAAGTTTCATTGAAATGGGTTGATAATTGTGGTCTGTAGCCGTGCCACATGAAATATGTGGTAACCTGAAATCTCGGAAACCGCTAATCGGAAGTGGCCGAAATTTTGGCTACTCTTAGATATTATGAATGTTGTCATATTCTGTAAGTTTCATGGAAATCGGTTGATAATTGTGGTCTGTAGCCGTGCCACATGAAATGTGTGGTAACCTGATATCTCGGTAACCGGAAGCGGCCGAAATTTTGCCTACTCTGAGATATTATTAAAGTAATTATAATCTGCAAGTTTCATTGAAATAGGTTGATAATTGTGGTCTGTAGCCGTGCCACATGAAATGTGTGGTAACCTGATATCTCGGAAACCGCTAACCGGAAGTGGCCGAAAGTTTGGCTACTCTGAGATATTATTAAAGTAATTATAATCTGCAAGTTTCATTGAAATGGGTTGATAATTGTGGTCTGTAGCCGTGCCACATGAAATGTGTGGTAACCTGATATCTCGGAAACCGCTAACCGGAAGTGGCCGAAATTTTGGCTACTCTTAGATATTATGAATGTTGTCATATTCTGTAAGTTTCATGGAAATCGGTTAATAATTGTAGTCTGTAGCCGTGCCTAATATCTCGGAAACCGCTAACCGGAAGTGGCCGAAATTTTGCCTACTCTGAGATATTTGTGGTCTGTAGCCGTGCCACATGAAATGTGTGGTAACCTGATATCTCGGAAACCGCTAACCGGAAGTGGTCGAAATTTTGCCTACTCTGAGATATTATTAATGTTATCATATTTTGTAAATTTCATGGAAATCGGTTGATAATTGTGGTCTGTAGCCGTGCCACATGAAATGTGTGGTAACCTGATATCTCGGAAACTGCTAACCGGAAGTGGCCGAAATTTTGGCCACTCTGAGATATTATTAATTTTATCATATTCTGTAAGTGTCATGGATATCGGTTCATAATTGTGGTCTGTAGCCGTGCCACATGAAATGTGTGGTAACCCCCATATCTCGGAAGTGGCCGAAAGTTTTGTCACTCAGAGATGTTATCAATGTTATCATAATCTGTAAGTTTCATTAAAATCGGGTAACAATTGCGGTCTGTAGTCGTAAGGCTATATTGAAATTCTTGCTTACCACATGTGGCAAATAGCCACTGCCTTTAATTACATGTAACAAAGCTCCTGTGTATAACTGTATACCATTATTACTACTTAAGGTATTTTCATCATGTGACATTTTTAACTACAGGGCCATACATGTAACTTTTTAATCTTTGTGATTGTCAATTTTTCTGATTTTTTGAATATATGCATACACATTTTAAATTTTCTTGTCATGGTCATAATGGCTCCAATCCGCTGTAGTTCCTTCAGGAACTGTCTCTGATCAGACAATGTCCGCTGACAGTTCCTATCGCTTTCTATATAGCTGCAATATGAAAATACCGCTCATCTCCACCTCCGGTCTAAGGCTATTTTGGGATCCTTGCCGACTATTTTTCACCCTGATTCTTCTTTGTTTGCCAAAGGAATCATTTCTTGCCACAGCCGACACTTGAACATAGTGTTGAACTATTATAAATTTGTGTCAGAAATGACGAGAAATGATTCCTTTTGCAAAAAATAAACATTCACGGTGAAAAATAGAAGGTAAGGGTTCCAAAATAGAAGCTATATACATGTAGAGAGTGATAGGAACTGACAGCAGACATCATCCGATCAGAGACAGTTCCCAAAGGAACTAAATCCGCGGTGTTATGGTCACAAGAAATCAATACATTAAACGTATCCAGACAGACGATTTTTGACCAAAGTCAAAGAGAGAAGCAGACAATGTCATGTTGATTACCTGTGTTGCCACTACACATAACCTTAGCTAATTAATGTGAGTCAAGCAAAAAGACCACAAGTACTAATGATTAATGACTCAATCTATTATTATTACTAAATTTCTATAGGTATCTTTTTTCATACTTGACGACTCTTCAGTAACTACCCCGTCACTGTTAATTATCCATTATGAAATGCATCACATATATTATCCATAGAGTATCAGAATAAAAACATCTCTGTTTCTTCGACATTGGCAAATATACAAATCTACTCACTATCCGTCAGAGGTAAATTCTACATGTATTTGTCGGCGACAAACAGACCAGCAAAGATTTCGAGCCCTGTTTCTTGTATCAAAAGATATCAACATTTCAAACCAAATACGAAATTTAAATGAATACTAGTAATCGGCTTAATCCTACTTAACGAAAATTTAAACATATGGAGTCTGATCAATTGAGTTGCATTGTGAATTATTCCCCGGTTGTACGTGACAAGGAGTAGGGTTGCTTGTTCAACTTCGTGGGTTTTCTTCAGGTCCTTCGGTTTCGTTCCACTTCTAAAGCGCAAGTGAATTATGGAAATAAATTTGAACCATATGTTAGTCCTGGAATGACCAAATTTGTGTTGAGTGACGTTAAACCCCGTTTCTTTCTCTACACTGTGAATTATAATTAGTAGGATGAAATTACCCAGACAACCAATCAATTCAAGTTACATGTAGCATTATATTTTAGCCTAAATTAGTAAGTAATTATTTTATGTGTTAGTGAGGTCTTTATATATTTACAGAAACTTTTGAATCATTTATTTTTTATTGTAAAAATTTCTAATTAGGACATTTTCGTTTTTCAGAATTTGCCTTGATATGTAAAACTGTGTCCTTCAAGGACAGGGGCACACAAGAATAGTACTGTTGCCATGGCTTCACAAGTGGCAATGCGGTCAGAAAGCACTAGCAGTACATCATCAACTACAACCACTAAAAAGACTCCAAATGACTTTCTGTTTGGTCGTCAGCTTGGAGAAGGATCCTTTTCAACTGTAAGTGCTAACTAGCATATTTTTTTTCTGAAAACTACACTATGTACATGATATTCAAAGTTAATAGCAGTTTTTTGGTACCAGTACACATCTTTTGCGTTTATCAAGCAATATCTAATTTTACACAGCATAGTCCATGTTTTATCCTTAAAGACACCTTCCCGGGTACAAACTGGGTCATTTGATGATATATTTAGACTAAAAACATATTCAAACTAATTAATCTATCCAAAAAAATTTTCAATTCCCTCTCAAAACACTGTATTCGCAAGGAAATATCCCATGCTATAAAAATCTATTATCAGAGGTCATGTTTGTGTCACGTGACTTGGCTGTCATGGTAACTAGCAGGACTGCCGACAACCAGTATCGCAGCGCAATTTGCAATACATATTTTGTCCGTTGCTAATCAAAAATTAAAATCTTAACGTTTTTGATTATTAATATGCCTGTCATTTTGGATATTGACACGAAGATTTATCCACATTTCTCAACACTTGCAACGTGTATAAAATATCAAATACATTTTATAAACAAAACTGAATTCTCCGTGTGACATTTTTTTCCCCAAACTACCCAGACTCAAATTCATTATACTATATAATACAGGGACATAACTCTATGAATTGGGACTATTAAACCGGAAATAGGGAATCAAGTAGTACCACTCATGTTGCGAGACATATCAATTTTGAGTAATTATATCAGTATTCAGTGTATCCCCCACGTATTGTAAATAAAATATAAAAAATAAATACGTGCAAACTGCGAATCATTAATATGCCTGTCATTTTGGATATTGACACGAAGATTTATCCACATTTCTCAACACTTGCAACGTGTATAAAATATCAAATACATTTTATAAACAAAACTGAATTCTCCGTGTGACATTTTTTTCTCAAACTACCCAGACTCAATTCATTATACTATATAATACAGGGACATAACTCTATGAATTGGGACTATTAAACCGGAAATAGGGAATCAAGTAGTACCACTCATGTTGCGAGAAATATCAATTTCGAGTAATTATATCAGTATTCAGTGCATCCCCCACGTATTGTAAATAAAATATAAAAAATAAATACGTGCAAACTTATTGTAAAATGAGATAACAAAGTAAGAATTCCCGTAAAATATTATTGTTTATATTAAAATGAGTGGGACTTCGGAAGCCGCTGCCAAGAATTGGCTTCAGACATAAGGCCTAACCAAAAGTCTACATTCAGAAATGTTCACAGTTACCTGTAGCAGTGCTAAAATTCTAAAAAATCTTAAAAATGAAATCTAATCATTTGTTATAAATTAAAATAATCTTGTTATTTAGGTGTTCTATGTTGAAACTGAAAAACTGCTAATCAATTTTTAAATTTGCTAATCAAATTTGGCAAAATTGGACTTTTTGATTAGCAGTGCTGCTAATCATCTGTGAAAAATTACCGACAGCCCTGGTAACTAGCTACAAGTGCGAAGCCTGAGAATTCACTGCATATTATAAAAGACAATGTTGTCTTTAATTGCTGTCCATTTATCATAAATATTGTAGCGTCAGTAAATTCTCGGATGATCCCCTGCCGTAGAAACTGTTGTATGTTTTTAGGTATCTCACTTTTTCCACGTCTGCTGGCTAGTAAGTTTATCAACATATACATCAAGCGCGCCCTAATGCCAAGATGCCAGACAATCTACGTGTGCAAACTTTGACGTAACTTGAACAGACGGCCTTTAATCGTCAGACTGCCAATTAATGACACCCTCTCATATTTGTCCAGTGTGCACTCCATGGGTGTTTTTCAAGGAATCCATTATTTTTCTTGTAAGATAGGGTGTATCTTTCCATATACACCAAAATTGCTATAGTTTTATTGGAAATAGCCACCTGATAAATACTTTTATGGGAAAGTATCTTTAAATTAGTAAAACAAAGCCGAAATATCAATGCTCTCTTTTTGGATGGAATCCAATTAAAAGAGGTGCAAAAAAAGATTTTACCCAACACTTTTATAACACGCTGGATTATTTATGCTGAATATCGCAAAATGTTTATATCATTGTATCTTTGCAAATAGTGAACAAAATTGAACCATTGTTGTATTGAAATTCTTTTAAAATCAAGCTTTACAATATTGTAGTTTGCAATGGATTTAAAGTCTCACAAATGACGATCTTCGACTTTAAAAGAATGTTTTATCAGGTGATATTTTTGTACTAGGAGATCTTAATTTATTATTGTAGGTATACTTGGCTAAGGAATTGGAAACGGGGAAAGAATATGCAAGTATGTAAAATAATTTAGTAGTCTTCCTATAATAGTTCTTTATTGGCATTTAGTGATTGGAAACATAACAAAACTGACACAGTTACATGTATATGGGACAACAATCACTGGTTTATTATACACAGGAACGATGTTTCGATAAGTATCCTCTTATCATTATCCAGCACAATGACATTTAGAGGATACTAATGTGTTTAATAAACCAGTGATTGTTGCCCCAGGCAAACACAGAATTTGGGAGAGTGAGTTTACATTACATATAAAAATATATCATATTTAAAAGATTTGATGAGTATTTACAGAGAAATTTAAATGCTTTAGATAGGCAGTAATTGTTATTTTTTTTTGCACAGATCATAAGGTCAGTCATTGAGTTAAGTGGTGTGGTTTCGATTCCCAGCTTGTACGTGACAAGGAGTAGAGTTGCCTGTCCAACCTCCTTGCTTTTCGCTGTATTCCTCCCAATGCTAAAACAAATTATTGAAATAAAATTGAACCATGTATTAGTCCCAAAATGACCTAGTTCATGTTGAGTGGCCTTTAAACCCTATTTATCCCTCTCTCTCACTCGCTTTTCAAGATTTAGCTGTCATTTCAAATTTATCCTTGATAATTATAACAAATACATTGCCATAAAAATAGTTCATTGTCTGGAAAATATTTTGTCCAGAGACATACTTAAGCTTCTGTTTATTAGTATTTTCCTGTTTGCTATTTTTCAGTTAAAGTTTTAGAGAAAAATCATATAATAAGAGAGAGAAAGAGTGGCTATGTTATGAGAGAAAAGTCGGTACTTTTAAAATTAAACCACCCTTTTTTTATTCGACTGTATTGTACTTTCCAAGATGCAGACAGATTATGTATCCTTGTTATAATATGGTCAGTTGCCAGCATTTGATAATCTTTTATACTACAGTATATTATAATGCACCTGGGAGCCAAGGTGGCTATGATAATGGCTTCACTCCCGGTGTTGGCTGAGAAAGTTCATTGGGATTTTCCAACGTGGTTTCTCATGTCAGTGATGCAGTACGGTGGGCCTGACAAGGACAACTGTCTAGGTACATGGTATAATAATAATAATAATTTTTTCTTATATAGGGCATTACAATATACAAATATCTCAATGCACTTTGCAATGTTGTGGGTAGAAGTTGAAGTAAATTATTTCAACGTTGCTAAGCATTTAAAAATTGATGGTAATACTCTTTAAATAAAAACGTTTTTTAACGATGATTTAAAGGACTCATATTTTTCTTTCAATATTTCTAATTGTAACAGGTAAATCATTCAAAGCCTTTGGTGCGTGTGCATAAATGCTCTATCCCCATATGTTTTGTTGGACTTCATAGTTGGCAAGTTGAGTCTGATAACTTCTAATGACCTTGTTAAACGTTACAGTGTTTGGATACAAATAAGTTCTTTTAAATACACAAGAGCGGAAGGGTCGAAAGTTGGTGTACACGTGAGAGATCCCCTGGCAGTTGAAATTTAATGTAAGAGTAGGCCTTAGTGCCACTGTCCAGGCAAAATTTCCCTTGTTGAAGTCTGGTTATATTAAAGTCAACAAGGACAAAACTCGATCAGACAAAACTCCACAAGGGCAAAACTCCATCAGACAAAATCCCACAAGGAAAAACTCCACCAGACAAAACCCCACAAGGAAAAACTCCACCAGACAAAACTCCAAAAGGGCAAAACTTCATCAGACAGACACAGAGCTCCATTAGACAAAACCACACAAAACAAAAGTCCATCAGACAAACCTCATAAGGACAAAACCCGATAACAGAAAGTCCTGAAATGACTTATTGTGTTGAATTGATGTTAAACCATATTTACTTCTTTAACTAAATAAATAGATTTTGTTATGAACTATGCTAGTAGAGGAGAGTTATTAGATTATTTGAATAAGTTAGCATGTTTTGATGATCGGTGTTCTAGTTTTTATGCAGCTGAAATTGTTTTAGCTTTAGAATATCTACATGGTTTAGGGATTATACATAGGTAAGTTCTTCATAAGAAGTTTTATTAGAATATAATTGCTATTATAAAACTATTTATAAAATCCCAGCTAACTATTACAGGAGAATATAAACTATTTTGGTTATACTGTTCATATATTAAAATATATGTCCTTTTTTGTATACTAATACAACTATTTCACATTTCCATACAATTACAAAAGTTGTGAATCTTTAAAATCAATATATTTTTTAATATTAAAATCGTATAGGAGTCAAAAATTTGATCAAATTTTATTAGTTTCGGTTGATGTTGTATTATGAAGACTATATAATCGCTTTGAAAAACCTCAAAATACTATTCAATTGTGAATATGTTTTTGATCACTAATTTTATAACTCTTCTTTATTACTTGATTTCACATACATGTAAATATTGAACAGACCAAAACAGTCCGAAACTGCTGTTCCTTAGATTGCCTAAAACCATCTGAGACATGTGAACAGCTTAACACATTATTGGACCATTTACTAATTGGTGCAGGCACCACAGTTGTGCACATGACTGGGCAGTTTCAGACAGTTTAAAGAACCCTAGCTAGTGCAATTTGGGTGGTCTAAGGGCTAAAGGGTTAACAGCCTTTGTGTAGTATATCCCTAATATACAAAAAAGTCTCAGTGCTTGATGCCACTAGTGCTGTTTAACCGAAATGTTAAACATGTGATTGTAAATATTTATTTGTTTTGTAGAGATTTAAAACCAGAGAATATTCTGCTCAATGAGAAGATGCATATTCAAATTACAGACTTTGGTTCTGCTAAAATATTAGAAGATAGTGATAGTAATGGTAAAGTTGGTTATATTTGTATTTAAATTATAGATTAATATTTGCAGGTTATATATTTTCTGTTCAAATTACTTATATAATGTATAATTTATAGATATGTTATAGATAATCTGTACACATTCTTAATGGCTCTAATATTAACAAACAACAAATATACAATATATACATATTTATTATCAGTTTTATTTATATATATACAGTCTATAAACATTTGTTATTAGCTTTATTGATAAATATACAACCTATACACATTTATTATCAGGTTTATTTGCACATGTACAATCTATACACATTTATAAACAGCTCTAAACACAAACAATATATACATAATCTATACTGCTCAAATTAACATGAAACAGATATACAATTTATACATGTTTCTATAAGCTTACAGCTGGAATACACAAACAGATGCATACATAATCTATACACATTTATTAACTGCTGAAATAAACAGGAAACAGTTATAGTCCTATACACATTCTATACACATTTTCTAAACAGCAGTAATACACAAACAGATACATACACATTCTATACAGATTTATTAACAACTCAAATAGACAACCAACAGATACAATTAGCAACTTTAAGGTTTAATTTCTATTTTATTTTATTTGTAGCTTTAGATAATGCTACTCCAGATTCTGGAAGAAGAAATTCTTTTGTTGGTACAGCACAATATGTTTCACCTGAAGTTCTCGGTAGTAAAAATGCTTACTACAGGTACTTATATACACTATGTTAATTTAATAAAGTAAATAGTGAACAGCATTAGTAGATGTTGAGATGAGCATGAGAAATGTCTGAGAACAGAAAAGAAATGAAATGAAATGGGGTTTAACGTCCTACTGTTCTGCTCCAACTAGGCTAATGTCATGATATTTATCCAAAAATTGGCCGTTGAAATTTGAAGAAGTGCAGGTAAAAGTAACATTTGCTAGGCAGAATTATCTCCTCCTCATATTGCAAACAGAGAAAATAATAAAGTAATGTTTATTTTGATTTCAAAATGACCAGCTTTTGTGCAAACTCCATTTCTTAGGATACCAGAACATGCACAGGTTCTATGCACAGGTTCTTTTTGAATCCAGGATAAAATTATTTATTTATAGGGGTTTCATTCATATCTTTCATATTATGGAGAGGACTTTGCGTATATTTATGGGGTTTTGTCTGCTCTCAATTAAGTAAATCCATGTCTTGTCACATCCTTTAAATTTCTCTTCGTGTGAAAATATTTAGTAAATTACTAGTGAGAAGAAAGCTACTAGATTAGATTTGAGCTATAATGTTTATCTATTTTTCAGTTCTGATCTATGGGCTCTTGGTTGTATTATATATCAGTTTTTATCAGGTTTACCACCATTTCGTGGAGGGTAAGTTAAAGATTTTAACTAAGAACATAATATTAAGAAAAAGTTGAATGTCACTGTTTACTCTGATGACTTCAGATTATAACCAATGTTTCCTCTAAAATCTAATTGTTAGTAGTCATTGTATGCAAATTTTAGTGCTGTCATGATAGTATATGTGTGCAAGATATTTGTACAAATGCCAGCTTGAAATCATTTCAAGATAATTTTGGCACAGCCCATCTCACATGCCTAATAAAACTGTATATGGCATTTCTAAGTGATATGGCGCTATCTGACAACCAGAATATTTATTTCTATAAGGCCTAAAATTAGGGCTGTTCGATATTCTCGATATAGTCATTTATCGCGATATGGTATTTTCAGACCCAACTACGATATCATGTGGCCAAATATCGTTGATATAGTGGTTTATCGAATATCGCCAAAAACTTCAAATATCGAAAAAAATTATCATAAAAATAGATAATAAATACACTATACAGCAGTTGAAATTAGCCGACTGCAATAAACTATAATAAAACTAATGTTTTGAGAATCGTTAAATGTCGAAAACACTTGCGCAGTGTCCGCAGCCATTTTTCACTGCATCGTGTATGCGTTACCTTTACTTTGTTTTTAGTCGACAATAAATTGTCAGTTGTTACTACATGTAAAGCTTTGGCCTACTAAACGCCTGAAATTTCCCACTACCGCAGCTAATTACCAGGCTATAAATAGGTTGTCATATTTTTAAAAAACGAATCTTTTTAGAAAACTCTACGAAACTTAATATCTGAAAGCAAGAATAAAACGATCTATAAATAGATTACTGTCCCTGTTAGGCCAGGAATACCGCAGCCAATCAAATGCTTGAATGGAAGATAGTCCGGATCATTTAGTATTTGTTAAACTGTTTGAACTTACAATACAAGACATGAAGACCGCATCTACTTACTTCCACTGCACGGGATATTTGAGAATTTTCTTACACAAGGTCACAAGCAGACGCTTTTTAAACATCAGCGGTTGTATTTAATTTTTATCCAAAAAGGATGTTGTTTTGTTCATTTTAATAAATCTATATTATAAAAAAGCAAAGTTTAAAGTGTATGAATAAAGCAATTATTACCCACAATTCTTATGCATTTAATGCATTTATATTTAATTTATTTAATAGCAAAGTGACATTATTATTAAATATCGCGATATTTAACTATATCGTTGAAAAGAAATGCCAATATCGATATCGTCCCTTTTTGCAATATCGTACAGCCCTACCTAAAATATGTGTATAAAGTTAAAGATACATAATGGAAGATTAGAAAAGAGCTGACAGTTCTCATTATAATAGTTAAAAACTAGATAATGTATCAGGAATATTCAGAAATTTCAGCCAAATTACTTCACTCTAAGCCAAGAAATTTCAGCCAAATTACTTCACTCTAAGCCAAGAAATTTCTTGCCCTTGTCTCAAAAATAAAAAAAACCTCTTGATTATCCATTTTTGCATTTAATCATCAGTGGCTGTTGAATGGTAGATCGGATTCAAATCTAATGAAAATCGTAAGCATCTTTTGGCATCAAGAGTTGATTATGGTCTTGTCTTGTTAATTAATGTCTAATTAATACTTAAGAAAAAATTTCAGGCCTAAAGAAAGACCCGCAATAGGCATATTTAGCTCTTCATAATGTATGTTTAAGTTTCTTTGTGGACTTGTTGTTAAATGTAGATCTTGTAATTTTTGATATGTTTATAATCTTTTTAGCCATGAATACCAAATATTCCAGAAAATCAGTAAACTTGATTATGATTTTCCAGAAGGTTTTAATCCAGTTGCTAAGGATCTTGTATCAAAGTTATTAGTAAGTAGATTTTTTATTCAAAAATGTAGTGTAATAGTGCAAAAATAGTTAAAGCTGATGATTGTCATTTGATTATTTAATATTTAATTAAGAAAAGAAAACCAAAATATCAAATGTTAAACGATCTGCCGAATTGGATTAAATTGGATTAAAAAGAACCCCATCAAAATATTTTATCTGACACTTACAGTTGGTACTGTCTTGTTTTTATTGCCTGCAAAGAATGCTAACTATTTCATTTCATCATATCTTTGTAAATACTGAACAGAATTGAACCATAACTGGACGTATTCCTTTATTTGATATTTTTTTCATATTGGAACCTAAATATTTTAAATTTTGTAAAATTAATTTTAGGTGATTGATCCTACACAGAGGTTGGGCTGTCAAGATATGGGAGGCTACAACCCATTAAAGAACCATGAATTTTTTCGATCCATTGATTGGGAAAACTTGCCAGAAACAGAACCTCCTACCTTACTACCATTTTTACCAGCAGCTCATGGTAACCCTGATTTATGGAGTAATAAAGTGGTAAGTCTGTTTGTACTACTATTAGATGGAGCTAGAAATCATTCTTATCCCTGATACTCATACATTACTACGTAAATTTCATTTCTTATTTCTGTTACTGTAAACTATGCAAGTTATAGTTTGGTCCTTGGTTTATACGTAACAAGGAGTAAAGCTTTCTGTCTAATCTCAAAGATTTATTCACACATTGAAACGATGTTGGACTCTAACACTAAAAAGATTGAGTTTTGATACAGAGTCACTTAGTAAACAATAACTGACTCCGTTTTATGAATCCATACTGTGTATTTCCATTAGCCTTACTAAGTTTTATATGGTGCATTATTTGGGTAATTGCAAGTTTTGATAAGACAAAAATACATAGTTTTGGAAATAATCGGTACTTACAGACAATTATTGAGAGAAAATTAAAGATAGATATTTAATCTATAGAGTAATTATTTCTGTCTGTGTATTTATAGCCAGGGTTTGATGCTAAACGAATGGTAGAATTCATCACTACTAATCTAACCGAGTAAGTAATAACATTCCAGCTTTTCATATTTCTCTAACTAGTTCATAACACCAGCCCTTGACAATTGAAAGGTGAAAATACTGCCATCTGGGCAACTTTCTCCTCCTTAAAAGTGCACATGGAATTGAAAGAAATTCTGTTGTCCAAGCAATATTTTCTCCCTTGCTTTGTTCATTAAGTCATAGCAAAAACTAGTTCTATAACACCCCAATGGTTTGCACCAAGATTTGAGAAGTTAAGAGTCATGAACAGCTGATTCTGGTCATAAATGGTTGATTATGGTTATGAATGGTTGATTAAGGTGACAAACGAACTGTACACTAGAAGAGGAGGGGGGTTGGATACGATGGCCGAATGTTTAGTACATGCGTGCTGTATCATAAGGTCTATCAATAGTATCATTGAGTCAACTGGCGTGGTTTTGATTCCCCGGTTGTAAGCTACGAGGAGTAGGGTCGCCTGTCCAACCTTCCTCAAAAATGACCTAGTTTGTGTTGGTGGACTTTAACCCCATTTCTTTCTCTATCTCTCTCTCTCACTAGAAGAGGAGATAAAAAGAAGAAAGAACAGAACAGGAGTGGCCATTAGACCCTGTATGGTTAAACACCATTTGACTAAAGTATTGTGATAACAGTGAACTTAAAGCACCATTCCTTTCTTGTACTGATAGAGAGAAAGTAATATAGATTTATTTGAAAAGTTGCAATTATGATTCTGTTATGATTCTTAGTATATCAGAAGAAGAAAGAAGGAAAAGATTAGAAAAACAATCTAAAGAAAATGAATATCATCGATTTGTGGAAGGACATCTAATTCTGAAGCAAGGATTGATTGATAAACGAAAGGTTTGCAATACAATTTAACTTATTTAAGAGATAATTCATATTAAACTTTTTTTAAATGTCTATAGTCTGGAACATGTTTGAATATCCATATAGCATAATGAGATGAGCTACATGAAATATGAGTAGAATACATTTTAGTAGGAATACTGCTGTTACTTCAAAAATTTTTTAATCCATATCTACATGTAACCATCAAAAACGAAATCAACTGGGTAATCCCATACCAATTTCTTCCATGGGTACTGTTTGTGGCCATTTTCCGTTCGGATACATAGTAAACTTTTGAATGGTCGACATTAACTGATTACTAAATTGTCTTAATTTTACGGAGGTTGATAAAATGGTCTTTTACTGTGGCTTAGGTATATATTCTAGTCAAAAAGGAATTGATGATATTATATGCCCTACACCTAGTCTCTATTATCCATAACTATATTGTCTACAGTCTCTCAATAACCAAAATATTTTTTTCTTTGATCCCTTTGACAAATACTTAACCTGTTTAGATATACAGTCTGGGTGTCCAAGACTCTCATAGCCCTTATTTCACAATTCTGCTCAGAACATGTCTACATTATGTCTGTTCTGTGTTATATTTTAGGGACTGTTTGCCAGAAGAAGAATGTTTTTATTAACAGAGGGACCTCATTTATACTATGTAGATCCTGTCAATAAAGTGCTGAAGGGGCAGGTGCCATGGTTAGTTTTATTCAGTATATTTGATCATGAAGCTGAATATAGGAATTATGCTTGAAAGACTACTAGAAATAACTATTCTAGTGGCTGAAATACAAACGCCCACAAGCTTCTGATCTTCCACCTGTAATAAGAGTCTAGATAACCATGTCTAAAAGCTTGCCATACTGTTGTTTCTACTACAACAACAGGTCACAACTTTTTATTTGGCTTATGTAACCATGTTAAACAGTGTTAGCCCTGTTAACTTTTATTAGTGAACAACTGAATCATTCATGTAACATGTTTCAACTGTTTCCTGACATTTTGATGTCTAATTTACTTACTTATTGACAAATACTGTCAAATCTGTAACTGCATTTTTAAATGTAAAAGTTTAAACCTAATTTCTATACCAATAACAAACTTTTTTTATATACTGTCATGTTGACATTGATTGGTATAATTTCATTTACGTGTTTTATTTGATTTTTCAGGTCAGAAAATTTAAGACCAGAAGCCAAAAATTTTAAAATATTTTTTGTACATACGGTAAAAATGAAATTATTACTATCTTAAACAATATATTTAGTAAAATCAGAACTCTGCTGTATTTATACTCCCTGAGTTATTCTTAGAATGAGTAGTTGAGAATTAACATAAATTATACAGCTGGAGAAAAGAAGAAATGTCCTAATTGTAATTGTGGCTATTTGTAATTGATATATTCCTCTCATTCTGTGTAGTAAAACATGTTTACAGAAGGGATTATCTATAACACATTTTAGGGATACAATTCAGGTGTTAGTTTTATATGACTGTTCTTTTCTACTTACAGCCAAATCGAACATATTACCTAGAAGATCCAAACTCCCGGTCTGAAGAATGGGTGAAAAAATTACAAGAAGTATGGCAGAGATATTATGGATAAGAAAAGAAGTATTGTTACTATAGTTAGACATAACAATCTTGTTGTACACTGTATGGAGTTAAACCATCTTGTTGTGTTATCTATTTAATATTTATAGAATTTTTCATTTTACATACAGAGTATTGAATCTTCTCTGTTCCATCAATTTCTTGTGAACACTCTACAGACTACATTTATTATCTAATAAGTTTGAAATTTATACACAATTGTTTACATTAGTGCGATGAAGAAGCCTATTTAATTTCAACAATTTCTGTTAATTACTTCTAGAGTTATGGTTCTTGTTTCACTTTGGTGAACCTATAACAACTAAAAAAAGTTATCATCCGATTTGTATTAAATTTACATATTGTATATTTAAATTAGTAAAAGGAAGAAGACTTGTGAACGCTCTAACAACTAAAGTTATCATCCGATCTGTCTGAAATTTATACACATTATTTAGATCAGTAAAATAAATAAGCCTATTGAATTTCAACAATTTCTTTTAATGACTTCTAGACTTATGGCCCTTGTTTCACATTGTTGAACCCTGTGAACACTCTTAACGACTGAAGTTATCATGCGATCTGTATTACATTTATATGCATTATTTAGATTAATAAGATGAAGAAGTTATTGAATTTCAGTAATTTCCGTTAATTCATTCTATAGTTATGACTGTTGTTTCACTTTGTTGAATCTTGTGAACATTTGATCTGTATGAAATGCTACTATTACCTACAAAAGCATAAATATGTGATAACCCTTGTTGACTGCTTGGACAATTTAGCTTCTGTGGGCGTATGTTTCATTGTCTTCTACCTATCTTGATTTTTCATCATAGGTCAACTTATTTTATAGGTTCAATATTCTCAAATACAGAGTTCTACGCAACTTGGATACAATAAGAAGTTAGTGCCAACAGTCAGTGTATATTTTGACAAATACTATATATATTATCAAAATATTAAAGGCATGATGCATCATTTAGCACTATAGAAATCCCTTTGCAAACTATCATATTGTAAAAGTTTAATCCCTAATAGGAATATCAGTCAAAACATGGTTAAATTCCATTCAGTATTTACAAAGCTATGATAAATCGAAATTACATTGATCTATGCTGCTTGCATCTTTTATTGGTAGTGGAGGAACCTGATGGCCCTAGTTTAAATCAGATTGAATTCAAGCCGGAAGATTATGATTTTGTTTCCTTAATTAAATGTTTAATAATCAATCTGAGTACATATTAGCATAAATTAAGCCGCCTTAAATGCAAATTGTCTCTAAAATGCAAATGACACATCAAGCTGTTAATTATCTTAATTTCAGATAATTATCATTCTCCTTTTATGAAATATTCACTAGTTTAAAAAAACAAAACAATTAAGATTATCCATATACTCTTAATTAAGTCATTTAAAATTTATCATTTTGCATACTTCTGATTATTATTAGATGAACCGGTGGCTAAATACATTATTTACAGTATTGACCAAGTTAGATGGAGAAATTTTTATGTCTGATATCTACGTGTACTTTCACATGAGAAATTTCATATAAAATCAAATCTTAAAAATGATCATAAATCATATTATTTTTAACTTAATATAGAAATAATCAAAACAAAGATCTATACAAAACAATAGATGTAAGACTACATAAAGTCTCTGATTGTCATTTGATGAAAATTTGTTAATATTAGGCAGATGATATAAAGTAGAATGAAGAAATGGGGTTTAATGTCCACTTGTCACAAACTAGGTCATTTTGGGAGTTAACTCATGGTTCAATTTTATTTCAATAATTCGTTTGCGCGTAGGGTTCTTTAGCAGTGGGAGGAAACCGGAGAAAACCCATGAGGTTGGACAGGCAACACTATTTCTTGTCACATACAACCGGGGAATCGAAACCACACCAGTTGACTCGATGACAGACCTTATGATACAGCGCGCACGTGTTAACCATTCAGCAACCCAACCCCCCTACGATATAAAGACTAAAATCAAGACAAATTTCACTGAATCTTTTAATGGGCCTCTTCCTAATCTGGCTGAATCCACGCCAGGAGATTGTAAACTGTTGATATCTTGATTTCTTAAATAATCAATCTGTGTACACTTTAGCATGTATTAAGCATGGAATATTTCATATTTCCCTAAAAATGCAAATGACACACAGTCTTTAATTGAAGTAGTTATGTGTATAACAGGAGTGGGATACCTTGAGTTTGCCTCAGAGCAAATTTAACCCTATTTTACTTGGGAAATCAAATATAACTTGGGTAGGCTCGGTGCATCTGTATCTGTTTAATGTTTTGGTAGATATTTTTTCAGTCAGTGATCACCTGAAATTTGGGAAAATGTCTTGCATAAGATTTTGATCTATTTTTGTTAGTCTTTTTTGTGTGGTTATAATCTCCAGTAGTAAAAAGAAAACCTAAAGGGGATAACAAGCATGTACTACTGTCTCATCTACTATTGTATAGATCTTTGATCAACCCATTCATATTATTAAAAAAATTAATGACTATAATGAATTTTGTTTGTATATTATTTATATGCTTGTGATAATGACACTATACCGGTTATAATATTGTAGAAAAAACAGATGTACATGATTAAACATACATATAAGGGACCATCGCAAAATTTCAGCACTTGCGTCCAAAGAATAACCTGTAGAACTGGGTAGGTGGGTTGAACAACACTGCAGATAGAAAGTTGTAAATTAAATGTTTAATCGAGGACGGTAACATGTCAACATTCTCTTTTCTTTTCTCGAGGGGATGGGAAGGTTGAGATCTATTTGATTGTTATTCGGTTGGACGCAGGTATTGAAATTTAGCGACAGTCTCTAACTGGATCAAATAATGACTGTATATTACTTGATTTAAAAAACCATTGTCATCGAATTTTGAATAAGACCGACCTAGTTTATTTGCAAACTTCAATGCTTGAATAATTCAATATGTAAGTAAAAAAAAAAATTTAAAATGAAAAGTTATGTCCTGAATGATTTGTTGTAGGATGTGTGTAATTATGTAATACCAACCAGAAAACTCAATATATGTGTATAGAGTTGTCTGGCTTCCCTGTTTTATTAACGAAATATTAGTTAATGTTTCTAATTACATATATTTATTATACTATTTGCATTAATGTGAATATGTGAGAATGAGTCTATTGTATGTAAATAAATTGTTAGATATCATCAATCCATTTTAATCTGTTTAATTATTATGCTGAAAGGTGGGGAGGATCCTGCTATGTTTCATCCTTCTGTCAACTCTAACCACCCACGTTTTGCAAGAGATGGATAGAGAACAAGCTAAAAACAAAAACGATTTTTTGTACAATCAGGGGAAATAATCTAGAAAGTTATCGTCTGAAATGCGCAAATATCAAAAGGGACTGAGATCTTTGGGATATAAAGATATTTTTTTAAGTTTCATCAGAATCAGATAAAAATTGTGAACTTTAGAGTGTCCACAACCTTCGTATTGCATACTTTTACACAATTTGTGTACAAAGAGTGGCAGTTTCATTTTGATTTTCCCGAAATTCGAATTCAACCTTCATTATGGTGGAATGGTGAAATATTTAAACGGTTTTTAAAATTGGAAAAAAACATTGTGACCTCTAGAGAATCCGAAAGCTAAAAATGTGATTTTTCAAACAATCGGGAGCCATAATCCAGGAAGTTACGTTCGGATATACGCGATTATCAAAAGGAATCAAGATCTTAGATGTGTAATGATGATTTATCACCCAATAATACATTCTACAGTAGATATCGCTTGTGTGATATATTTCATAATCTACATGAATTTGATTGGTCAGTTGAAAAGGAACTACTTTTTTTTAATTTCAAAGTTACTTTTTTTTTTTATTAAAAATGAACTATTGTTATTCAATTGACCTTGATGGAAACACTGGGTCAATATAAAGGACTTTGCAATGGTTGAATTGCTGTCAAAAAATGATATATCACTATGCCGTAATGTTCAGTAAAAGTGAAATCTACAGCAAAAAATTATATTTATCTATTTGTGCATGTAAGAAGGGATTGGGTGGTAAATAAAATCTCCTACTCGTCTTTTTTGATATCAAAAAATATCAACACTTGTTGATAAAGTAAAAAAAAACTCTTTTTTTGTTACTTTATCAACTTGTGTTGATATTTTTTGATATCAAATAAGACTGGTAGGCGATTCTCTATTTATTCACAATTTTTTTTGTCCCCCGCCTTTCGAAGAAAGCAGGGGACTATTAAAATGGGTTCGTCCGTCTGTCTGTCTGTCTGTCTGTCCGTCTGTCTGTCCATCTGTCTGTCCGTCTGTCTGTCCGTCACACTTTTTGGGACACAATAACTCTCTTCCTAATTGAGCTAGAATGTTCAAACTTGGTGTATGTGTTTATTAGGTCATGCCTTGATGGAGTTCGAAGATGAGCATTTTCCGCTTAGGGTAAGCAGAGATAAGCAATTTGATTGGTTGATGCTTTGGGACACGATAACTCTCTTCCTAATTGGGCTAGAATGTTCAAACTTGGTGTATGTGTTGATTAGGTCAATGCCTTGATGGAGTTCGAAGATGAGCATTTTCCGCTTAGGGTAAGCAGAGATAAGCAATTTGATTGGTTGATGCTTTGGGACACGATAACTTTTAATTGAGCTAGAATGTTCAAACTTGGTGTATGTGTTTATTAGGTCAATGCCTTGATGGAGTTCGAAGATGAGCATTTTCCGCTTAGGGTAAGCAGAGATAAGCAATTTGATTGGTTGATACTTTGGGGCACGATAACTCTCTTCCTAATTGAGCTAGAATGTTCAAACTTGGTGTATGTGTTGATTAGGTCAATGCCTTGATGGAGTTCGAAGATGAGCATTTTCCGCTTAGGGTAAGCAGAGATAAGCAATTTGATTAGTTGATGCTTTGGGACACGATAACTTTAGTTCTAATTAAGTGAGATTGATGAAACTTGGTGTATAGTTTCATTACAGTAATACCTTGACTAAGTTTGATAATGAGCATTTTCTGCTCAGGGTAAGCAGAGCGATACGCAATTTGATTGGTCGAGACTTTGGAAAACAATAACTCTCCTACTTTGATTGTCCCCCGCCTTTCGAAGAAAGCAGGGAACTATTAAAATGGGTTCGTCCGTCTGTCTGTTTGTCTGTCTGTCCGTTCCGCTTATTTGTGATAAATTTATATGTGTCCTCTAATTATTTTCCTATTTCGGCGGGGGACATCAGCCTCACTGTTGGCTTGTTTTAATTCGGATAAAAATTGTGACCTCTACATGGACAGCAAGCTAAAAACATGATTTTTTGTACATTCAAGGGCCATAATTCAGAAAGTTACGATCCAATACACGCGAATATCGAAAGGAACCAAGATCTTTGGGTTATAAACATGTATTTCAACTCTCATCAAAATCGGATAAAAATTGTGACCTATAGAGCGTCCACAAGCTTGATATACCAGATGCTATACTCTATTTGCGTACGAGGGGCGGCGATTATGTCCGGCAATTTTGGCCCGATTTTCACAAAATTCCAACTCAATAAACATTACGGTGTAACAGTGATATATTTAAATCGGATAATAATTGTGACCTCTAGAGGGACAAGAAGCTAAAAACATGATTTTTTTTAATACAATCAGGGGCCATAATTCAGGAAGTTACTATCCGATATGCCCGAATATCGAAAGGAACCAAGATATTTGGGTAATAACTTTGATATACCAGATGTTTACACTAATTGTGTACAAGGGGCGGCCATTTTGTCTGGCAGTATTCGTCCGATTTTCACGAAATACGAACTCAACCAAAATTACGGTGTAACAGTGATATATTTGTACGTTTTTTTTAAATCGGATAGTAATTGTGACATCTAGAGCGACCTCAAGCTAGAAATGTGATTTTTCGTACAATCAGGGGCCATAATTCAGGAAGTTACTATTCGATATGCACGAATATTAAAAGGAACCAAGATCTTTGGGTTATAAACTTACATTTCAAGTTTCATCAAAATCAGAAGAAAATTGTGACCTCTAGAGGGTCCACAACATAGATATTCCATATTTTCACGCTATTTGAGTACGAGGGGCGGCCATTTTGTCTGTCAGTTTTGGTCCTTAGGGTGTAACGGTGATATATTCAAACGTTTTTTTAAATCGCATAAATATTATGACTGCTATAGGGTCCACAAGCTATAAATGCGATTTTTCGTATAATCAGGGGCCATAATTCAGGAAGTTACTATCCGATATGCACGAATATCGAAAGGAACCGAGATCTTTGGGTTATAAACTAACATTTCAAGTTTCAACGAAATCGGATAAAAATTGTGACCTCTATAGGGTCCACAAGCTAAAAACGTGATTTTTCATACAATCAGGGGACATAATCCATGAAGTTTCGGTCCGATAGATGCCAATATCGAAAGCAACCGAGATCTTTTGGAGATTAACCTATATTTCAAGTTTTGTCAAAATCGGATAAGAATTGTGACCTGTAGAATGTCCACAAACAATTGTGGACGATGGGGCGACAACAATATACGTCCACATGAAAATGTGGGCGTATAAAAAGTGTAACTTTATTTCTGGTGCCTATGTTCGAACATCGATGCTATCTGATTGGTCGATTCATTGAATGCAGTAACTTTACTGCTTGTGAATGAATTGTGATAAAATATACTTTCATTATCACAGTCACTCGACTAAAGCGGTGGACACATTAGCCGAATTGTTCGGTGCCAAATTTTATTCGGTGGATAGGTGGACACACTAGGCGAATGCTTTCGCTCGATTTACCAGTCGATTGCATGATCTTTCACGTCACATTATTAAACATGGCGGCGTCTATGTCTTCAAACAATCACGTGACTTCTCGATATCAGAGGATGACGAGTGGTGATTCGGCGAATGACAGTGGACACACTAGGCGAATTTCGACGCCGATTGAATCGGCCGAATTCAGCTAGTGTGTCCATTGCTTAAGTTTGAAAACATCAACGCCATCTGTGTATAATTAATTGCAATAAAATGACTTCTAGTGACAGAATACTTCACAATTTCTGTCCTATTCTGGGGGGTTGGATGCACGAATGGTTAGCATGTGCGTGCTGTATCATACGGCCTGTCATTGAGTCAACTGGCATGGTTCCGAATCCCCGGTTGTACGTGACAAGAAGTAGGGTCGCCTGTCCAACCTCTTGGGTTTTCTCCGGGTCCTCTGGTTTCCTCCCACTGCTAAAGACCCCTACGTGCAAGCAAATTATTGAAATAAAATTAAACCACGTTAGTCCCGAAATGACCTAGTTTGTGTCGAGTGGACGTTAAACCCCATTTTTCTCTCTCTCTCTCTCTCGTCCTATTCTGATAAAAATTTTACAAGTAATTTTGAATGAATGGGGATGATGACAATATATAGACAAGTTGGGCTATAGTATAAAAACTAATTTGGCAATATTAATATTTTATTTATGTACATACTAAATTCAGTTAACTGATTAATAATAGTAATCATACAATTTCACAATAATAAATTTGACAACACATAATAATAAATAAGGTGTTGTACCAAAACAATTCATTTATTTCATATAGTTTATATTTTCACTTTAAAAAAAAAAACCCTGAATAAATTTGTGAAACAGAGACACAATGGAAGTAGGATAGAAAACATGCATGAATCTTACAAGTCGTAACATATTTTGGCATAGAACATGAGGGTTAAGAACTATGATCCTAGCTTGTTTCGTATAAAGATAGCATACACTGTACATATACACCTTTCAAAGAGAATTTTTCCATCAGGAGTTATAAGGTTTATATATGTTGTGTTAAAATGACTGTTGGATTACAAGGAATAATAACTGTTAACATGAAATTTAGCTTCTGTATTCCACAAATGAATAGCGTCTATGTCACAAAACATAAAAACTGGGTTTCTGAAACTGGAATGGTGATGAAAATACAGGATATCATTTTAGTATGAAAAGTTTTACTAAATTTGACTAGGAGGAGCGATTTTCAGATGGACTAGTGAAGTAAATAAAAATAGTGTGGGTATGTTTGGTTTTAGTGACACTTCACAATATGAAATTATATTTTATATTCAGTGAAAAAATATTTCATGATTGTCATTTGTTTCTTCTTGCAATGACAATCACATATTTGAGCATTCTTTTAAGGTACAGACATAGAAGAGGTATGCATTGTTGTATAAATGAAAATATCTTTTTTAAAGCCACTGGTCATCCATTGATGAATTTTAAATCCTGTTTGAATTACAATATTGTGAGAGTTGAATTTCTAAAAGGAATATCAGTCACAGAATGGTATAATTCCCGTTCAGTATTTATTAAAAAAAAAAAATCAGCATTCTCTGCAGACAATATTAACAAGCCAATGCCACCTATAAGTTATGGATACCGTAAATCTTTTGATGGGGTTGTTATTAATTGGACTGAATTCAAGTACGAAGATTATCTACTGTTTATATAATTATATGTGAAATACTCCATTTGAGTACATTATGTCTGGTTAAATGGTCGAAAGTTAAACATTAAAGGCTCAATACCACTCTTGTTGTAACTGAATAATATGTCCCAATCTTTATTCTGGTCAACAAATTGTACTATTTTACAATATTTCAATTAATTGATGATACAAATTTCATCTTAACACACCTTATTTAAAAGTTTTGAAAAATCCAACATAATGGTTTGAAACGTCTAACGTAAACCTTTTCAAATGAAACTTCAATTTAAAAATATTTTCGAACCCTCTGGACAAGTAAAATAGGATGTAATGGATAATTTACACAACAGGTAGGACACTTAAACATCTAGTACTTAGATAGAGATATTATTTATTTTCTGGAGCTTTCAAGCCAGCAAGAGTGTTATTGTCCCTTTAAGTATATTGATACTGGACAAGGATGTTAAACAACTTAAAAGTACTATTTCGTATTTCATATAGTATAAATAATGAACAATTGGCACATTGCCAGTATGGATTAAGCCATACAATATTAGACCTTGTCTGAAAAATGCAAGTTATAGATTAAGGGATATCTTATACATAATTTTTCTTCACACTTTAAAAAGTAGAATTTTAACAATATTTATAATTGATTAATTCTTCTCATTTCAACATATTGCACTATATTCGTTCACATTTGATCAGAAGAAAAATTAATACAGCTTCTGCATAATTACAAGTATGATATTTATGCTAAAATTACAAATAATCAGGGTTGTAATTCATTTCATGTCAGATTTGTCTTCAGGTCACAATTTTGAGAAAGGAAATAAAGATAATGTTGGATAAAAGATGTGTTTTTGAGTAAATTATGGTTGTAGACATACAGATGATATAAAAGTAAGTTACAGATAACATGATCAAGAGACATCTTTGGTACACTTAGTTCTAAAATAGTTTATAACAAAAAAAAGATTCCTACCAGAATATTATTTTAATTAATAGATTGGATAGAACTAATTGAACTAATAAATTAATATTTTCATACCTACATGGATACAGGGTCAGCGATTTAAATTTATTTTTATTTTTCTGGCCCAATAATCTGGGCATGATGAGGTGAGAATAAATCAGATCTAGAAATAAATATTACAGACTTACAAATATAAAAGAATGTTATTAATACAGACAGATAAGTAGACACATGTAAAACAATAAATATCTAAATGCATCTTGTATAGATGGCAAATATAACTATTTTAAAAGACTCTCTACTACATTTGTATCTTTTTGGTTTTCTACCTGCAAGTCTGAATATTGAGTATATTCAAAATAACAGAAAGTATATAAATTATTTTCACAGCACTATGACAATGATTTTTTCTAATAAAATACATTATAAACATTCACAAGAACATATATTAAAAACAATTATCTACATAAATAAGCAATTTAATTACCTACATAAATACAGTACATACATTACATCATGTGCTTTAACCAACACATAATGGATATAGAGAAGAAGGGTTGTCATACGGACTATACAACATCACTTACTCTATTTCATTCACAAAGCATGAAACATAATAGTTTATTAAGTAAATAGCCTTTTCTTTACATTCAAGCATTCAAGCTAAATATTATTTTAAGTATAAATAAATAATATCTGAAGTTGACTAAAAATTTAAAAAAAATCCTTTTTTGTGATAAACTTTGAATTACATTGTTGTCTCATATTTTGTTTCTAAATGAAACTAATTACACAACCTAATTACACAATTATATTGTTACATTACAGTACATATTTAATTTAACTTATAAGATTTGATTTGTGAATTCATCCAATTACAACTTTTATTGTTTTGGTATGATATACTTCCGAAAGATTTATAAAAAAAAAAAAAAAAAAAAAAAATAAATCATATCCATGTAAAATGAAAATTTCCATCTTCACTGCATGTTTTGTTTATTTAATAAATTTCATTTATTAATTAACTGATTTATCAATATAATCCGTACAGGTAGGCTGATTGCAGTATCAAAAAGTAAAAAATGAGGCTGATGTCCCTCGCCGCAATCCCAAAATAAATAGATGACACATATTAATTAATTGCACATCTATCTTCTTGAAAAAAATTGAGCAATGAAACTGATTGTCGATACCTAGTCTATTAAGCAGAAAATGTTCATGATAAAACTCAGTCAAGGTTTTGAAGTACCTGGTAGTAAAACTATACACAAAGTTTCACCATTCTCACTCAGAATCAAAGTTGTCTTGTTCCAAAGCATAGATCATTGCTTAGTTCTGCTTAGCTTTAGATGAAAATGTTAATCATTGAACTCAGTCAAGACATTCACCAAATGAACATCTACACCAAGCTTAAACATTCTTCCTCAATTAAAAGCAGAGTTGTTATGTTCCAATGTCTTGACCAATCTATTGCTTATTGATCTGTTTACCCTGAGCAGAAAATGGTCATTATCGAACTTAATCAGTCATGGTATTGATATAATGAAACTATACACCAAGTTTCATCACTCTCACTTAATTAGAACCAAGTTTTTGTTTCCCATAGCATCAACCAATCAAATTGCTTATCTCTGCATAGCCTAAGCAGAAAATGCTCATCTTTGAACTCTCCATCAAGGCATTCACCTACATGAAGTTAGAACATCCTAGCTCAATTAGAAGGAGAGTTATCGTGTTCCAAAAAGTGTGACAGACAGACCCATTTTAATGGGTTCCCTTTTTTCTTCGAAAGTCGGGGACAAGCATAAAGTCCAAACATTTTGCGCATAAATCATGTGTAGACACTTACAAGATAGATTTACCACAAAGTCACAGTCAAACAGAAGTATAATTGTGTTCAAAAAATGTTAAAACCAGTTTACTCAAATGAAAAAGCTGTTAAGTTTTGTAAATTCACTGTTAACATATTGTTAGTGAATAACTTAACACATTCTTTTTTTTTTCTCACATACTTGAATTTCTATCAGATTTCATTCACTGGAAAACCCTATAATGTTTTCTTCTAATTAGAACATAAATAATACTATTTTAATACATTCATGTAATTTAAATAAAGAATATTTTTTAACAGGCTTCTTGTTTATAATCTACAACATAATAAGTCAGGTGAAGAGTATTCATTTTCATGGGGTTTGAACATTCACACAATAAGTTTTGCTAACTAACTTTAACATTTATAAGCTTTCAATAAGTAATTAAATGTTGACATAATACTCTCAAATACTTAGCACTGAATTCACAAAGGAGAAAAAAACAGTACAAAAAAAATATACATCATGAATTGGAATATAATGCAGAGACATAAAACAATGAAATTGTGTGAATGTGGGCAGTTATATATTATAGATACATTGAGTAGACTGTAGAGAGAGATTGCAAAGTTTCTATGATCTTAAAAAAACAAAACGATGCATGAAATTAAATACATGACAAACTGCTGGAACAAATGCTACATTAAGAAAATCACATTCTTGATCCTTTCTGTTGTAACACCTGAAAGAAAAAATTTTTTAAACTTGTTCAGTTTCATGAATAAAATCTTGCTCTTTGAAATCAATAGACAAGTTCTAATGTAACTTCTTTGATAGGTATTTAGTAATTGAAACACAAGTTACAATTTTATGGATACACAATTACTCAGTTTAATACTATGCAACATTTCAACAAGAATACTCTCGTCTTTATCAAGCAAATGATAAAGACAAGAGTATCCTCGTCAAAACATAGCACAGTATTAAACTTAGTAGTAGCCATAAAATTTTAACTTGTGTTAAGTTTTAATGTGTTTGGATAAAAAGCATTCAATAAATGTTATTTTACCTGGTAATAATAAACGTTAGTGACCCAAGATCTAAATTATACAGAATTGTACTTAGTGTGAAGTTACAGTGGGCTTATTGAACATATAAAAATATTTTAAATTATTTTGAATCTATTACATTTGTACTTTATACAAATGATCAAATACAAACACTCATTATCCTCCCATATTATTTGATTTCTATACAAACCCATGTCAATTTATCTATTATAAATTATAATATTAATCAACTTATAAATAGATTTTAATTATTTCCTGTAGAACAGTCATACTATTATTAATGTTGACTCAGTTTTTCAATTTAAATAGTTTAATATAAAAATTGAGGAAATATTTGAAAACGACTTGAAACTTTATTTAAATTTAACTTTTGAATAATCTGTTGACAGATTGTAAAGTTTCACTTGTATACATTTATCCACACATTTAGTATCCAGTCGACACTATGTAATTTCACAGCGTCAGCTACGGTGTTCACATTGGCATGGATCAAAATAGTTCTCGAAATTATCCTACTATTTACCGAGTGTAAATTTAATGTCCACTGGACACAAACTAGGTCATTTCGGGACTAACCTGGTTCAATTTCATTTTAATAATTTGCTTGCACTTAGCGGTATTTAGCAGTGTGAGGAAACTGGAGGACCCGGAGAAGACCTGCAAGGTTGGACAGGCGACCCTACTCCTTGTCACGTACAAGCTCAGGAAGTCTGACTCAATTACAAACCTTATGATTCAACGGGCGTGTGTTAACCATTTGGCCACCCAACCCCCCAGAAACAAAATAGAACTATAAAAGTATAATAAGGGTATATATATGAGTGTCGTGTTTTTTAATTTGTAACACATGCGGATCATGTCAAACTGTTAAGTACAGCTACATGTTTGTCATTCTAAATACCTAAACACATGCTAACTCAAATATAGGTTATCCTGACATACAGGCTACCCTAACAAGACAGTGGTGGGTATATATAGAAACATTTAACATGGCTCTACCCTTTCTATATATTGTACAGATTCACTTTAAAACCCCTATGTGCCCAAATAAAGATTAAATATGGAATTTAAGGTCATATAAAAACAAGTGATCTTTTGATAAAACCAGATATACACCCCAAAATTATTTAAATTGATAAATTGATCAATTCTAACTTAAAGTTATTGATTGTCATTTGAATTTTTCGGACAATATTCAATTTTTCAATTCTTAATCCATGCTAAAATATACCCAAACTCATTATTTGACATTTTATTATGAAATGAAAATCAAAATATCAAGGGTAAATAATTCTAATGACTTATAGGTGCCGTTGACAAACTTTAAATTTATTACATCTCTGTAGACACAGAATTAAATTGAATCATTTTTGGAAATATGCCTTTTAGAAATTCAACTTTCACAATATTTTAATCTGCAGGGGATTAAAAAATTTTAAATGACAGTTATTTGTCATTTAAAGTTAACATTGGTTTCTTATTGATCTTTCATACAATCTTTATACTTTGCTTAATTTAATATTAAACCAGCGGTTGCCAGGCTGGATACGCCCACATTTTGCAAGAGATGGATAAAGGACAAGTTAAACAAAAATCTATTTTTTGTACAATCAAGGACCATAATTCAGGAAGTTACAATCTGATTTTCACAAACATTAACAGGAACCAAGATCTTTGGGTTATAAAGATATATTTCAAGATTCATCAAAATCGGTTCAAAATTGTGACTTCTAGATGGACCACAACCTTGATATACCATATATTTAAACTCAATCGTCATTAGGATGTAATGGTGATATATTCAAACGTTTCTTTCAATCGGATAAAAATTGTGACTTCTAGAGGGACCACAAGCTAAAAACACGATTTTTTGTACAATCAAGGGCCAAAATTTGTGAACTGTCTGGACGGACTTCGCCGATGACAATATACGTCCACATGAAAATGTGGGCATATAAAAACAGTCTTTGCATTACAATAGTCCACATTTTTTTTACTTATTGCTTGTCGTGACTTTAAAATATATTATTAATTATATCAAGCTATATAAGATAATAAGGTATAAACAATGAGAGCATCACAACCTGACCTTAAAACAAAAAAAAACCTCTTTTTGTTTTCATATTTTGAAGGAAGAAAATCACCCCCTTGCAATATGATTGCAGATAAAGTATTCACTGCCTAAAAGAACAATTTGTGGACGTAAACAAATGCTTTATACCACTTCTCAAATTCTGTAGTACTCTTGCATCATATAATCAACTAAAATACTTACTTTTGCTCTGTCAGACGGTTCGTTTTCTTGACCATTAACTATACTCGGGCATTCCTTAGAGACAACACACAGAAATTCAGCATGATCTTCGGAACCATAATTATACTGAGATCCAATATTAATTAGCTAAAATAAAAACATTTGAAACAAGAATAATGCCATGTTACAAAATATTTGATTATCAATTCAATTGGTAAGTTATCACTTGAGAATTTACGGAGGCACACCGTTTATGATATAATCTAAGGTATATTCCATTCCTTAAATATATATACTATTCAAAAAAAGTAGGGGATATTTGATTTTTAAGTGTTATTAAAGTCACCTAATGAAACTGACGAAGAAACAAATGACAAAATGAAATGAAGTTCACATTCATCGATTTATTCCAAATGATCGTTAGACTAAGTAAGGCACAGACTGACCATTATAAGGGTAAAATGATACCCGGGGTCAAACAGCAAAGTTACCACAGCATCACAACCAAGTCAGTAACGGGTAAATCCTCCTCTGTTTGCCAAACAAGCATTGATCCGACGTGGCATACTCCTAATGAGACGTCTAAGGTCATTTTGGTCCAGATTGTCCCATTCCTGTTGCAACGCAGCAGCAAGTTCTTGGACATTGGCAGGACGTTGTTGACGTTGACGTAACCTCTGTCCAAGCATGTCCCAGACATGCTCGATGGGGGAGAGGTCGGGACTCAGTGCTGGCCAAGGTAATGTGGTGATGTTCTGTTGTTGGAGGTAACCTGTAACGATCCTGGCCCTGTGACATCTTGCGTTGTCATCCTGGAAGATGAAACGGCGGCCATGACGTCGTGCGAACGGCACAACATGGACTGCCAAGATGTTGTCCCGGTAGTACTGGCCTGTAACACGCCCTGCAACAACATGTAAAGCCGTTCTTGCTGTGATGACACGATTTCTCAAGGCCAAGGTACGGATAAATCGATCCTGGGCTTGAGTTGTCGCCCTTGGTCGACCTGAGCGTGGTCTGTCCTGTACAGATTGTGTATCACGGTATCTGGACCATAGCCTGCTTATGACAGACTGAGAAACATTCATCGTCCGCGCCACAACCGCCTGTGTTGTGCCGATCTGTAGCATGCCAAGGGCACGTAACCTTTCATTTTGGGTAAGCCGACGCATATCAAAATTTGTTTTCTGGTCACTAAAACAATTAAACTGATGTTTCCACCCTGTAATTCAATGCCACAATGACTGTAACATTCAAAGTCAGAGTCGTGCAAATCTTGGGTTGGACCCCCATGATGATCCCAAGCATCACCTGCATTCCATGCGGTAGCTATTGGTGCGTTTGGGCGTCACATGTAACTGGAAATGTTTCTTCTGTTAGGTTCTATTGTGACTTTTTTCGTAGTCATTTGCATATTTTAGTATTATGCCCCCAAAATCAAATATCCCCTACTTTTTTTGAATAGTATATGTTAACATTGAACTTTTATGTTAATTTATATCATAAGTTATCAAATGCTATGGAATTTACCTGTTCAAATTTCCAGCCATCTGACATTGTTGAAACCATCTGAGTTAGCTCTTCCTCTGAACATTGTAAAACTCTATACACATTCTTCATATATGCCTAAAACGATTACCCAGTAAATTAAAAATAGTTAATATCACTAGGAAATACATCAAAATTGTTTCATCATCACCAAAAATATAGCTTTGCCCTATATTATGTTGTGTTCTTTAAGTTTATTCCATAAAATCACTTTTGAAAATCCAAACTACATACAAGTTGATAAAAAAAAAATCAATTATTAACAAAATTTCGATTTTTCACGACCTACCTGACTTTGTTTTGCATTTCTATCAGCAATTCTTGCTTTGATCATTTTGATCAAATCAGTAATATTATAGAACTCTGCTTCTTCCAGAACTCCTAAATTAAAACAATTTGATCAAATAATTCAATATGTCAGTATAGTAAGATCTATAAAATAATTTATATGTCAGACGGGCAGAATCAATAAAATATTTATTAAATAATTTAATCAGTCTGGCCATCTCAGATCACATTAAAAATTTGTATCAAACAGAAAAAAGAACTGTATCTATCTATCACTTATTTTAGGAGTGGGAAGATCTATCCTCACATTTTATTGTATTTTGTTTTATAATTTAACCAGTCTGTCCATCTCAGATCACATTTAAAAGAACTACCGGTTTTTCTATCACTAATTTTAGGAGTGGATGGATATTTCCTCACATTTTATTGCATTTTGTTTTATTTGCTAATGACCGTAAACAATCTATTCAAGGCATTTGGCCGTCTTCTTTATCCCAGTTGGTGCAGAAAAGTAGGGCGTTAAACCCCATTTTATTTCAAATAGTAATATCAAGGAATTTCAAGAATCTAAATGAATTACTCAATTAGATATCTGGAATACTTGTTCTTATGTTTAAACACATTCTTGTTATGGGTTCAGCAACCTGTGTCAAATCTCATCTTACAAACTTTAAAACTTTTGGAAGGTGATGTTGAACATGTTAATAGGGAAATCTGGACTATTTTTATAACTCTTATATAAATATACAGTCTGTATAAAAACTGTAACAGACCTTCTTCTGCCAAGTCTTTGTTTAAAACCAGCTTGCCATGGCGTAAGTAATTCAGTACTGGTCCAAAATATGTAGGATCTCTATCAATAAGATAGGCTCCATTTTCATCCTACAATAGAAATATTACTATATAAGAGTACTGGGTACATGTCACAGCTTACAATACACTGTAATAAATAATGCATGGTGGAGATAGCAGCAGAAGCCTGTATAGGGATAATATGGTATATGACCAGTCCATTATAAGAGCAATAAAGTGTAGTATATAAATAATTAATTAGATAAGAGGAGAAAATAATGTCATAAACTTAACTCTATAATCTCTAGCCTGGGAACTACATTAACAGGAATGAAGGAAGATTAGGTGCCAGTGATACCTATCTTCTGATAATGCAGTGCCTTGACAAAATCTATCTTCAGTCACATCAATGGTTCATAGCTTATGCAATAAAATTTATCTTATCTATTTGATCTTAGCTAATTTAGTCATTATACTAATCCTAAGTGTCTGACTCTATCCCTAGAATTTTGAGAAATTTCTTATAGGTTTTGTGATTTTCATCAGTGACACCTATATGTATTGAATACTGAAGCGTTTCTTTATTGAATTTAAGAGTTTAGACTACTTTTTATACATTTCACCGATGTGGTTACTTGTATAGTTGAATTTTACTATATATGCTTACATTCGTATTTCGTGTAGCATATAGCAGATCATGACTCGTGCTGTCTTTGGGTTGTATTCCTAATTGTTTTCAAATTTGAGTGAAGTCTGTGTCGCTACAGACCAGGGACTGTACAGTGCAGTGGACGCGTACGGCTAGCCCCCGGATCCATTCACTTTTTTTTTGAATTGTCTGTATGTTTGTGTCTTCCTGAGTATGATGTCCTGTCCGTGTATTTGTTTTTGTATAAATTTTGTGTGGTGCAGTCCCCCTGCACTTACTATTACATTAAACACTGCTTGAAAACCGAACCATTTAATTTACCTTTCCAAAGATGCATTTTCGGTCTTTTAACAACTTATTTATAGGGCTGCAACAATTCATCGATGAATCGATGTACTGCGATGTCTTAAAAATCCACGATGCACGATACAATCAATGGCTGTATCGCAATTCGTTATTCAAATAATAATTTCACAAAAATAGACTGATATTCCTTTAAATGCGTAAATAAGTCCATGAGCAAAATAATTTTTTACTTTCAGTGAGTGTTAAGCCTAAGGTGTTTTCTACACATGAAGTGGCTTATTATAGCTATTTCGTCAAGATTAAAATATCAGTCTGGTTAAGCAAGTCGTGCTGGAAATTAAGTTGCATTCAAATTACACACTTGAACAATATGCGGAGAAAAACAACATATTAATATATCATACGTCCGTAATATGCGATTTGTGATAATATTACGGTGTGAGAATGGTGATTTGATTTTGTACATACTGCATACATTGATCAGCACATTTTCATTTCAATGTATATTAATATTCGATATTAAAATCTTTGTAATGTTATTTCCTTTGCTGTTCTGTAATCTATAAATGACCTGAAAACGAGAAAGCTTTTCATTGGCAATACGAGTCTGCCAGCAGAAATCTTTTCATTAGGAATTCAAGATCAACAAAAGCAATATCGAGATCGAAATCCCCCATACCAAGTATATAAGCCACAACTAAAGTATGGGAGTTTTAAGGATTTCCCGTTAAGCATAACAGCAATGAAATCCAGTCAGTTGACCGAGAAAACACCACATTTAATGTAAATCATAAAAGTAGGCCTTTGAATTTTCACAGTGAAAGACAGCATTTTTAAAATTTATTTCCTATATCGCGATATTAATCATATCATAGACTATGAATCGTGATGCGCATCGTATCGTGGCCTGGCGTATCGTTGCAGCCCTACTTATTTACCAAAAACCTACCATGCATCGATACTTCTCAAATTTTTATCACATGCAAGTAAAATTGGTCCAATGCTTCTTATATTATTAGACAGCGAAATGCTGTCTGGACAAATGAGAGCACTGAACAAATCCCTTGACATGCATTGGTTCTAAAAAAAATTGAAATATTCAACGACTATATTACCATAAATGTCAATACAGTATAGGAGTCTTATCTAAATCAATGATTTTAATCTCTCAAAATTAAGCTATTTTATTTCTTAAGTCATAAAATCGATACAGGCCTACAAAATACCAAGTTCTGTTTTAGACATTGTACTTTAATTAAATTTCAACTAATCGTCAGAGTTTTCCTGGATCAATTTCTGATAACTAGTGTGTTAAAATTAGTGTTTTTAAATTCCAGATTTGTATCACTCTCTAGGTATAAAGCTTTAGCAAAAACATCATGTACGGTAATTACATCCTGGCATGCATTGTGTAGATTTAAATGCCAATATTGTAATCTGATATCAATAAAAACATGACAAACACTAATAATGTGTTGCTCTTTCAGAAACTTAACTCTAATAATTACTGACCATGAATTCACAGTTCTGACTTGTAAAATGTACAAATTAAAGTCTTGTTCAATAGACAACTGCACATTTAAAGGACAATATTGGTGCCAGTCATTATCACATATGTGATAGAGCTGGTTAAACACTTCCAAATATAATTTTAACACAGTGATCATTGCTACGATAGCTAAGTAATACAGGTTTCTTGAATCGGAAGTGACGAACGCCAAAGGAAAACATGAGTCATACCTCTATATAACTGACTGATGTGACCAGTGATAACAGATGCACAGCCAAATTTCTGCTCACTAATAATTCCTTTGAAGACCAAAAGTTGTTATATGGGACTGTAAGAGGATACCTGACAATTCAATAAAGTAATTGAATGTCATTAGATAAGAGAACACGAGAAAAATAGAAATAGTCCGTATATTCCCTTGTTTATATTCATTCTATACCTTATATAAACATGGTAATGCACAGACTTTTTCTTTTTTCCTTTCCTTTTCCTTAAATGACATCTAGAAGCACGGTTAACTAATCATAACAAAACACAACACAAGGTATATATGGATGTAACTACTTCTCTATTATTTAATAATAATTAACTTGAAAACGTGACCTGTATGTGTTACGAAACATCGTTATTAAATAATAGAGAAGTAGTTACATCCATATACCTTGTGTTGTGTTTTGTTATAATTTGTCAGATATCCTCTCACAGTCTCACACAACAACTTTTGGTCTAGGAAGGAATTAGTAGTGAGCAAAAATTAGGCCGTGTATCTGTATGACTCGTGTTTTCCTTTGGCGTTCGTCACTTCCGATTCAGGAAACCTGTATTACTCAGCTATCGTAGCACTGATCTCTGTGATAAAATTATATTTGGAACGTGTTTAATTAGTTCTATCACATATGTGATAATGACTGGCACCAATATTGTCCTTTAAGGATGCCCTCAAACTGGAAAATAACTCAAATCAAATAGATTCCAGTCAACAATTCTGTGAACACTGACTAGATTAGAATATCTGTATGATATAGTGATATCATGGGGCCGCTTAATACTTTCGACAGGATCGCAGAGTTGCCATGGAGTTGTTACTAATTTTGAGTTCCAATGTCTATTTATGAAATCGATGAGTAAGTTTCTTCTTCTGAAATGCTTGTGAAACGCATTTCTGGTAGTTACTTAATACTTTCGATAGGGTTACCCACTTGCCATGGGATCATGACTGATTTTAAGTTTCATCGTCTGCTTGTGAGCACGATATGTTTTTTCTCAAATGCTTGCAAAACATGTTTCCGGGAGTCACTTTTTAAACAATTTCTGGCGGGAGGGCTAGTTGAGCGTCTGTCGGACCTGGGGTCACTCAAAATAAGTATTAGAAACCCATGATATAGACAACCAGCTCCCTCTCCTTTAAATTATATTGATACATGTAATAAAAACACTGGATCGGGCTCCTATTATTTACCCAAATAAATTTACTTGAGAAATATACATTCGCATGTGCATTGAAATCCTAATGTGATGTACATGTACAATCCAATAAAAATACAGATGAAACTAGAACTCTGAAGGAGTACTGACATGTTTCGATATGTCAGGTCACGCTATGTCACACCAACAATCACGTGACACTCTGAACTATAAAGTATAGTAAAGTACATGTAACATCCAATACTCATTAATGTGGAAAACCCTGTCATATTGAACTCTTTAATAAAACCGGAAGTTATACTTCAAGACCGAACTTTTTGATATTTACTGTTAGTTGACATCAGGGTCATCATATATACAAAGGTCAAGGGTCATTGAAAGGTTAGGTCAACAGGTAGAAGGTCAAAAGTCGGAAAAAAATTTCAAAGTGAAACCGGAAGCAAACGAAATCAATAATCAAAAATCGGCACCATAAAAATTGTTGCCATTTAAAGTAGGTTCAAAACAAAAAAAAGTTTTCGAAAATCGAAATCGATATGGAGGCTGAATATCGATTTGAAGGTTTTTTGTAAAATACGATATGGCGACCAAACGGTTGAAAATGTTATGGGTCATGGTCTCTGAAAATGAAAGGTAATATCTGGGGCTAACACTACCATATGTTATTTTTGGTCTATTTTTAAAATGGAGAGAACTATTCATGTTCGTGAAAAATAAGAAGGCCTCGGTAAATTCCGGAGGCCTTCACAAAATTCTTCATAATGCCAATTTCAAGGCATCAATGTGTTCATTATTCCTACCAAGTTTCAACTTGATACCTCAAATACTACAGGAGATACGCCCTCTTGAACATCGAAAAAATGCTGAAGAAAACTTTAGCAAATCTCTGATGCTAAAACTAATCTGAGATTATTTTTTGTCCCATCTGTAAAACACTGTTTGTCAAAAATCACCCAATTTATAAAAAAAAGTATTTAATATTTAGTTCCACGGAGGCCAACAGTATCTACGTTGGCAGAATGCACCATGCACAGTTTTGGCTGCAACTTGTGACTATTAAAAAAAAAAAACATTACAAAAACAATACGTGTTTCGACCAAAGGCCCGAAACACGTAATAACATTAATAAAACCATTACAAAAACAATACAGGTTTTGACCGAAGGTCCGAAACATGTAATTATTAACATGTACTCCTTTTTCAGAAATCAGTAATTGTCAGTTGTCACAAATGTGACCTGTGCTGGCTAAATGAGTCGGAATGCGCAAATTCTGATATTGAGCTATAGTATAGACAAAACTAATGATTTTGGTCGAAATTGCGAATTTTCACAAAAATGAGTCTATAAATATATTATCTATCAAAGTAAAGGTTCAAAATAGCAATAAAACATTTTGCAACACCTTTATTTGGACGTTTTGTGAGAGTACCGTATTCCTAAATTGTTCTTTTTTCTTACAATTCTTAGCGAATTAGTTTATCTTTCTTCGCTTGCTGTGGGAAGATCAGGTAATCCCCTTGCGTAATACTTGGCATCGTTGTGAAGCGTTGAATTTCTAGTTTATAAATATGACAAAAGTACTACCGTTTCATCTAGTACAAACGAGTTTAAAAACGTAAACAACCATAGCCTGTTTCAAGTCAGGGCAGCATAACTCTTTCGCCGATTGGCCCAGATGTCCCACGTGGCATATCATGAATTAATCAACTAGGTTAAACCCGGAACTTGTTATTGAAAAATACTAATCAATTGTCATGGATTAATGAGTCGTTGATTGATAATTGTCAATCATTATGAAACCTTTCAAGTCATTATTTACCCTGAATAATTAATTCAAGCAGTGATTATGTGAATAGTTGAATTTTGTTTACTGTGGCTTTATAATATGGCATATAAAATGTACAAGCATGCCTAATTGGATATTATTGTTTCAAATTTTATTATCAGCAAGGTTCCGAAAATTCTCCATTTGTTTCACTATACCAAAAGGCCCTAAAGTGAACGTAAGCATCTCTTACAAATGAAATTGAAATTTCTATCAGTGATTCAGATACCCTTACAGTACCTGAAAATAACATGTACACGCAAAACCTTGGTTTAGTTCAATCGTGTGACGAAGTTAACAAAACACACATATAGCTGTGGCGGCTTCTTTGATTCTCAAGAAATTAAACTTTATAACCCAACAAACAATTTTAATCTCTTGACAAGTAAAGGTGCTACTGCTATTTAATTGATGAGATTAACAGAAATTATTCTCATAAAAGTTATAATATACAAAATATGGATTACTAAAGTATGGAGTATTCTCATTTGTTCTAAATTGTAACACTGTCATAAAGCAAATAAATTGCCTGGTTGCTATGTGATTTTGTTTTGGAACATACATGTACCAACATCTTTAACTTACTTTTACTCAAAACTTACTTTCCTGACTTGAGCAGCTTCAAATTTTTGCCCGAATCAAACCAACCACACATCATTTTGAAAGGTATTGAATCGGAGAATGTGAAAACAACAATCAGTTTTCAAAATGTCCTCATTGCGACACATTATGCCAGCACGGGTCACAAATGATAGATTTTGATGCATTGGTAGTAAACACTTGTCCAGTCTACGGGTACATGTATCTACCAAGGCTTTCACTTCAAATAGGGTGTGCAGAACTCAGAACACTTAAAATTCCAGGAGTTTTCCAGGAGTTATTTACCAGATTCCAGGAGTCCCTGTATAGAATTCTACATCATTCATAATGTAATTTTTGTACGCTTAAAGAACATTTACGGCGACGAACTCGTGAACTTTTGAAGAAACTGATTACGTTCAGTTTTATGTCTTAAAATATAGCTAAACCACAAATGTTAATTTTCCAGGAGTTTCAAGTTGTAATCTTGTTTTTCCAGGATTTTTCAGTACTGGAAATCACATTTTCATTTTTCCAGGATTTTCAAGGAATGTGCAAACTTTAAGTATTCTGTTTAGTTCAGATTTCAGATTATGTAGAATATGACATTATATAGAATATCCTATTTTTAACATAAATTTGTACTTCTTGTGTTTTAAGTTTAATTTTTTTTAAATTCTAATTTTATGGCATATTGTTCATTGCTTGACAGGAGTGAAAGGTGTTCTCTAGCCAGTCAAATTCACTACTAGTCTCTGCCAATTAAACTGAAAGCTTTCTTATTGTGTTTTATGGTTAAATTTTTTGAAGTTCTCTCGCTGGTCAATTTCACTGTCAACCAGTCAGTCAAATATGATTGAAATGAGAGCCTATCTACTGAAACCTATGTACAAGGCAACTCAAAGTAACCCTGATATTTAAATGATACTGCCAGTGCCCATTTACATTTCATATCTTGTCTCACATAGTTTGGGCACATTTTTCACCCCTCGGACAGATTGCAATCTCAGCATGGCCGTGTTGTGCAGACACTGCAGAGTACACCCTGCCTGTGCACACCAATTGTATCTGCGTGTATCAAACTGGTGTGCAGATGTTCAACTTTGGGCTGATTACTCTTCGATGCTTTTAAAGATGCATAGATGCATAATGAGTGTGTGTGTGTGCTAAGAATAAGATTTAAACTTGAGTCCGCAGTATCTCATAATCTTCGCTATTTATTTATGTCAACTGATCACAAGACTGAAAGTCCAAAAACAGTTGCTACTGTACATGTAATTACGGTAAACTTCAGAGTTACAATGTATTTTTGTATTGAAATAAATAAAATACATTTATAACAAACAGTTGACAGATTTTTCAAAATTTCATCGAAGTGCAATGTATACGTTCCTGAATTCTGGTAATGTGAACATAAATCCTCAGATACGTGTATGTGTATTTGTGGGCCCAATTTTTCAAAGGCCAGTCGGGCTGTGACACTGCAAAAATTTGGTCAGTTCCCACTAAAATTATTGTAAGCAACAATACATAAATTAATAAATAGTCGGATTATCATTGCAGTAATCTATTAAATACACTAGACAGACTTTACTCCACGTGCACAGATTAGTCAATAGAAATTTGACAGAGTTTCGCAAACGCGGGAGTAATCTTCATGTTTAGTGCAATAAATTAAAAAAGTCAAAACACAAAATGGTCAACATTGTCATACTCATAGTGATAACTGAATTTTCACTCGACACAAATAACCTACAATTCTGATATTCAATCAATTATAAAATAAGTAGGATTACCATAGAAGACAGTAAGTTTACCGTAGGAAAAACTGGTAGGCTAACGCCACGTTATGGTAACATGCTGGCAAGTAAGTTTTTACTCAAGTCCAATTACAAATATATATGCAAGGAACTGTGCCGTGTGGCATCTTATGGAAAATACTAAACCATACAGATTTCCCTCATTTCCAGTATACATTAATGTAAATCTAGATTGTAGAGATAAATTATTCTAGAATAGACATTGTCATTCATTAGCATTTGGGTAATAAATTCTAATCTCACCTTGTCTGTATTTAACCCATTATCAGCATCATCTTGAACTAATCTATTTAGAAAAGATTGAGGGTCTCTCTCTAGGGTTGTTCTTGTTGTCAAAAATACTGTTCCACCTACGTTCAATTTAACCCATGCCTTTTTCCTGCATTTATTTTTTTCCTCATGTCCATTGCTGGTTTCCCCCTGTTTTATTTCCATTTTTTTAGTTGACATCTCAAGAGCAGGTGAATATGCCGATGGTTTCAGTTATGCGGTGGCTTTAGTCTTTCGAGTCAAAGCTTGTGTTTGTAAAAATATCGACACTTAATTAATGAGACATATGGCTATCTATCTATGATATATTAAGAACGGTCTCACTAATATTTCGCTCATAATACTTCACAGTCATTTCAGATTTTGAACATCCCTGGCTTGTGTCCCTTATCCAACTGTATCTCGTCGTGAACGAGTTTTAGCGAGAACCACCGACTCCAAGGTCAAGGGTATTTTCTTCGCCATATTTTCAGCAAGAATGGCAGCTCGAAGGATTTCGAAGACCGCTGTGGATTGGGCAGCTTTTGCCGAACGGGTACCTGCTGGTCAAAAAGAAGTGTACAGGTCCTTCAAAGCAAAAGCTGAAAGCTATGTTAATAGGTGTGTTTTTGTGTGAATAATTCGGTAATAAAAATGCCCACGCTTCACAAGACTACAGTACAGGGAAATGAGAATCAAACTTCAAAGTCAAACAGGGGGGTTGGATGGCGAATGGTTAGCACGTGCGTGCTGTAGGCTATCATAAGGTCTGTCACAGTGTCATTGAGTCAACTGGCGTGGTTTCGAATCTCCGGTTGTACGTGACAAGGAGTAGGGTAGTCTGTCCAACCTCGAGGGTTTTCTCCGTGTCCCCCGGTTTTCTCCAGACTCCTATTGCTAAAGACCCCTATAAGGCTATATAACGCACTTGTAAGCGAATTATAGAAATGAAATTGAACCATGTGTTAGTCCTGAAATCACCTTGTTTGTGTCGACTGTCGAGTGGACGTTAAACAACATTTCTCTCTCTCTCTCAAAGTCAAACTCAAACAACATGTCTACGCTTAGAAATTGAATGTGAAATGTCATTTGAAAGTTATTCAATTTTTTTTACACCGTCCTTGGTATCCACACAGTTCACAATAATTATGCGATAATCGTTATTAAAAGAACATGGGATTTAGTTTTTAAAATAAAAAACTGTGGCTCAATAGTTCATCTTCGAGTCTTTCTTTCTGAAAGTTTCTGTGTTACCACTGACGACTCTGCACTAGTAGTAGTGTATAGATTCATATTTCTTAGTTGAAAAAAAGAAAGAAAAGATTTAGAGATTTAAGGAGTAAAGCTTTAACTCCGTATTATGCAGTGTCATCGACATTACAAAAACAAATTATTGGTCCATTTCAGTCAATAGTGATATCGTATGGTGAAAATATGAACTCATGATTATCTGGGATGTGTTCAAATGGCCTTAAACCAAAGCGGCAAAAATTAACTTCGGTCTTAACACAGCAAAAAAATTTGTCATAACCTCCATAATTTGGTCAAATCAGCCATAAAATGGTCATAATTTGATCAAAACAGCCAAATACATTGATACACATGTATTACAAAACATTAGTTTTCCTTCAATAAATTTGCCATAATTTTATTCATTTGATAGGAATAATATGATTTCAGCTAATCAACATAATGAATTAAAAGGCTAATGCCAACCCAGAAAATTGGGTAAAGGATGGAGTGAGTACTAATTGATCAACTGATAGGTTAATCCCCAATTAAGTACTTCACACTCTTCTAAGTTACTTCTGATTATGCATTATCAGCTGAAGCCTGATTCAGATTTGTTTGATTATGCAAATTTGATTGCAAGCTTCATTTAGATGCTTAGCTTTTTAGAAGACTTCTTGCATACTGTTTATTCATTACATAGTTACGTAATGATGGGATCTGAAAACAAGCCATAAATTAAATACCATACTTCTATTGTCTTTTTTTTGTTTTTTTAGAATTCATCAATATCCTGAAAACCTACCCAAGATAGATTTTGCTTTTTACAAAAGTAGATTAGGTAGTCTTCCTATGATAGACCAGTTCGAGAAATCGGTAAGTAAATAATTAAGTATCTTATAAGGAGTATATACTTTTAGTAGGCATGATTTACAAGACCATAAGGCAAGAAATATAGGTACATATACCAGGATCTGTCCACCACCTGTATTATATACATCAGTATAAACAAGGGTTGTAAGTAAAATTTGGTGAACTAGGTCTACTGTACAGGTTCTGAAATCTACATTGACCTGTTAAATCCTCATTTCCGTAAAGATGTCTGGAACTCTTGTCGGCACCAATACATGGTTCACAACATGTGTACACAAATCAAACAGTTCACTAATTCTACCAGATACTAGTCAGTACTTTTATCAAAGCTGATTTTAAAATCTGATTAATATTGTTTTATTCTTGTATAATGGAGGCTTACATTTAGATATCTATTTGTTTTCAGTACGGGAGTTTAGAAATCAAGTATCCACAGGATAAAAATAATTTGATTAAAGCTATTGAAGCTGAAAGAGAGGCAGCTGTAAGTTTTCATTTCCAATTCCCTGATTAAGGATGTGGATCTTTAGTATTATATATATACTCTTCAAAAAAAGTAAGGGATATTGAAATGCAAATACCTATGCAGGTTGTGATATGATAAATAGTCATGGACACTTGACATGCTTGAGAGTATGTTCACATATGAAGAACTTATCGCCTCAACAGAACCACCGAGCTGCACATGCGACACACAATAGCGCCATACATGTGGGAGGGGTTCATTGTCAAATTTGACACTTCAAGGAAGGGTTGATGAAAACTGCCGTATGCTGGTTTATCCTATCCATGTTTGCTTTCCTAAAGGTTCTTGCATAAGATTTACTGGTTAGCGTATCTTTGCTTTAGTGTGTTATGTTTAATTTGATCAGGAGATGTGTTCGTCAGTGTCAACCGACAACACTGCAAGAATTTGCCGTGGCACTGTAAGAGGGGTGGGTCAGATTGCCCCAAATCGTTATTGGACAGTTGATTAGGAGCATGCCACGACGAATTGCTGAATATCTGAGGATTGGTGGAGCAATTACTCATTATTAAGACAAAAATTAAAAAGGTCCATTTTCACTATTGACAGTGTATTGCTCTGTGAGTGAAATGAGCCGTCAGATAAGCTGCCCATATGAACGGATTGTAAATTCCTGAATTATGGCCCCTGATTGTACGGAAAATCACATTTTTAGCTTGTAGTCCCTCTAGAGGTCACAATGGTTAGCACGTGCGCGCTGTATCATAAGGTCTGCCGTCGAGTCAACTGGCTTGGTTTCGATTCCCTGGTTGTACGTGACAAGGAGTATGGTCGCCTGTCCAAGCTCGTGGGTTTTCTCCGGGTCCTCCGGTTTTCTCCCGCTGCTAAAGACCCCTACGCGCAAGCGAATTATTGAAATAAAATTGCACGATGTGTTAGTCCCGAAATGACCTAGTTTGTGTCGAGTGGACTTAAACTCCATTTCTCTCTATCTCTTTATTGTATCATACATTGGGTTTGGGTTCACTATCAAATATGCAATATTCGCTATAATATGTTTCTTTTTTATGTTAGTTTTCAGTAGCTCTTAAAATATTAAATATCTTTATTAGAAGCACACAAAACATACTGGGTACGGTATTCAAAGATAAGTCATTTGGGTTTGTATTGTAATTTTAACAAACATATTTTTTTTTCACAGGAAGCACAATCTAAACAGTATATAACAGGTCTACAGAAAGATATAGAGGCTGCTAAAGCTTTGGTTAGTAAAATTTATAATAGTCAAGATGGCAACTGTTTTGGGCTTTCTTTTAATAAAAACAAGTACATTAGTATTACATGGACCAGGAACTGAGCATGATGTTATTGGAATTGTGACATATCAAAAATTGAAGTCCGTCAATCGATGCATAATTGTCCATGCCCAGTTTCATGTTGACTTTACTCATATAGGCTTTTTTTTTTTTTGATGAGTGTCGCCAGTAGGAACAACAAGAAGATGACAAGCTCTTGGGGGGGCAGGAACTTGTTCAATTACCTAGCCAGTATGTAAACATGCGAGGATAATGGGTTAAAAACACCAGTATGCCAGAATATAGGTTAATATAGAGTTTAAGACATATGCCATCACCAGTTTTATTTTTAAAAAAAAACAATTTGGCTTAAAATTATTATATCCATTCAACTGTAGCTTTTTATTGTAGGTTGACCGTTTAGATAAATTACCTCCACCAGAAGAAATGACAATGGAAATGTATAGTTACTATTTCCCCGATCAGGCATTGGATCCTGTTTCAAGACCAACATTCTATCCACACACACCTGAAACACAACCTGATCACCCTGATATGAAGTTTATTAATTAAACAAGTATGATGGTTGAGAGAACAAGTCTTATAACAGTGCTGATAAATTTGATATTTAGACAGAACTAAAATTTATTGAAGTTTATATCAGTCTTGCTGTCCAAACTAATTTTATTGTTAGTATATTATTATAGAGTAAATAATTCAATTTATTAGTTGTTTGTCTCTTTTGACTTATTCAAGAATAAGGATGCTGGTCACAATACATGGGTATATAAAAATACACTAGCTAAATGCAAATGTAATTGAATAACATCGGATTTCGAATCGTTTGATCAGAACAATGTACAGACCGGTAATCATTCCCTCCAAATATATCCTATTCACCTGCAACCAACACCCAAGTCGTGAAATATTTATATTGGTTAAAGAGGTTATTTGGGAGCCATGAGAATGGCTTGACGAAAATGGCACTGGCTCACTTCACACAATGTTCAGGTTTTGGTCATAGTGTTGGATCAAGAAAGTTCCTAGAGCTTTTCCAGCCTGTCCCCCCCCCCCTCCCCCCAATATCACTGAAAAAGTGTCTTCAATGTTAAAGGTCATTAGTCATTCTTTCGAACCACACTGGTTCAGTAACGCACTGGCTCAGTGGTGCAGAATGGTGGGGCCGACACAAGAAATATCTTTTAAGTCATTGGAATTCGATGAAGAGTAGTCATAAATGCCACTGTCCGGGTAAAATTCTGCTATTCGTTATCCAGTTCTGTGCAGAAAAGATGTTAAATATGCTTTATTGGAGGGATATGGTCCAAGAGGAGATAGTTATTTCCCGTTGCATTTTTTTTAAAAGAAACTTTATTCTTCTGACAGACACTGGTTGCTTGCAAATCAATATTTTAAAAAGAAAACGGCTAGTTAATCAATTGTAATTTTTATATATTCTGTTCATAACCACATATATACAATAAACAATTCTTTTAAAATGACATTGTCAGTTATGTATACTATTAATTTTGCATCACAGAGGCTTGAAAGACAAACTATTAAAATTGATATACAATTTCTATTCGCTGACATACAATTTCCAGTTATGCAAATACGTATGAATCTATTTACTCCACAAAAAGTAAAATTGTATTTTATAATTGATTAAAGATACATTATGGGAGATAAGATAAAGAGATGGTAGTTCTCGCTATAATAGTTAAAAACTAGATAGTGTAAAGGTAATTTGCTGAAAATTTCAGTCAAATTGATCCACTATGAGCCGAGAATGAAGCAGGTGAAATTTTTGCATAGTCTCGGTCATCATTACTAAAATCATTAATATAAACAGCATAGTCTCGATTATCCACTTTTTTTGATTTAATTATCAATGGCCGTTAGCGGCATATAGGAATCTAATCCAGCCAACATCGAAGGCTAGCCTTGACATCGAGAGTTTATTATGGTCTGGATAAGTTAATTAATGTCTAATTGATAATTTAGATAACATTTCAGGCCTAAAGAAAGACTTATAATAAGCAGATTTTTCTCTTGCATAATGCATGTTTAATAATTATCTTTTGTTATATGATACAGTAAATATATTTGCAAATTAGCTTTTAATGACAGGAAAAGAACAGGTTCTTGTCTAAGTGAAAGTTAATATGTTGAAAATTTCAGTCAAATTACTTCATTCTGAGCGGAGTTATGGTCGTGTAGTCTCAATTGTCATTGCTACAATAATAAAGAAAGTCTCGATTATCCATTAAATTATTAACTGGCAATTGTATTTAAATCCGTTGAAAATCTAAACCAACCGATGATCTAGAGAATTGATTATGAGCTTGGCATGGGAATAAATGCCTAATTAATGATTTATACATTTGCAGCCAAACGAAAGATCTGGCTCTTACATAATGCATCTTTAATTTCTTCTTGACAGAGTACATTATCTCAACATTGTTTAACTGTTAAACTTTAACCCCATGTATACCAGTAACAATAATAATATAGATTTATCAATAATTAATGAAATACAATATAGCATCCAGCTACTTGCAATGCACTCATTTACTTTTTTCAATGTCAATTGATTTCTGGGGTTATTAAAATATGCCTAAACTCTTAAACAGAAACAAAATTGCTGGTTTAACTTTTTGAGAATTCAAACTACAAGTATTGTAGGTTTGGTTTAGGCATGATAAAATGTGAATTAAGTCTTGTGAATTAAAAAAGATGTTCCTGACAATGATTTCACCAGATGTAATGAAATTCAATACCCAATGTGTCAAAAATGTATTTAACATTTTCCACTGATGCAACACACAATAATTTTCTATGCACACATTTAACAATGATCATTTATAGATCGTAACAAAAATATACACCACTATTTACATTTATAAATTATATATTCATTATTAATAAATATGCACCCACTATACATTTACATAAATTAGTTTAACTATACCAACATAGCTTATTAGGGCTACTGTTATGTATGTATATATATCCTAGTTTAATAGATTGTAGCCTAATATACAATAACTTTAATACAGTTTTTGTACTGGGTCTAAGTAATTATCATGTCAAAAGGAAATAACTGATATAATTTTGAATTGAATATTTTATCTTGTGGCCAAACATTTCTAAGCATTTCTCTTCATAGTTCTTTAAGGTCTTGAGATAGCTACTTGAGTCCTATGAACAATGTTTTGTTTAAAATTCCAAAACATAAGAATTTGGATCTAAAAGTTTTAAAGAAGAGCAACAGAGATTTATGTTGCTTTTTACTAAGAATATAAGCTGACCCATACTTCAACTCAAATTATCTGCAACTTGTTCATATTGATGTTATATACTTTGTGATTTCTGTCCATATCTGACCTACATTGTTTATCATCTAAATTATATTTAAACAGCACTTTTCAGCCCTTATGACATATTACAAAATTATTTTACATGGCCCAATATCCCTATAACACCTCTTTAAAGTAATATATTGAATCTCAAACAGACAGCTTAAATCAAGATTATGAGTTTATAAGGAATGACGTGTTAATGATACTATGCATTATATGCAAACAATAATTAGAATAACTTGATGGAGAAGCATTAGACTGTGTCTTGAAATATCTTTCCATACAATGAATTTATGATTTCTTTCCTCAATGGATTGATGGTGCTATGTAAATGTGTATAAGTTATGAAATAAAAAAGAACATGCTATGCTCAATGGAGAGCCATTAGACTATGCCATGAAATATCTTTCAATATTATGAATTTATGATTTTTTATATCAATGGTCTCATAGGTCTATAAAAATATGTGATTTCCTTTGAAAAAAAAAAAAGATCTGATATGGTTCAACTTTTAAAAATCTGAAACAACATTTAAGAAAAAACACCCAAGAATATTCTGTGCCAATTTTTCCCACTATCATCTGTTTTGCGTATTTTTATCCACAATAATTTTAACAGTATTCAGCTTCATATAAATATATAATAGTCAGTAACGATATATTCATATCACATAGGTAACACAAAATTTGATTCAACTGGTTACTCATTATAAACATGATTAATACACATTTATTCATACTGGATAATTGTATAGATCTATTTCTTGATATTTGGTGGAATCCTCTAACATTCTCTTGCAGCCCACATAGTAAAACTATTTCTCCGAGTCTATATGAGAACGAACTATTTTCTAAGTTTATGAAATATGTTGGACGATATCTCATTTAGTAAGAAGATGATTTATCTGAAATTAAAATAATACAATATATAACTACATGTATAAAGAAAACATTATATTTTTGTGTTTATTTTTTCTAACTCTATTCCCAGCTCACACTCAGTCACACCTCATTGAAAACAAGGTGACTATGCATATTCATCTGGTCGTATGTCTTATTTATACTGCCAACATTTTTTTACTCTTTATATTTTGATTAGAAAGCATAAGTTAAAATTTGAGAATCTGACACTTTTATGATCGTGATGTAATCTGATTGAGTGACTTCGTGTTTACGGTCTTGACACCAGGGATAAGTTAATTACATGGAATAAAATAATACTTGTATATAATCCTAGTGCCAAGTGAAGTGCTATGATTAAAGTATGCAAGAGTATTTTACATATTAAATGCCCTATATGATATTCACCAAAACCTGCCACCGCCCATAACTGGAATATATACTAATGTCCAAAAGAAAGTATACACACTAAAAATATGTGATAAAACTACACTGAATATGTCTCGTGCGTCCAAACTCAATATTTCTAACCAAATAAAAGGCAAAACAAATGGACATTGTACCTAAATACCGCATACAATGGAAAAATGACTTTGTTTGAAGCAGGACGAAATGCTCAGTGTATACTTTCTTTTGGACATTAGTATGATCAATAGTCTGTGAGTAACCATTGTATATATTTATTGATATAAATATATTTGTACCTGTTGTTTATACATTTCTTTAACATCTTCTAAATCTAGCCGTAACTCTTCTGTTTCTTCTACTTTCTCACCATACATTTGTAATATAGCATTATATCTACCATCTAATTCCTAAAAAATTAAATGTGACATGTAATGAAATATGAAATGGCTACAATGACTGTAATATGACAAAGAGGCAAAGAAGGCTAAGCGTTCGGTTTGTTTTTCCAAATGCACCAAAATAAATAGTTGCTGTCCTCACAATATAAGGAATTATTATGCCAAGTTCCAAGATGAACCATTCAGAATTGCGTCCTGTAAACAGTAAACAGAAAAATTGGACGTGACTCTGCCCCTGAGGTCGGGACATGCATCAAAATCGCCGTCCTTAGGCTATAAGCAACACTTATGACAAGTTCCAAGTTGATCCTGTGGCCTGTAGGCAACACATTGAAAAAAAAAAAAGGGTGTGGCTCTTCCCCTGTGGGTTGGGCATTCATCAAAAACAATAGGGATCATCCTTAGGGTATAAGGAATAAGTATGCATAGTTTCAAGAGGTACCATCTTTCGCTTCTTCACCAACCAGGGTATTACCCTGAGAGAGATAAAGATGGGCATACACAATGCTGTGTGCAATAAGGGAAATTTTGCCCAGGCAGTGGCACTGGACTACTCTTATTTTGATTTCCAACTGCTGTGGGATCTTAAACGTGCCGCAAATGGTATACACATGTGACTTGTCAAGGCTTCCATCCTGCACCGTTAAAACAGGGAAATTAGGCTGGAAACTCAAGAGTTAATTAAGAATAGAAAGTGGCATCAGGTGTTCTAGAGTCAGCATACCTTGCCTCCTGCATGGCATATGATCCTACATGTAGACTTGGATTTCATGTATAAGTACCTTAAAGTTTGTAAGTAATTCTGGATATTCTTTTAATTGGTCTTGTAATTCTTCATTATGATTGGTCAGATTTACGAGTTCTTTAGCCATAGATTCTCTGGTTCTTTCTAACTGTGTTATTTCACTCTGTTAATATTAACAGAATATTTTATATATTGTCATGGTTCTCCTCTGTATTACAAGTAAATATTTATACATGTATTGCCAGGTTTCATTAAATTTGAATGGAATGAAATGGGGTTAATGCCTTTCTTTTCTGCACCAACTGGGCTAATCAAGACGGGCACACGCCCCAACAGCAGAGTTTCTGTTTATTCTTCATTGAATTCTAACTGTCAAGTGTTCTTTTACATACACACCAATGAGTACACAGGTGGACTAAACACTTATTCATTGCCAGGCCATCCATTATGCACCACTGACAAGTAAAAACAAGGCAGGTAATTCCAGAGTACTCGGACAACACCAGGATGGAACCCAGGTTCTTCTAGTTAGTACATGTAATTCAATTTGGTCTATAAGATTACATTTTGTGTACTTCTTCAAATATTTGAAAACAAATAAATAACAATGTGACAATGACTGGCCTCAAAAAGAATACCCCCATCAATGGCTTTACCGTCTGTGCTATCTACGAAATAGATTTACCTGTAATTGAACTATTTCACCTTCTCTAAGTTTTAATTGTGATTGTAAACCTTCTATTAAAGCTGTAGCACCCGAATGTCGTAATTGTTCATATAGAGATATTTTATTACTGTTGTTAGGTGGTGATAATATTAGACTTCTTTCTAATAGATCTTCCTGTAATTCAAATCAATTGTGTAAAAGTACATGTCTATTCACTGAAATAGTCTATTTCTAAACAGGAGCACAAGCTTTAACAGTCAAAATGTGAATGGAAAGATAATTCAGCTAAATGTGGTTAAAATATACAATCCGTATATTATTAATACTTCATTTGTATTAATTTCTTATTATGTAAGGCCCAGTTTTAAAAATAATGACCTTGATGGTCAAGGCTATAGCATACTTTTAAAGAACTAGCCCATATTTGGGACAATGAACAATTATCAAAATATACATTAATATTCTCCAGTCTACTGTGTATTATTAACAAAATAACTTACAGAGAATATACACGATATAACCCTCATGTTGTAAGATAGTTCATAATTGTTTTCTTAATTAAATGTTAAACGATCAATTTGAAACTGGGGGTGGATTTTCTTGTTCTTTAATAATTGGTAGATTTTGATGTGAACATTTCAATATCCCTTGCTTAACTACATTTTGAGCAGTATAATACAAACTCTACTGGATGATAAATACCTGAGGTAAAGATCATATAAACTATAGTTAATGATAAATACCTGAGGTAAAGATAAGAAAGATGGAGGTTGGTCTGTAAAACTGGCGATACTCTCTTGTCTAGATACAGATATAGGTGATGGTGTTCCACGAGATTTAGGTCTTTCTCTTTCCTAAAACACATAAAAAGTTGTTATTTTCTTACTAATCTTTTATGAATGGCCACACAAATATTCAAGTAATTGTTCATGTTTAATCAAACTAATTCTTGTGTATTCATAATTCAATGTCAGTTAAACAAAACAGAATTAAATCAGTTTGTTTGTCTCAAATAGGATATCTTTAATATATCAATTTAATGAAATCAACTAAGAAAACCCCCCAAAAAACTCAAAATTAGACAAGGAAAATATGTTGATTTGAAAAATTCATATTTCTAATAATCTGAAAATCCACCTAAAAGAATCCAAAAATAGATGATATGCATGCAATTGAATCTTTAAATAGCTTCAGAATACAGACTTCTGCTGATAACATATTCATTGATAAGTGTGTCTGATAGAAAAAGTTACATACTAGAATTTTTATCTGTTCTTCTGCTAAAGCTAATTTTCTTTTTTCAGATTCCAATTTGTTTTTCTCCATTTCTATTTGACTTTCTAAAAACACCTGCAAACAAAATAAATATAGAGTTTATTACTGATTTAACACATCAGAGTTCAATATGGCAAATCATAAGAATTTTTGTACCATCCAAATGACTAGGCAATGTTCCTTTCCAGATCCACCCATTCAGCACCACTGACAAGGGGAAATCAGCCATGAAAATCCAGAGAAACTTTCTTGTCCAACACCCACACTGAACCAGGAACCTCTACCAGTGAGTTAGTCATAGACCCACCATAGCTCAAAAACAATAAAGATCATTTTTTAGAACTATTTATATATCAGAGTGCATACATATAGTCTAAATATTGTCAATAAATAAACTAAATGATATTAATTTTCATTATTTCAGTGAAAATTTTAGACTTACCTTGTCTCTCTTTAATTCAGTTATTTCTTTAGCCGCCTGATTTTTAATGGCTTCTATATGAGCTGTTTCACTGTTGGATTAAATTACATCTTAATTACAGCCCCATACATTTGATCAAAACATATTTTAGTAAATTCTATTAACATATTTATAATTATTGTCCAGATGGAGAATTAGTGTGCTACTTAAAACCAGTTCTTAGAAAGGCAATTAACCTATCCCTGATGTCATTCATTCTGTATGATGTATAAACATGTTAACCAATCAGATTGTGTCATTGTCTGTTGTCAGGCCGTAAAATTGATGCCACATTCTCTGACAATCTAAAAATTTAGAACATTCTGCCAGACGAATATGGGGGCTTTCTATTACTAAAATATGGTTTAAAGCATCAGTTTCACCACCTTTTACTAATAGATGGTTAAAGGCATCAGTTTCACCATCTATTTCTAATATATGGTTAAAGGCATCAGTTACACCATCCTATACTAATATATGGTTAAAGGCATCAGTTTCACCATCTATTACTAATATATGGTTAAAGGCATCAGTTACACCATCCTATACTAATATATGGTTAAAGGCATCAGTTTCACCACCTTTTACTAATATATGGTTAAAGGCATCAGTTACACCATACTATACTAATATATGGTTAAAGGCATAAGTTTCACCATCTATTACTAAAATATGGTTAAAGGCATCAGTTTCACCACCTTTTACTAATATATGGTTAAAGTAATCAGTTTCACCATACTTTTTATTACAAAAATATACTGGATAATAGTCTTGTGAAACTAAATATGTACATACTTTTGTTTGGCTTCCTCTAACAACTCTATTTTTGCTTTATCCATTCCACTTTGAACAGTTAAGTGTGATTTTTCTTGTTTTAATCGTGAATTTTGTGTTTCTAGGGATGTTATTTTACTTGTTATATCTATCAGTTTTTCAGTAGCTGTTCTTTCTTTTTCTACAGCAATAGCTAACTGATTCTGAGTATCAGCTGGAAGAAAGCAAAATAAAGTTTTTTTTTTAACAATTATACGATTTCAGTATCATCTATTTTTAAAAGTAACTATGATTATAATGTGCAACTTTAAACTCCTTACAGTACATAATTGCAGCAGATAATTCAAATTATTACTCACAATTTTAAAATGTTTAAAATTTTATGGACTACATGTAGTAGATTATCTTTGTTTTTGACCTGTTGACTGTCGCAATAAAAAGATTCCAAAACAAACACATCATATTCAATAAAAATGTAATTTGATTATTCACCTAAATCAAATAGTGTTTTTTCTAAAGAACTAATTTAAAGTAGCTAAGTCTCTAACTCAATATCATCCAAAATCTTTGGCATTGAAAACACGATTTATTTGTCAATTTAAATCAACATTGATGTTGTGATCTTACGGTGAAAAGATGGGCTTCTGACATCCAATAATTAAGACAAAATAAACGTAGAAAGAGGCTAGATATATTCTACAAGTCATGTCGAACGGTGACGTCATATTCTTATCTGGAGAGCATGCGCAATAAATACTATCAGTATAGAGTGTAATAACCACACACTAGAGATTGCCATTGGATTGAGACTTCTGGCGTATTTCGCGGAACATAACTGATTAGAAATTGCAGTAAAAACAGAAACGATTGAATGTAAATCAGTTTATATACATTCACATTACATTATTATATGTGTTGCGACCCATTTGTGTCAATTTCTAGATCCAAAATATTAGCGAATTAGCTCCTTTAAACTATTTTCCATAGTAATTTCAATCAAGTAAGATATTAATACTATCACTTACTTAATCTATCTGTTAAATTTTTTTCTACTTTTTCAAATGATGCAGCTTGTGATTTATAAGATGCTTGAAGGTTTTCTATCTGTCGTAATAAAGGTCTTGTGGCTGAAATAAAGGTATGATCATAAAAGAGAAGTTATACATATACTTCTTTTTGGTAAAATTGTTGTATTTTCTTTCTTGGTGTCATCCAGACAACTAGCATTATATATCCATTTAAACTAATAAGATATTGTCCACAAAGGATTAAAATTATATATGGATCACCTTGGATTAATTCTAACTCTCTATCTTAAAACATATATGCAATGCAAATGTTTGAATAGACACTTACTAGAGGAAACATTCTGTGATAATTCTTGATTTCTTTCTTCATCAGCTTGCATTTGCTATAAATAATAACAGTTCTGATATTGAAAAGTATAAAAGATTTAAAACTATATTATTAAAACAAGAATGTGGTCTAAGGGGTTTTAGCAGGAGTTATTTCCGATGGATTAATAAAATGCAATCAAATAATACTAACAAAGATGTGGTCAAAGGGGAGATAATATTGTGTTAGCGACATTTAGGAGGAGTTATTTCCCTTTATTCTATTTGTAATGATTTTCCATGCGATATCTTCAAGCTTACAAATTGGCTAACATATTTTTATACTTACAAATTGTAAATCTGCTATTTCTTGTCTCAACATGTCTTCCTTTCTACTATGTTCTTTTTCTAATCTTGACATACTAATTCTTAAATCTTCAATCTAAAAATAATATATTAATAGAAAGTGAACAGTACAATAATCTTCTTCTGTGCACATATTATTTTTTTTATAGTTTTATGGAAATTTTATTTAAATCAATGCCCTTATTCGTATTGATTTTTTGATTTTAAAACTCCTGATGTCAACAGACTGACTATCATCATCTGGAAACGACCATGGTCAAGTCCGGTCATATTATTGTGTCTTTCTTGTGAATCATTTTTTTTGTTTTTCATTTAGAGTGAATTCTGTATCATTACAAGCCTGGGACTGCACAGCACACTGGATGCTGACAGCTGGCCTTCGGATCCATTCACTTGATTTGCTATATGTTGTTTCAGTTCCGTTTGCGTGTAGTGCAGTCCTCCTGCATTTACTATAGATATATAGAATGCAAGATAACTGTAGAACAATTGAAGAAATGTAATGAAATAAGTGTTTAGTGTCCTATTGTTCTGCACCAATTGTGACAATAAAGACAGGCATACGTCATACAGTGTGCTATGAGTGAAATTGTGCCCGAACAGCAGAGCTAAGGCCTACTCTAATTTTGTATTCCAATTGTCACGGAACTTGAGGTTTTTCGTCCTATCTAGACTTTAGAACAAAAGAAGGACAGAATGAAAACAGTACAATTAGAATGCGTACCTTGAGTACATATAACTTAGATGGAATAAACAGAAAAATATTTATCTAAAACATCTGAAAGACAGGTAGATAAGTACCGACTGCGTAAAGTTTGACGGGTCTTAATGAACAGAAATCAAACGTCAGTGTTAAACATTCTGTCATCTAAATCATTTTTCACTAATTCCATGGTGAAATATATTTGATTGAATCCGTTGCTTTACCTGCATTATGAGACCTTCTTTCTCTTGTCTAGCTTTTAGAAATTCTTTATTCATAGTTTGTTTGGCTTCCTCGCGTACCTGCATCTCTAAACTTAAAGCTATTTCACTGGCCTTACTATCTTGTGCTGCATTGGCTTTATGAAGTTCTGCTATCTCTCTACATGACAAAAAAAAATCAAAACATCAGCTTAACACAACTGGGTCATTTTATGACTAGGAACTCGCAAAAACAGAGTCGATGAACACCACTTAACTTTGATGTGCAGATATCTTGAATACCTATTTTTAACATCAATATTAAAACTCGACCTTTCTGGTGAAATATTTGTAAAACATAAGAAGTCTATTCTATTTATAAATCTGAGATTAAGAACTATTTTTTATGCTGAATTATTTTCAATAAAGGATATGATCAGTTGATTACAAATTCAAATCTCTGAACATCAGTTGTATGGCTGAACAAATCCTAACAAACATACAGAATATTGAGTAAAAAGTAATATTTACTTATAAGAATTATCAAGAGCTGTTTGTAAACTACGTATTTTATCTTGGACATCATCCTCTTCCCCCTAAAAAGAGATACATTACACATAAAATGCTGGTTTCAAAACATAGTAAAAAATGGTTGAGCTGAACATTGTAAATATGAACATTGTAAATATGAAATGAAATGAAATGGGGTTTAATGACCTACTGTTCTGCTTCGACTGGGCTAACACCATACAGTGTGCTATGAGGGAAATTCTGGCCAGACACCGGCCTTACGAACTCTCTTACATCGATTTTCACCTGTCAAGGGTTCTTTTACATGCACACCAATGCGGAACCACAATGAACTTTCTCGGCTAATACAGGGATTGAACACGGGACCACCAGGTTAGCGAGCTAGCATCTTACTCACTGAGCCACTGTGGCTCCCAATGTAAACAGGCTAGACCTCTCAGATTTGGGTAAAAATCAAAGTGTTGATATTATTATTAAGTTTTGATTTACACTGTAATGTGGATATCTGCCAATATACAAAATGTTTGGTCCATAGAGACATTGTTGGGATATAACATATTTTGTGTTCCACTACCGACAGCTTAAGCCAAAAAGAAACTACAACAGATCAGGTAGAGTTTGTTCCATCACTACATGAGATCAATCTTATTCAGCACTTAAACTAAATCAAGGGTGGGCGTGGGATTTAGCTCCTTCAACACTGTGTTGAGTTATTTTCTATTGTGAATATTATACTTGCCCTGTATTTGAGTAATTCTTTTTCTTGTTTCTGTACAGCAGCATTTAACTGATTTATAGCATCTAAAACAATAATACAAATTATATCCATGTCACACACAGTCCATAACAAATGTTCCAAATTTTTTAACCAAATACACATTAATGCCTAAATCAAATAGAATGTCTTAAAACCATCAAATATAGTTTAAAATTCAACAATGTAGTGAACATAAAACAACAAAACACTGACCTGTTTGTTTTTTCTCCAAGTCATCTTTAACATCACAGACTTTCCTTAGATGATCTAATTCTTTGGTCATATCGTCTATTTTAGACCTGAATGAACAATTAAATACATTTATACAGTTTGTAGAGAGAGAGAGAGAGAGAGGTTTAACGTACACTCACCACAAACTAGGTCATTTTGGGACTAACATATGGTTCAATCTTGTTTCAATAATTCGCTTGCATTTAAGGGTCTTTAGATGTGGGAGGAAACCAGAGGACCCACAGAAAAACCATGAGGTTGGACAGATGATCCTACTCCTTGTCAGTTACAAGTGGGGAAATGAAATCATGTCACTTGACTCAATGACAGACTGTATGATACAACGCGTTAACCATACAGCTACCCAACCCTCCAGTTTGAAGAGAGAGAGAGAGAGAGAAATGGGTTTTAACATCCACTCGACACAAACTAGGTCATTTTGGGACTAACATATGTTGTTTTTTTTTAAATTTTATTTACATAATTTGCTTGCGCGTAGGGGTCTTTAGCAGTGGGAGGCAACCGGAGGACCCAGAGAAAACCCACGAGGTTGGACAGGCGCCCCTACTCCTTGCCACGTACAACCAGGGATTTGAAACCACGCCAGTCGACTCAATGCAGTTTGAAGAGACTGCAGTAGTCAAAAAGTAGGGGCACTGGGCACGGGGGTGGGGGGGGGGGGGACACTCTGGCATGTCTTTCTTCTCCTTGTGCCATAAATTGTTTTTTTAGCCATTTCATGACAAAATAATCACTTAATATCAGTTATTATCTGATGATAACATTATCCTGTAAGATATTTTATATATAAGTTTAAACTAAACATACTTTTGAGATGTGATCAAAATGTCATTTTCTTTTTCTTTAGAACGTAATTTCTTGATGATATTGTTACTCTGTAGTTGTTGTTTCGACAGTTTTTCTCCTATAAATATCAGATAAGATTTAAGATTATTGAATCAACATATTAAATGTAACATTACTGATGTGAGATTTCAAAAGCCGCCTTCTTCTACAGATAGGAGCTGTTGTAATTGAGAGGTAAGGGCACTAGATTCTCTATTGAAGTGTTTCGGGTTCGAATCTCAGTATGTGGGGGTTGGGTGGAGGACTATCTCAGGATTTTTCAAGCCTAGTTCCAACTTGTCATGTGTAGTGTCTACGGGCCTGACAAGTAAAGTGTTGCCTATTTATGCAGATGAGGAGAAATAAAACCCCATTCTATTCTGCTTCAGATTAAACAATATTACATGTGAATAACAAAACACATCTTCTACTAATAAGAGTCAATGCTGCCATGTTAACCCTTGTCATCACTTCTATTTAGTTTGTTTTATTTAACCCAATGAATATTCAGAAGTTAATTATAATAGGTCTACATTCACCAGCCATGAATGTATCTGAATAGTAAACTTAGTTGTGGTGTCAATACTATAGAATCATGGTGAACACAAGAAACCACTTTATTCCTACCTTCTAATAACAACTCATTTATCTGTTCATCTTTTTCTTCTATTAACTTGAGATGACTTCGATCAGAAATTCTGGAAACATTAAAATAATTTCAGTTTCTGATCAGAAATAATTTAGACATATAATCTATAACTCTTGCTTAAAAACTCAGCTTTTCAAAATTCTTTATAAAACAAATAACATTATATAGTTTTGTATGCGCTATGAGTATGTTTTGTGAATTTGGCGCTATATAAATGGATATATTATCATTATTATTATGTGTATCTACAAAATATTGAAAAGACAGGTTGCCAGGCAACGAAACATACGCCCACAACAGCTAAGTCGTCCGAGCAGTCAGCAAGAGTTGTCGTATATTTTTTCAATTGTCGGTAATGAAACATTTATCATACACTAAAATCATATTAAGAGTAACAACTCATTAAGTAATTATCAGAGAATCGTTAGAATTTGTTTAGCTTTTAGTTCTGCCCCATGGCAACGTTTAGTATACGAAACATTTAATATCATGGATTTAGCTGTTCATTGAAAATCAATATATTTGTTCATCAAGACCTTAAACTCTGTGTATCAATCTAAAGTCAATCAGATGATAACTTTAGCCTCTAGAGTGTCCACAAGATATTTTTAAGTAATCAAGGGCCATAACTCTGACAGTAATTATCGGTTATCATTGAAAATCAATAGGATTCTTTGCCTCATGACCTTAAACACTGTGTATAAATTTAAAGTCAATCGAATATTAACTTTAGCCTCTAGAGCGTCCACAAGATTTTTCAAAGTGATCAAGGGCCATAACTCTGGCAGTAATTATCGGAAATCACTGAAAATCAAAAGGCTTCTTTGACTCATGAAATTAAACACTGTGTATAAATTTAAAGTCAATCGGATATAAACTTTAGCCTCTAGAGCACCCACAAGATATTTTGAAGTGATCAAGGGCCATAACTCTGACAGTAATTATCGGATATTGTTGAAAATCAATAGGATTCTTTGCCTCATGAACTTAAACACTGTGTATAAATTTAAAGTCAATCGGATATTAACTTTAGCCTCTAGAGCATCCACATAATTTTTCAAAGTGATCAAGGGCCATAACTCTGGCAGTAATTATTGAAAATTGCTGAAAATCAATAAGCTTCTTTGACTCTTAAACAATGTGTATAAACTTAAAGTCAGTGGACGCCGGACGGGGGCGACGACAATATATGACCACATTTCAATGTGGGCGTATAAAAACTATCAAATTCTATACAATGTGGGCGTATAAAAACTATCAAATTCTATACAAATACAACCGTGAAAGATTGACAAACATGAATGCAAAAAAACAAACATACGAACACATTTCAATGTGGGCGTATAAAAACTATCAAATTCTATACAAATACAACGGGGAAAAATTGACAAACCTGAATGCAAAAAAAAACATCAAACGGGGAGGGGGGATTTGTATGTGTGCATATAAAAATTAAGGACTTACTTTTTGTTTAATTCATCTTGTACTGTACTGAGCTGTTTCTTTATATTATCTCTTTCCTTTAATAGAAATAAAATAAATAATAAATTCTAATAAATTTACATTATTTAATGAAGACTGCTTCCAAATGATAAAAACTTAAAATGGCATGGTTGGATATTTATCGGTGATCAATCAGAGAACCAGGTAGAATTTGTTATACATGTGTATATCAATATTTCAGATTTCTGGCCTTTTTAAAGGGGCACCAAACATATTCCTGCAAATTGCTGCTATCGCTGTATTATCTTAAAGAAAGTAACACCTGTTGAGTTAATCACAACACCAACTACTACTATATGATTTTCAGGAACTGAAGAAAGGTTTTATTTTTTACCGTATCTTCTTGCATTATATAAGAGAATAACTAACCTTTATTACACTTGTTAATTTTTTCTCTCCTTCCGTTATACGCCGTTTAAATTCTTCCGTTAATGTATCTACATCTACCATCTTAGCTTCATGAGCCTCTTCTGATTGCTGTAACTGACTGTAAAAACAAAAAAAAATGCAATATTGAGTCACAATATAGCAGGACATGAATTATATAATGTGTAACTCTTTATCTGCTTAGTACATGAAGCCATACATCAGGAAAACTCAAAAGTCAACTTTTGTATACATCTAACAAATATTTGTAGATTTTCTATAACCTACTTTCTTAAAATACTGTTAGTTTCTAATAAATCATTATTTTCTTTACTGAGGTGGACCAATTTATTTTCTCTTGCTTGAAGAACTTCAGCCATTTCTGCCAACTTCTGTAAGAGATAAATTAAAGCAATAACATTAATGGATGAAACACCTTACAAACAACACCTTTGATTCCACTAACAGGGAGTTGCGGTGTTGACTGAGAAAGTTCCTCTGGATTCTCGGGCATGGTTTCCCCCTTGTCAGTGGTGCAGGGCGAAGTGAATGACAAGGAAGAGTGTCTGGTTATTCAGAAAGGATGAAAAACCTAAGGTCCTGTGTACACACTAGTATGTACTTAAAAGAACCTTTGATAGTTGGAATTTGAAATAAGAGTAAGCCATAGTGCTGCTTTAGTCCAAATTTTCCCTCAAAGCACACTGTATCGAGTATGCCCGACTTCACTAGACTGGTCAGTGCTGAAAAGTAGGAAGTTAAATCTCATTTCATTTCAGAAAAGTAGGACATTATTCCCCGTTTCTTTTCAATTCGTTCACTAACAAGGCCTTTTTCTGTTCATCAATACCTGCATGTATGGATAATATCTTATAATTCGTTAATTAAATCATTTCAAGATCTAGTGTAAAGGAAAAAATGACAACCAAATATATTGAGAGGCAATGAAACCACAAGTACGAAATATCTAACACTTGTTTAGACTCTATTCAGCATTGTTACAAAGATCAAATACTGCAAATGGTGATCAGATATACATCAAAACTCATCTGGATATTCATTTCTTGACTTGCACATGTACTTTGCTCAGGATGAAAATGAAATGGGGTTTAACATCCTACTGTTCTGCTCTGACTGGGCTAATGAAGACTGAGTTCAGGAAGATGATTCATGTGCAGGTTTATCACCGATTGATGTTAACGCATGATCAACATGCCAGGTGTGATTAAAGCACAGAGGAATCAAGCTATCAAATTTCTTGGGAACACTGTTTAATGTTGAACAAGCTAATGTTTTAGTTAACATGTAACCTGCATCCCTTTTGTAGACCATTTGTCTTGTTTTATCTTGTTTATATTGTATGTACATGTACATGATGTATGTTTGTAACTTGTGACATGTTATTGCTGTATTATCTTTCTGTAAGAAGCATGGAGGAATAATAATTATATATAATTTAATGTAAGCAGGACATTTAATATCACAGAGACTCTGTTTTATTGGTATAATACAATATGTTGCACTGTCATAAATAATGTTTTAAATATCAATATGTGATCAAATAGTAATTTCTCGAACAGTTTAAAGTTTACCATTTACAGAGGCAACATGACAGGATGCCAATAAAACAATTTTATTATTCATATAACACAAAAATAGGCACTGAAGAAAGGAGTTATTTTGATAGAAATCTTGAAAATGTTTTAAGTAATTGAAAGCATTAAACCTACCGGTACATAAAGACTGTTTCATCTGACATAACAGACATGGATACAGGATGGGGGAAAAGGGGCATGTAGAGGTTTACAGCCCTCCGACCCTTTTCTATTGAAATTTTGTTTCTTCTTTTATTCCTTCATTACATGAGGAACACTTGTTGGGATTAACACTATTATCAATATACTGTCCTCATCAATTTATTTGTTAATTATGTATAAACTTGCAATATCCCTATTCTTCATTCATTTATTCACCTTTACTATTGATGAAACAATGGGATCTATATTTTTGGCATATCCGTAATTACATAATAATGAAGCTTCTAAGTGAAAGTATAGATTTCTATGTTTGGGTTACAAAAATCACTGGAAAAGGTCATAAAATTGTTTGCATTCCTACAATAATAATTTGGTCTGCAAATCCCTACACACTTTTCAAAAATCCTGTATCCACACCTGTCTAAGTAATCTTATTTCTTGGAAAAAAACAAATAGCATATCTAGATGTTAGAATTTAGTTTCAAAAAGTTAGTTTAGTAAAACACAAATAACAGATATTGATCTTTAAAAAAGGCTTGATTGGTCGATCAAGATATCAAAATCAATACCAATACTTAATATTTTGATGTTACTTCTTGACCTTGTGGGGACCTTTTTTTTTGAAAAGGTGTGTATATTGAGTAGCCTAAATTGGGGACCTGCTAATCAAATTAAAGGGCCACCTCATTTTGTTCATGCAAGTCAGAATACGTAATAACAGACAATGAACATTAAAACATAACACAATCAGATAAATTCTATCAACGGATATTACCTTAATTAACTGCTGATCTTGTTTTTGAGCAGTCTGAAAATCAGCATGCATTAAATACATAAAAATAACTACATATGTATACATACTAATATACCTGTACTTAAAATCATAATAGTTATCTATATTTCACATGAATTCAATCTCAGGATTGAGGATGTTATTGTTATGCAAATTTTTTTATATTCATTTTCTTGTTGTAAATAGTATGTATACATACTAATATACAGGTACTTAAAAAATTATAATCTACAAAAAGACTATAAATAATTATCTATATTTCACATGAGTTAGCTCTCGGGGTTGACAATTTTACAATGTAGGTCTATGCAAATTTTTTATATTCATTTTGTTGTTGTAAATATTCAAAATAATTTTTCATCCTTTAATAAACAATCCAATCAATCATTTTTTTTGTAACATTTTTAGGTAAAATGTAGTGCATCTCATATACAAGACAAATTTGCTAATTTTTTATTTTGATATTATCTATATAAACATAAAGACAGTATATTAAAATATTTGCATACGTGCAGTTAGCAAAAAGCATTTTAAATTGATTTGATCGCTTTTATTAAGTTCTGCTGACAAAAACAAATTAAGATACCGATTTCAAATGTGCCCAATCAAATTTGTATATTACTTGCTTAGTAATTTTGTGTAGCTTTTAAAATCAAAGCAAAATACAATAGTTTGGCTTATAGTCCAGGCAAGATAGCAAAAGTGCGGGCAGTTGCTGCAATAGAAATGCCGATCACGGTTTATGGTCGGTATATTATGACCAAAAAAAGTCCCAGTCCGAAATCCGTGTCCAAATGGGTCAAATTGGCCAAAATCCAAAATGGCCACCGCTTTTGGCTTGTAAATTCCAATTTCCACCCAATTATCACAATATGATCGAGTTTGGTATCAAAATATACGTTTTCGGGGTAACTGAATCCATTTCCATACACATTTTTGTGATAAATGTTACCACCGAGTCAATATTAGGGGTTATTCAAGATGGTAGTCAGTTTTGGCGGGAAAATTCGAATTTTACATAAGGATCAAGTTTGGTGTCAAAATATATGTTTTCGAGGTAGCTGAATCTATTTTTGTACATATTTTAGTGATTAAGTGATTGCCTGTGTCAATATAGGAGACATTCCAATTTGGGATTTAGATTTCCGATTAGGGATTGGAGATTAATGATACTCCTACCTTAGACCTAATACAATGACTTTCATCCAGTATCAAACTAAATTTCATTTGGAGTGTCTCCCACTTCACTGCGGTAGCAGCATAGGGGTATGTCGACTGGGGTCATTCTCGGGTCACTGCGGAAGCTGGTTCTGCCTTTTGAAGCACATGGTACAAAATGATTCAGATGTTGAGACAGATGGATACAGTATCGCCTGCTTGTCAGATATGTAGTGAACCATTTAACAATGAACAACCCATAGTTATTGGTCAATGTTTTAAGGTTAATGAAGTGGAAAAGTCTGTATCCAGGTCTAGAGGGTCCGCCGTGCCAAAATTCATTTTCGCGGACCGTTGTCTTTTACACGGTCTGTAGGAAAGACTAGCAGACATATATAATCGGTGACCGCTGTTACAACAGTAAACAGTAGAACGCGCAATGCCTATTTTTTGGACAAACCAAGACAGTTCAAATGACGACTTGACATTAATCTGGTTGTATTTAATAAATCAGCATTGAGGCTGGTGTCCCTAAATTGCCGGTTAGCATACTCAGGGCCAATAAGCAAACCGTCACAACAAATGACATTTAATGTCACCAGTAACTTCCTTGGCCTGGCTTAAAGTGTATTTTGATCGTCGTCTCGTTCTTGGGGTTGTCAGTCTACTTCCTACTCCCTACCCCTACCCTCATCAGGGAACAGAATCGAATGAAACTTGGCAGGTACCCTTTGTAAGGAATACCAGTCCCTTTTGTTGCTTGTTTTTCTTTACTCACAGGTCGTTTAGTTCTTGATTGCAGCTAACTATGTTCATGTTCGGATCTTAATCATAATCCCTTAACCAACTGTCAATGTATGGTATGTCATGGCATATACGTCAAATCGCTTCTACCATGTGCCACAGAATTCAAATTTTCCCCGATCCTACCCCCTCCTAAAGTGCCTTAAGTTTGGTCTGCCTACCCTCGGAGGCCCTAGCACGCCCTTGGCTTATTGTTGAACTTAGTCATGACTTTACACCAAGTTTTATTCTGTCTTAAATTCTATGCCATTGAAATTGGTATCTCCGCTCATTACTGAACGTAAGCCAGGAATCTTAATCGGCTCAATATTGTCGGCCTCCAATACCCGTTATCTTTCCGTCATTTTGGGAATGACGATGGGCAGTTCACTGCATACCTCACAAACAGGCGATATTGTATCCATCTGTGTCTCAACATTTGAATCATTTTCTTAAATAAATTCGCCACGTGCTTCAATAGGTTTGGCCATCTTGGCTCAATTTTCGAGGTTGGTGATCGAAATCGGACACACCCACGACACTGCGTCCACAGTGGGCTGAGAGTGACCCCTTTCATCATGTCTGCTACGCTGCTTCCCTAGTGAGCAGTGGTCGACCAGAGCGTCTAAATGAAATTTAGTTGATGCTTGATGAATGCCATCGTATTAGATCTCAGGCGGACTCGACCACTTGTAATCCCCAAATATCCAATGGGATTTCCCATTATTTTGACCCAGGGGAACCAGTTAATTACCAAGATGACAAAAATGTGTCAAAAATGAGATCAGCTGCCTCCAAAACATATATTTTGACACCAAATGTGGTAATTTTGTAAAATTCGAATTTTCCCGCCAAAACTGGCCGCCATCTGGAATTAGTTCCCAATATTTACTCCGCGGTATAACTAATCACCAAAATGTGTATGGGAATGGATCCAGCTACCTCGAAAGGATATATTTTGGTGATAATATACGCCTAGACCGACCATAAAACGTGGTCAGCATTTCTATTGCAGCAACTGCCTGAAATGGTGCGAAATTGAGTTAAAATGTCAGGAATGCTATTTCAAAATTTTGCTCGTCAGACATGTATAGGTACTAAGTAGACCAAAGGTTAAATATATGTACATGTATATATACTAAGTAGACCCAATAATGTAATGCTTAATATGAACAATTTTACAACTGACCAGACAAACATTTAGTGCATTGATAGAAATTGGTGTAAATTTAATAAAACAACATCTACACACACACACACTTCAAATTGTATACTACTCAGCTCATGAATATTCAATTTAACTATACACAAAACACACACACACAAAAAAAAAGAGGAATTGACCAATTTAAACAATTGCAGTAGGATTGTGCAACAATGAAGTAAATGATGGGACATATCTCTTCCTGGAGAGAAAATCAGTAATGCACAGCTATCCTGGTCTCATTTTCAGCTTGACTTACCGGTAATTGTGAAACATAGTATTGTTAAGGTTATGAATTGAATAATCCCAATTGCTAATGTTTGAAGATTTAAATGTGTGTACTACTGTGAGTGAAGGAAAAGAGGTTCTAACTCTAACCCTACAGAAATATTACAGGGTAAGGTTTATAAGATTAAGTTAGTAAGTGGATGTGGCACTAAATTTGATTTCCTGGCAACAAGCTACTTGTACTACAGCAAAAAAGAGTTATCCCTGAATTACTTAAATTAAATATCCTATGAAAAAAAAAGAACCGTAATTGTATTCTAATCCATAGAATCGTGTCCTGTAATGCCATTGAAACTATCTGTTTTAATCAGAGTTGTTTTGTATCCCTGATCAATCTATGTGCTTGTTTGTTTCTCATAAGTTTTTTTTAAAAAAAAATTAGCTATATACTAACTCTTGTATTGCTATAGTTTTCAAACGGAAGATTATTGGTGATAATGATGTGACCAACAATATGCATGTAAGGTTGAGGACAAGTGTTAAATTACATATTCATGTGTACACCCAAAGAAAAATGAATTAATTTCACCACAATGAGGAAGTCTTTTATTGTACAGGTACTTGACCTGGCCCATATTCCTCTGAATTGTTAAAATGGAAATAAAGCAACCAGAGAAATGATATCAGCTCCATTCTTTCTGTAAAAGACTTACAGAAAATAAAACTATTCACAAAAACTTTCAGGATACTATCCTTTCAATGACAAAGAACTACAAAGCATGCCCAGATTTTAGCTCTTTGCCAATAAAAAGAAAAAATCCTCACAGTATAGACTGCCATTAATTTGTAGGTATCTTGATACATGGATATTTATACTACAGCAGAAAGAAAGAGTGGTAGGAAAAAAAGCACCACAAAGCAGGTTATTGCCACCCACAAATACTTACCTTTAATAACTTTTCAGTTTGATATGGATTACTACCACTCTCTTCTGATACTACTGATAATTCTGGTGCCCTGTGTCCTAAAATATACAACAGAAGCCTTAAATACATGTACACCAGTAAGGACATACATGTACTTGTACTAAGAAATCATAAAGTTTTAAATCAAAAAAATGACAAAAAGACAATATCAGCTTCATGGCAAGACAATAATAATCAACTAATGTGCAATCATGTGTAATTGGCGATAAATTCATTGATCATCATTTGAGTCATTTTGAATCCTTTGTCAACTACAATATGGTGATGGTTGAATCATTAAAAAACAGGAAAATTGCTCCAAAAATACTTCAAATCCATTAAGTATTTATAAAGATATCTTGAACTGAAAATTTCACAACATTCATCATTTGATGCAGATAATATAATCAAGCCAGTGCCCTCTAATAAGAGTGTTAGGTAAAATCTTTTGATGGGCCCTTTCTTAATCTAATTGAATCAAAGCGGGGGATTATCTACATTTTTCCTTTTGATATTTTGGTTCTATTTTCTTAATTGAATACATTTTACAGTAGATTAGGCAATGACAAATGAGATTTAGAACATCAGAAATATTTAGCAAGTCACATTAGGTTGTACAGCAATGACGTGCTTCTGCATTTGCCATCAAAGAATAAACTCTGTTTTATAAGAGTAAAAATATTGTAATGATTATAACTACATGCTACTCTGTATATCTTACTGAGTTCATCTTGTGATGGTCTTCTATGATGTTCTGTATCATAATCATCACCTGAGTCAATATCTTGTCTTTCTAAGCTATCTCTCCCTGGACTCATCTGATCACTTTCCCCAGCTTTACTATATGTACTAGAACTAGACTGACTATCAGATCGTCTATGGGATGTACTTCCGCGTTGGACTGTTTTTTGTAAGGCTATTCGAAGGGGAGATAAATCAAAGAGTTTATATTCACCATTAGGTGTTGGAGCTGATATAATTTCAATGTCTGAGGAAGTTGTTGTTTCTATTTCATCACTGCTTTCATGACCACTTTTATCATTTTCAGATTCAAATTTTGAACTTTCAGATTTTTCACCATTGGAATGTCCGTCACTACCAGAATCATCTGGTCTAGATGTGTCCTCCATTGCTTCTTCAATCATGCACTTAACAAAAGAACCTCCAAGACTTTCATAACTTTGTTCTAACATGCCCTGATTATTTACCCCCTCACTGGTTTCACCAATATCTTGTGGATCAACTATGGTATCTCCGGAGGTACCTGTCTCCACACTACTATCCAACTTACTACTATCACACAATGATTCACAGTTTTGCACATCCATATTTACATTTTGTTCAGTGTCATCAAGAACACTGTCACTCGTATTTATATCACAATGTATATCAGTAATGCTATCATTTTTTGAGAGTTTTTCTGTACCTGCATCGACAGGCACTTCTTGATGAATGCCATCTGAAGGATCAATGGGAATATGTTCCTGCAACAGTGGGGAATCATCTTCTTCAATGAGTGATGTCTGCTGATAATCAGTTCCTGATAAAGTTAATATTGTGGTATCAGATGCTGAGAGAGGATCTGTAGTTTCCACTACAGAATCCATATCAGATGTAGAAGAAGGTTCAGTTAAAGGATTGTCTTCTTTGAGAAGGTGATCAATGGGTGAGGAATTATATGAGTTTGATTCTGTGGCAGAACAAACTTCTATACTGTTGGTTGAGCTACAGTAAGATTTTTCTAATTGGTTCATTTCAGATTCGGCGCTTATTTCAATAGTTTTGTCTGAATCAACTATTGTCATTGACTGTTCAGTCACCGATTCTATATTGGAGTCTTCAGACAAATCTTTCGATTCAGAAACATCAGACTCTTCCACTTTTATGTCAGTAAACAAGCTATCTGAAATATCAGTTCTGTTTATTTCTTTGTCTGTAACAGATAAATCTTGATCATCAGAAACGGTTAAAGTGTTTTCAGAAGCTAGGTTATCATCAAATTTATTAAAAACTACAGTTGGTTTGTTTACTGATTCGTCCTGCACTACATCTTTTTCAAATTTTTGCTCCGATTCCGGATCAGTTAAAGGAAACAATTCACAATCATTTTTCTGTACAGGTTCCTTTGCACTACTTAGCTCTGATTCTATTTCACTTTTCTTCATTAATTCTTTATCACTTTTCTGGGCTGATTCATTTTTGCTCTTTTGTCCTAAGCCTTTGTCACAAGTATGAGCCAAGTCTATTTCACTCTTCATTGCCAAGTCTTTTTCACTTTTCATTACCAACTCTTTTTCCCTTTGCAGTACACTAACAGCTTCTGTTGCTGTATTGGTATCCTCTTTACCATTCCCTTTAGAACTAACGGACCCCCAAGAACTAATGCTGCTGTTTCCATCATCCTCAACACCACCCCAACTAAATCCCCACCCCCCAAATGAAGAATCCTCCTTCTTAGGAGGGGTAGTCACTTTCTGTATATTTGTTCTAGGCGAGGATGATTTAGATTGGGGTTTGATACGTTCATCTGATGATTTTCTACTCAGTGGAAGCTGTTTATCTCTCTCACTGGCTGATTTCTTGGTTTTTATTTTGGATGACTCATCCTTCGAAATTGGTTGAAGATCTCCAGACTTTGGACTGGGGGCTACACCTGCTTTCTGTTTATCTGTTGCATCACTAGCTGCTGGTAACCATGAATTCCAGAATTCAGAGCTTGGTTCCTCAGATTTTGGTGTTGATGTGCCTGGAAAATAAATAAATACACACTACATTGTGACCAATCACTCCAACACTAAACCCAAACCCAACAGTATTAACCATATTTGCTCAGTTTTAAAAACACAGTAATTCACCCAAAAATGTGACATTGTTTACCAATGCAAGCAATTATTCAATAATTCCAGGTGTTCTTTAATGTAAATATGTAAAACAACATCAATTAAGACAACAACACTCCATTAAAATGATCTAATTTGATCTAGTAACTTATGGTGTCTCAAAACATTGCTGCACATTTTGAATCTTCCAATATCGCATATAGTTACATCAGACAATTAAAACATGGCTCCATATTGATGGATAATATATTTGAAATAATTACTTGGACTTTCAACTTTCGGTTTAGCAGGCTGTCCCCCTTCATCAATATCAAGTACTTTATCGATTTTCTGTTGGGCATTTTTTATGGCCTGAGACGCCAGGTCAGTCCACCCGCTTGCCTTCCACCAACTCATTCTCCGGTGTTTTGTTTGGATCTAAATTTACAAGTGTTTTTTACATCTAAATAATATCAATAACCATATGGCATCTTCACACACAGCTTCACTGCAAAAATAAACCAGATGTATTAAATGTATTAAAGAACTCATACTTCTCTTGATTCATACCTTTTGTTTAAAAATTTTATTTTGACTTTTCAACAAATATGTACATGTAGTTGTTATATCTTCAGGAGCTGCAGTGGCTCAGTGAGTAAGATGTTGGCTCTCTAACCCAGAGGTCCTGATTTCGATCCCAGGTGCACTGAGAAAGTTCACAAGGATTTTCCGACATGGTTCCCCGGTCCCCCCTGTCAGTTGTGCAGGACGGAGGGCCTAGCAAGGGACAAAGTATAGTTGTTTGTATGGTATGGAAAACCAAGACCCTGCGTACACATTGGTGTGCACATAATAGAACCCTCGACCGTTGAAATTCGAAATAAGATTAGGCTGTTGTGCCGCCATGCAGACAAAATTTCCCTCATATGGCGTATGCCCATCTTCATTAGCACAGTCTGTGCAGGGTATTGGAGGTATACAGACAACTCATCCTAAAGACAACTCATCCCAAGTTAGAAGACAACTCATCCCAACTTTAAAACATGGGTCAAGAAGTAAGACAACTCATCTCTACAAAATAAAAGAGTCCTTTTATTTCAAAAAGTCAATTTAAAACATGCTTATAAAAAATCGCTGTCGTGAGAAGAGAGGGCAGGTCATATTCTCCCTTCGTCATAATAAAAGAACAGGTTAAAACAGGGGGTCCATCTTACTGAAATTGCCGTCATTAGTGTGGATAGAAAAATGTGATCAATAAAATACAATATTTGTTGTGGTATATTTATTTGTGATCTTCATAACTTGGTCCGAGTGGTCATATATCTTGACCCATGTTTTAAAACAAACAAAACTATTTTGCGATGAGTGTTTCTTTTTTTTTAGGTTGGGATTAGTAGTCTTTTATTTTGAGATGAGTTGTCTTCTAATTTGGGATGAGATGTCTTAAATTGGGATGAGTTGTCTTTGGGATGAGTTGTCAGGTATTCCTGTGCAGAACAGTATTAAATATGGTAAACTGCTGCTAAAATTCCATATAAAGAACAATATAAATGAAAAATATGTATCAATGTTTAATTCCACAATCATCACTTTTATTCTATTGAGTTGTAAATATTTGGGCTGTAAAACCATTTAAGTTAGAAGCCAAGTGGTGTAGCCCCTTATGTACAAGGACAATAAAAACCTGACCTCTCTGCATATTGGCATCAGGAAATTATGATAAAATGATAGTCTTTTGCTTGTCAATATCTCTCAGCATAGTAACAGAAAAGTATCAAAGGATGCCCATGGGAATAACATGAATACACCCTGACTTTGCCTTAAAAATGTGGATGTGTAGATGTGAACATGCAATGTCTTCAGGCCAACAAAGTAATAGGCTTGTTGACAGACCGCTTGGTAGTACATGTGAAGTATTATAACACTAACAACAGTACAGTGTTGCAATGAAAGATCACTGGGCATAGGTAGGCTGCCCCACCATAAATAAATATCTCCAAATATCTCGACAATTACACCACAATATACACCAAGCCTTAAATCAGCTTCAAACATTTATAGTCACTAAATAAACGGTCATGCTGTACTTGATAAGCCATGACCATTTAATCATCCATAAATAATACACTGAAAGATGGTTCCGAGTGTCGGACATAACATCCAAGCACATGTGAGTAAAAAATAGGTTACATGGCCTTGTTTTGAAAGTAGTCTCGCTTAACCTGTCTACATTTGATTAAAAGGCCGGGATAATCAAGACTACTTTTTTACGAAACATAACAGAAAGCTGGAACAATAAAATGAATTTAGAAACATGCACGTTGGGCAACTCAACAATTGTTTTAAGAACCTTGTAACAGTAAAATGAAACTACTGCTAGTATCATGTTCTTGCTCAACACAAGTATTTCTGAGATATTATTTGTACTAAACCAAAAGATGCCGCTCCTAATGGTACAGTTTATGATAAAGCAATTTAAAAAATAAAACGAACATAATTTCTAAAGCTGCTGTGATAACCAATAAGCTAAATATTACTGCTATTCAGAATCGTCAACAATAGATTTTTTACGGCTGTAATGTTTGACAGATGTGTGGAGAATTGCACGTGCGACGGCTATTTATAGTATCATAGACTCTTCCGCTGTTATCATAGTGCGTAGTGTATGCGAGAAATCACTTCAAGAAAGTTCAAGATAAGCCACTGAAGCGTGTACATTCGCGGTGTCAAGACCGACTTTAAACTTTCTGTACGGTGCACGGGTCACCCTAGAATTGGCCAGTTATTTAAAATGTCTGATGTTTTATTATGTGTTATATTCGTGCAATGGGAGATTTTTTTCAACATTATTATATGTCTTGCTCAGCGTACATACATACATGTATACACACAAATCCTGCCATTCATATATTAATATATATTTTTTTTTTACAGTATAAGTATAAAAACGTCGCTACTTTGGCTCCGACCAAGACCCATTTCATGATACAGTATTGTCTTTGAAAACATACCTGTTTAATCCAGGTGAAACATGGGTGAAACTTACTAAATGTATTACAAGAAAATGAAGTAAACGACACTAGTGCATTCAATTATCAGTCGAATCAGTACGTGTTGACATTTTTATCTGAAAAGTCGGCCATGACAGATGACGTTTCATATCTCGAAGCAAACGAGAACTGGGACGTTACTTTGGAGTCAAAATATAGTTCCCTCCCTTCAATAATTAAAATCTTTCGTCGTGTCTGTGTGTGTGCGTAGTCGCCGCAGGTCAAGGCGAAGATTTTAAATATTTTGGATACATTGGATTTAATGGACACACACACACACACACACACACACACACACAAAATAAATAAAATAAAAAAAAGTAAAGAGAAAAATATCCTGATCCAAAAGTAAATGGTAAATTAAATACTCTTCTCACAGTTCAAAGAAGATTTGATGATCTGTAGACCTTGAAATGGTGTCATCAGTTAGTCTATTATTATTTAAAGGAGGCAAGTTTAAAGTAGTTTTTAAGTCTCTAACTCAATATCATCCAAAATCTTCGACAGTGAAAATACGATTTAATTATTTGTCAATTTAAATCAACATCGATGTTGTGATCCTACCCGGAAAAGATGGCCTTCTGATATCCAATATTTAAAACAAAATAAACATTTTACAATTGGTACACGAATCGTGTACCATTATGCGTTTCAGCACTACTCGTAATAAGGTACTCGAAAAACGAGGCTAGGCATATTCCACAAGTCATGTCAAACAGTGACGCTATATTCTTATCTGGAGAGCATACCCAATAATAGCCTACATCGGCGCAGACTGGAATAACCGACGCTATAGAGATTGAAATTCGATTGAGAATACTGGCGTATTTCGCAGAACCTAACTGATTAGAAATTACATTAAAAACAGAAACGATTGTATGTAAATCAATTTATATACATTCATATTACGTAATTGTATGCGTTGTGACCCATTTGTGTCAATTTCTAGGTCCCAAATATTAGCGACTTAGCTCCTTTAATTCAGTATATCGCCCACAGTCTTCATCATTGCAAACAAGAGTTTATTGGCCAATCTAAATCAACATTGATGTTGTTATATTACCGTGAAAAGATGGGCTTCTGATATCCAATATTTATGACAAAATGAAAATTTTAAAATTGGCACACGAATCGCGCGCCAGAATGCTTTCGAGCTCCATTTCTAATGAAGTGACTCGATCAACTAGGCTAAACATACCCACAAGAGAATACTACCGGGTGCAGACTGGAATGGCCAGATGCCAGAGGCTGCCATTAATTTGGACTCTCCGTGCCCGTCTTCATTAGCCCAGTATAGGAGCAGAACAGTAGGACGTTAAACCCCATTTCATTTCATTTTCATTTGTATTTCGCCAAACAACTGATTAGAAATTACCGGTAGGTCTATTACAGTTATAATAGAAACGACTGAATGTAAATCAGTTTATAAACATTCATATTGCATATGCGTTGCGACCCATTTGTGTCGTTTCTAGGCGCCAAAGAATAAGGGTTTAGCTCCTTTAAAAAGCAGCAATAAATAATCTGCAAATCTACTTTCTTTTCCGCAGGTTAAGGGCATTGACGGAATAGGTGACATTTATAGATATCACAATGTTGATTTATATACAGTACAATAAGAATAATCATACCACTATCACCCCCCCCCCCCCCCCACACACACACACATAAACACCTCCTCTCCCTGTTTTAATTTTTACCCCGCAGTTCCAGCCGCCCGGGGTCTAATCGCCCCTACCAGAAGCTTCATCAAATCCTGCCCACACATTTGTCACGTGACCCTAAGACTTCTTCACAGCAGGGATTTCACCGCCTGTCCCCAAATCTGCATCCACTGGCGACAGATAGAGTTCTGGGAAGAAGAATAAGTCAGAGGGAGATAGGTCTGGAGAACAGGCTAGGGTGAGGGAGGATCTTGAAGCCACAACCCAATACGTACAGCACTCACTGTAACTTGGGCAATATGAACTAGAACATTGTCCTGGAGCAGTCAGATAGCTTTTCTTTTCTTTGATTTGATCACACAACCTGCGTAATTCATCTGTGTAATATGCGCCATTTATGGGGGAATCCGTCTTAGATGATCTATCATGGTTACGCTTTCGGATTTAAAAAAATGACCCCCCAAAACCCCAGAGCACATGCATAATCTTGCCACTGGAAGACGTTCTTTTTAATTTTTTGGGGACTTGGTGACGTCACGTGCCACAGTTTGCAATAGTTTGACGGAGAACTTTCAGGACCATCTGCATTTAGTGAGCCAACCAGCATTTTACGCATTGAACCACCGCGACTCCTCACTGGACGTGAAACTTTAAACTATATTCAGGTACATTACTTTAAACATTTGTTTGTTTATTAAAGTTTATCAGTTTGTTTTATTCACGTGATGTATTAACCGAGATAATAATTACTAAGATAGTATTAATAGAAGTAATCAAAGGTTAGGATTGCAACACTACATTTCATCTGACCAGCATCCTTTATAAAGTACGCTTAGAGGTGGGTGGATGTTAGAAGACGTTTTCTCACAAGCGACTATATTTACCAATAATAATGTAAGTACTAAACGTTATCAGCAGGACCAATGTATATACTTATAACAATAATAATACAGTACAGTATTGTTGATACTAGCTGAAGTTCCACCAGCTCGCTTATATATCGGAAACATGCTGATCGTTAATCGCAAAAACATCAAACTACATCTATATAATTATTTTTATATGTTATTTATTCGTAAATAATGAATCCTTAGAGAAAAATACATTTTGGGAATTGTACACGCATCTTATAATATATCACAAGAGAAAAATATATGGATATATTATTTGGAATAAGTTAGATTATTGTGGATGGGAGGTATATATAAAGATAATTTGAGATAAATATTTAGGGTTTTCGGAGCACGAGAAAAATTATCTGATTGAAGACAGTAGATTAGATACGTATAAGCTATAGGCTGATGTAAAGATCGTGAAACATTTTATGTGATACATATCAAATGTCACATAATAAGAAACCCACCCCTATCATATTAGATAAATATTATATATGTAAACATGTTAATAAATAGATATTAAATGTCAAACAATGATGGTCCAGCCCCCATTATTTGTAAGAATCAAATTTAATATATAAAACATAAATTACTGATATTTGTAATAAAATGGGGACTCTTAAGGACTGTATCTATGTTAGATCTTTGGGGTTCATCAAACGTCTACACCTATTAACTAGAACATGCTTGACCATTCTCAACATAAGACATTGAAATTCTTATAAGATCATTATCCCGTTCTTGGCGACATTGTCGTTAATTAATTATATTTTCTTAATAGTGACCATGAGTTATCAACAAGGAAATTATGGACCACCCCCACCACCACAGGGACAGTTTGCTTATCAACAACAACCACAAACAGTGTAAGTATTTTGTATAATTCTTGTAATTAAACACAATAACACATAATTTGGTCTTACTTTGATTGAAGTTCTTCCATATAAGATGAGTGATAAAATTTAACATTTTTCCCAGGTAAAAATATTTTTTTGACGTCCTGACTAATCTCGTTGTAAATGGAATGGGGTTTAAATTTCCGTCGACACTTTACGTAGGTAATTTTGAGACTGACATATATCTTTTATTTCTATGATTAATTGTGCAATGTGGGATCTCCCTCGGATAGCGGCCTTTCTGCCTACTATTCTTTGAATTCCAACTGACAAGGATCTTTCAAGTAACTCTACCGAGCCCATTGTCTGCAGCACACAACCACAGTGGCATCCTCTGGTAGCATTATAGCCCGATCATTGTCTGGAAACAAAGTCACTTTAATAGTTATATTATTATACAATACGGAGATATAAATTAAACAATTTAACTATCTTCTGTTGGCAGATATGTTGTGAAAGAGAACGATCATCATCACCACCACCATGACCATCACCGTGACGAGGAAGATGCTGCTTCATGTTGTTTGTTAGCCTGTTGCTATGCTACTTTATGTTGTTGTTTCGCTGCAGCGACGGGAAATTAAATATTATAATTAGACTGTGTACATAAACCCTACACATTTTTTTTTAATTTGGGAGACGGCAAGGAGAATAACCATTTCTTAAGGAAACAACATGTCCCATTCCCACGTGTGCCAAGGAATCAAAAATGGGCATCGACACTGCCAAAATGACGAAAGTGTCCGTTAAAGTGACATATTAGGCTATTTTATACGGTTTGTGAAAAATATGAAGACGTGATTTTACGTGTATTAAATGATACAACTCTTCAATTTTGTATATAAATTATTTCATTATAAATAAAAAAATATGTACATGTATCCCATTTCTAATATAAATATATATTTAGATCCCCAAAACTCGAACTTGGTTTCTTTATAAATAGGCCTAGACAATGCAGAAGAAACGGATCAAACACAAAAACAACCCAGAACAGCACAGACAATCCAAAATTACAAAATTAATTGGCAAAGCCATCTGGAACAACATAAAACACATTGATGAAGTAACAGAATAGACCGAATTTCAAAATAAGTGGACCTGCCACACGACATTCTCTGATTAATAAGCCCATTTAAAAGTGATATCGAATGTCCAAGATTGAGTATATGCCACGATACAACAATCGTCACGATTCGAGAAAAATAAGAAGGAAAACCAGTCCCAAAAGCAACGTAAGAAATGAGTTTTTGCGATCGGGTGTAAATAATACAGTTACTACCCCTGTAAAAGAAAAACCCTTTCTAGAAAGCAGATTTTGTAAATTGCCATTTTGTCGTAAATATATAAATATGCCACATATTAATTGTTTTTAAGTAATACTTCAGGTTTACAACCCGCTATCATATTCATCTCAACATGCATCTGTACATTATTGGGAATTCGCGTAGCTAACAAAATTAATTTCACGTTTTAGACATCAAACAGGTACAAAGAAGGAGGATGCCAGCACTTTTGAGCAGGCTAATATGTGTGGCCTATGCTGACAGCACAGACAATTCTGGCTTTCGAATCTGCATATAGTTGGACTTATTCAAAAAAGAGAAAAAAGGACCTCTGGGAAACCAGTCAACTAATGAAATTCCTGCTGAAAACATAGTTTGGGAAAGAGAAACACGTATTTTAACGACAATCGTCCAGTGTGTCTGCACAGAACTATTTGGTTATGCTTGGGGTAAAGTTTTAAAAACCAGAATAAGAAAATCTGAGGTGAGATACATACAGGTGTGCTTTATCATGAGGTGTGACACAATCTAAAATTGGACGCATTGGTTTTTTTTTCAACTGTAACTTACATAGAGTAACATGTAACACAATCGGGTTTTAACCACATAATACCAAGTTTATATTGCATAATAAGTGCTGCATTTTACAGATTTCTACTAAACTGTATATAATGTGGAATTAATTCTGTATCCGGTGACCACACAGGGGAGAGAGAGAGAGAGAAATGGGGTTTAACGTCCACTCGACACAAACTAGGTCATTTCGGGACTAACATGGTTTTAATTTTATTTCAATAATTCGCTTGCGCGTAGGGGTCTTTAGCAGTGGGAGGAAACCGGAGGACCCGGAGAAAACCCACGAGTTTGGACAGGCGACCCTACTCCATGTCACGTACAACCGGGGATACGAAACCACGCCAGTCGACTCAATGACAGTCTTTATGATACAGCGCGCGCACGCTAACCATTCAGCCATTCAACCCCCCTGACCACACAGGGAATACTACCGATTGGTAAATTAGAGAATGTATAATGTTCTGGGTTTTTTTGTCATATTAATTTGGATAGGTCAGTAATGTAGGGATCTTGAGATTGAGTGATAGAATCTAAAGATTGCACCAGTTAAAAATCAAATTAGGCTAGGTTCATTTCATTTTTATACGCCAACATTTTCCCGTGGACGTATTATGTCGTCGCCCCTGTCCGTCCCTGTGCCCACCCGTTCTCATTTGGTTGTGGACCCTCAACAGGTCACAAATGTTTATCCTATTTTGAAAGACTCGTTCTTTTTTTTATATCAAAAAAGACTCGTAGGAGATTCTCTATTTATCTAAAAGATTTGGTTCCTTTTGATTATGGCACGTATTTGAGAGTTAACTTCATCGATTATTGATCCTTATTGTACGAATTTAGCAAGTAAACTTTCTACTTGTCACAATTTTTATCCGATTTTGATTCAACTTAAAATTTATGTTTATAACTCAAAAAGATCTCGGTTTCTGTCGATACTGGCGTATATAGGACCGTAACTTCATGGATTATGACCCCTGATTGTACGGAAAATCGAGTTTTTAATTTGTGGACCCCCCTTATATAAACCATTCAAATATATCACCGTTACACCATATTGACGGTTGAGTTCGAATTTCGTGACACACCCCGACAAAATGGCCGCACCGGTGTAAGGAAATAGTGTTAAAGTATGCAATACCAAGGTTGTGGACCCTCTGCAATGAGGTTACATTTTTTATCCGATTTTGATGAACCTTAAAATATATGTTTATATCAGTAGCCGTGCTTAATGAGGACACACCTGAGCCTTTGTTAGAATGTGTATGATTATAAGTATGACAGAATAGATTATAATGGTAAATCCTGTATCAGTTTTTAAATTGATTTATTTTTCAAATTCGATATGAAGCATTGACACAATGAATGCGACCTATTTAATGTCACTGTTCTCCGTTTATCTCTTGCAAAATATGAGCGTATCTTGCATGACAACCAGAATAGATTTCGTCCAATTACCTGTATTTCACGAAGAAGGCTCATGTTTATGGGACAGCAGTTAAAAGAAGGCTGTGGAAAGGTTCTAAAATGGCCCCAAGAATTTCTTTATTTTACACCAAATGATAAGGATTGCATTCTGTTCTGTTACCATATTAGATAAAATGCTTAATTTCTATTTTCTGGAATAGATGGAAAACATCTACAAGAAACTTGTTTAGTCAACCATTACTCAATATTAAAAGTCACATTAGGAGCATGGTTAAAAAAAACGTACATGTGATACACGACTTGTCAGTTTCAATAATTCAAAACTTGTACTGCAGTAGCCTAATTATAAACTCTGCTTATGGTAAAGAGATTGAAAAGAAGTAAGGTTTAGCATACTGCATATTCGATGTAGTGTTCTATGAAGAAAATGTTGCTCAATTAGCCTTAAATTCGAAGGTTATTTCATGAGCATGCCAATGAAATGAAATGAAATGAAATGAAATGGAGTTTAACGTCCTACTGTTCTGCTCCTAACCTGGGCTAATGAAGACGGGCATACGCCATACAGTGTGCTATGAGGGAAATTTTGCCCGGACAGCGGCACTACGGCCTACTCTTATATCGAATTCCAACTGCCAAGGGATCTTTTACGTGCACGCCAATGTGTACACGGGGACCTCGGTTTTTCGTCCCATCCGAACGACTAGACAGCTTTCCTTGTCAGCCCCTCCGTCCTGCATCACTGACAAGGGAGAACCAAGCCGGAAAATCTGGATGAACTTTCTCGGCCAATGCAGGGATCGAACACCCGACCTCCAGGCTAGCGAGCTAGCGTCTTACCCACTTAGCCACGTGATCCCCAGCATGCCAATGAGCATATGGGTGTGTTTCATTACACCCGAATGAGTAGAATGTTTTCCTTGTCAGGCCCCTCGTCTTACACCACTGACAATGGCAATCAAGGCTAGAAATTTTCCAGGAACTTTCTGTTTAGCTATCAATGGGATAAAACCTGGAATCTCTGGGTTAATCACTCAGCCACAATGCCCCACTTCTTATAGCAGACAGATTGAATAATAGATCCAATAATCTAACAACAACTTGCACCAAAATCAGGAGCACCCCATTGCTCTCTGTTTGGGCATTTTACTATATTCATCAATAAAAAGCATGAACTTTAAAATTGTTGGTAAATTATGTTTTAATTTCAGTTATCTATATATATAGACATGAAATGGTTAATAGATAATATATCGTATTAATTATCTCTAAAGTTTTAAAATAAAAACTGTTCCGAATTCAATCCTAAAGATATAATAAAGATCTGATTCTTTAAAAAAGATTTACAATAAATCTTGTTAAATAAAACTTAACTAAGAACTTAAACTATAAAGGCACTAAAACTCTAAAAATATTGTTGAACTTATAAAACATAATTTATTAATAAATAACTTTAAAATGTTCCACAAGAAACTTAAAAAATATGCCTAAATAATTTTCATATATGTTTTCGTAAGGTTTGATCTTTCTAGTTGTGGTTAAATGTTTAACATGCTAATTCTGATGTAGATGATGATAATGATTAAAATATAAAATAAAAATAATAATAATAGTATATACATGATAATAATGAGCATGATTACAATTTAACTTTAATTACTCATAGGAATGTCACATATATCTAAAATTATGCACACTGAAATATAAACTGAAAGGCAGTGATGTACACATAATAATTTACAAGGAGCCTGTTTCTGGAAAGCTTTTATCCAAATTAACAATTAATATAAATGCTGTGTTTAGAATAATTTACAATGTTTCTTATATTAGGTTAAAACATCTTAACTTATTATCTTTGATGACATGATTCTTTAGATCAGTTAATGCACATTATCAAAATTTGAATTCTTTTCGGCCAGCAGAAAAATAATCCTTACTCACTTGTATTTTTTTAAGGAAATAAAAGAAAACCATTAGTTACACCATGATAAACTAAAATATTCTACATATTCCCATTTTTTCAATAGTATTGATCATGATTTTCAAAAAATAATCATTGAAATTCAAAATATTTCAAACTTTATAACTGTTTTTCTCTTGTATTCCATGACAGTCTCCCATGATGATTTCATCACACCCACCCTTTCCCCTCTCTGCATTCATTCATGTAATTGCTTGAGACAGTTATATAATGCTAAATGCTATCACATGTAACTATGCACTCTCTAATCTAAGTTGCTATATTACAGTTTTATTCCTTATAATATCAGCTCATGAAAAATTACCATGATTAATATTACATTATTAAATATATCAGATACTTGTAATTTTTGTTTACATTTTGAAATATTTAGACAAATTCATCATCTGTCATATCAACTGCCACTCTCGCACAATAAACAAGTGGTTGCCATGCAAAATACGCCCATATTTTGCAAGAGGGTCCACAAGCTAAAAATGGGATTTTACATACAATCAGGGGCCATAATCCATGAAGCTACCGTCCGATACATGCCAATATCGAAAGGAAACAAGACTTTGGGATATAAACCTATATTTCAATTTTCGTCAAAATCGTATAAAAATTTTGACCTGTAGAATCTCCACAAACAAAATGGGAACAGCGGACAGACAAACAGTGACGACATAATACGTCCACATGAAAATGTAGGCATATAAAAATTTCTTAGTTGACATATATAGAAATAAATGGAAAATTTGATACAATTACAGCCTTGATAGCATGTTAATATCAGTAGGATATTATACATTACACTGGAAATTCTACATTTCATTAGATACCCTTACAACATTAAACTGACAGATGAAGTTACAATCATAATATATGTACATTTGCACTTTGACTTTCTGATGATCAAACAGAAAAATATTTAAAAATCAACAAAAAAATGTATAATTTATGCATAACAGTTCAATTATATTTTTTTATAACAAAACATTTACAACATTTAAACTGTAGAACAAAATGCCAGTTTAAAACACACTTGATTTGTTTTATTTCATAGATAAATAATATACAAATTTAATAATCAATAAATCAGAACAATAAATAATTTACTAATATATCCAACATGTTATATATATACAATGTACTGTACAATAATAAAGTTTAGATATATCATTCTAAACAATCAACAAACATAAGATAAGAAATCATTAAGTAGCAAGTTTAATAACACAGGTACAGTATATACATTTTATTAATACATCTTTTGTCATTTTTGATACACATAATAATCATTAAATAAATTATATTACAATAATAAATTCAATCAGTAGGGATGATAAACGTTAATAACATTCATTTTAAAGGATCACTGCCAATTACTGTTTTATATTCAATATTAAACAAAGGTTTTGATGAATCTCAAGGGTTGTATATAAATTCATTAAATTGAAAGTCTTAAGTACTTTTAAAAGGAAAGAAAAAGATAACCCATTCTCAATATTCAAGGGTTGACATAATTTCATTAAATTAAATGTCTTAAGTACTTTTAAAAAGGAGACAAAAAGATAACCTCTTCTCCTTATTCAGTTATACATTCAAGTCTATTAGATATTGAATATAATTTGGCACTGATCCTTAGATATGATACAATTACTATTTTATGTACATTAAATGAAACATTAAAGATATATTCCTTCAAAGGTAATTTGTTCATAAAACCAAGGATTCTAATAATAGCTGTCTAAATATCAGCCAAAAGAATAATTTAGCAGAGACAATATACCTTCACTTAAGTATTTTTTTTTAGCATTTTCCAAGATTCTATCTGGATTATTGCTAAAATTGTTTGACTTTCTAACTCATGATGTCAACAGGCAGATTATCGCCATTCAAGAGAATATCTCTGTCAAGATCGATCGCATTATTTCTGTTACGTCTTTCTTGTAAATCGTCTTTCTTGTAAATCGTTTCTTTTTTTTTTCATTTTGAGTGAAGTCTGTATCATTACAGGCCCAGGACTGTACAGTGCAGTGGACGATTACAGCTGACCCTGGATCTATTCACTTGATTTATGTTGTTTATTTCTTGCAATGTCTTTTTAGTTTATCTTGTTCGTTTTGCTTTACGTATAGTGTGGTCCTTCTTCATATACTATTAATGTCATACTTTATCATTATTTAAGAAGTTAAAATTATGTAATTTTGTTTTATGCAAAATATTTACCAAGTCAGCTGCTTCATAACTAGCTATACATGCCTGTAACAAATATAGCCAGATATAAATGACTAATATTTGGAATTCTAATCACAAATTCAATATCTTGATTCGAATGGAATATATCAATAAAATATGAAGTAATGACTTGCATAAATTGTTATATATAGATAAAGACTGAAACATAATGAATCAAATCAGTTATTAAACATGCTATCTACTTTAAAGAAGGAATTATGACATTATTATTATGCATATATCTGTATACATGTTTGTCTTTTATTACAAGCATTACAATAATACAAACAATATATAACTAATATTACAAACAAATGACATGGCAGTATAAGCCTAAACGCACAATTTGACACCATACTAATTCTATTCTAGAATTATAACTGCTGTTATCAATACATGTACATATAATAACACACTACACAGGTGATGGATTTCACTGATACAGCACCACAATGTTATCAATATAACATCTGATGTTTATTTATTATATAATCAACATTTGAAAGATGTGAAATGAATATTTATATAGGTATGGCATCTTGATCATCACGAATGTCTTTAAGTTTTTTATATACATTATATTTATTATCGGTCTTTGAAGGACTAACAGGAGGCTTGTGCATAAACTGATCCTCGATTACATTTGAATCAGAACCTGGTATTGAGTTGTAAGCAAAGTGGTCTGCTACTGGCATCCCTTGCTCATCCCAAGATCTTGTAGCAACATTGGGATCTTGATAAGAGTTATACATTATATAGCTGGGTGAACGAACAGATGCAGCACTAGAGGATGTTGCACTTTCACTACTATTACTAGCACGAGAACCAACATCACTGTCTGTTCCATTCATAAAACGATTACTATCACTTGTATACAGGAATTCCTGGTCACTGAGAGTATCATTCACATTATCTGAGTCAGCTTCTAAGTTTTGCAAGTCATCTAATGATGTTCGTACGTCTTCCTCACTGATGTATAAAACAGGTAACGGACTCTGATCATCCTCAGTATCACTGTCAGAATCACTTTGTAGAAGAGGATTTCGGTCAGTAATGGGACTCGGCACTTCATCGGGAAAGTCATTCATGACGTGAACATCAATGACACCTGGTGTTTGATCAGCATAATTAGTATCAGCATCCTCTTCTGCTAGCTCCATTGGATAATCAATCTCATCCAAGGACATGTCAGCTTCTTTGGGAACAGAGAAAAGTGGTGGATTTTGCATAGTTATATTTGCTTCCCTGTCAGTGGGTGTGCTCCCAGAAAACTCAAGACCCTTACTCCATGTGGAATCTGGTTCAGATCGAGATCTCGTGGGCTGATTTTTAGATGACCTTTTTGCTTCATTTTCTGGAGCTTCATCCAGAGACACAGCTTTAAGACGTGAACGAGAACCACGAGCTGCTCTGCTGCGGTTGGAAGGTGGAATATTATTGAGTGGGATTGCTTGAACTTTTTCAATTGAGTTGGTTACTGGGGTCTCAATCAAACTGGTTTCATTGTGCGTTTCTATACAGGGGTAAATCTGTGCCAAGGAATTCCCAGTTTGTGTGTTCTGAAATAAGGAAATAAGAAAATAAATATGTCTGTCATGTTAATATTTAATAAAGCAAAAGACAAATATGCTCTTGTCTTTGAGTATTCAAAATTCCTTTGATCATATACTCTTCAAAAAAAGAAACGCATAGTGACATTTCGTTGTCGGTATACACTCGCTCTACCATCGCCTCTTTGCAACACAAACTGCGACTCATCGCTGAATTCTCCAGCGTTGCTGTGGCCATACCCTGTGTGTCTGAACCCATTGAAGTCGGATTTGACGGTGACAGCGTATTTCGAAACAGCAGTTCTAAAGGATAGTCTCTGGCTCGAAATCGGGTTTCACGTAGGCATTTACAGACTGTTGGTCTGAGATCCTACGACATCCAGGAATTACTGCTGCAGTAGAAGTCACTGTTATGAACCGTTTCCGCAAATGACGCAACCGGATGTGATGACCCAGAACAGGTTGGATAAATCTTGTTTGGCCTGAGCTTGGATTGTTGATCTTCGCTGTTGGTACCTATCCCAAAGGCGAGAAATGGTACTCTGGGAAACTTGCAGCAGCCTGGCTACATCTGTCTGGGATTCACCTGCTTGTGACCAGACCGATAGCGTTGTTGAGTGTTTACATGTGCAACTGATTTTGAAACCGAGAACCCCAGGATTTTAAAGGCCTTAGATTTGGGTTTCATGCGAAAATCTTGCAAAGTTGTTTAACTTGCATGTCTTGGTGCAATCAAACGAAAACAAATGGGCTGTGTTTCTTTTTTTGAAGAGTATATTTGGGAACCCCTAATGAAACAACATACATATTGTTTGTAATTTTTTTTAGCACACTCAGATAAAATGCTTAAGATTGTTGTCAATCCTTTTGTCGTCAATTAAAAATCAAAAATCATAGTTGTCATCTTCTGTATAAAAAGCAATAAGCATGTGTTATATTAGTCTTGAATACAAAGACTTTCTTGGTGTATTCAGCTTCAACATGTTTACAGAGTACCAAGAATAGCTATTATAGCATGTGCACATGGTTTTATTTATAAACAGTGTCTGACAGTTATCCCTATAACATCACATGTTGTCATTGGGTTCTATGTGGAGACAATTTTGATATTGGACAAACAATCAGCATTAGCTGGACTTAATTCTCCTTCTGTATAACTGGCATGACATGTTTAAATTTAAATTAAAAATATAATAATCAGACCTTGTGAATTGTTGGTCGCATGTTTGGGGGAAAGGCTCTAGGTGGTTGACGGGGTAAATTACTATCCACATCATCCAGTAATGGTACAGATGAATCTGGAATGTTCTTCTTTGATGATCTCAAGCGCTGTCTTTTTTCCCACTTCTTACGCTGACGTCTGCCAAATAAAGAATGTAATATTTAAAATGCAATCAAACTTTTGTATAGTCATCATGAAACCATAGAGCTGTAGTCTGATATTATCTCATAGATAGACATATTTAACATGTTTAAAATTAATGGAGGCATATGTGAGTAAGATGTACCAAATAGTGAGTAAAAATTGGTAATGAAGAATCACATGTTTCTTGGATATTATGCCAGCTTACAAGGGCTCACGCTGGCTTTCAATTTTTTTCTGGCAAAATGGATAATAATTTTTATATTAAAAAAAGGTAATATTTGTTTTTCGCCAACTGGAATATTTTATCTGTCAAAAATGTGTGATAAAAAAGACAACATGTAACAATTTTATTTCTCAGGTAGGTCTGTTACAAAACAATTACCGGTATATAATATCCAACAAATTACAAAATCCGTCTTTACATAATACATTAACCCAGTTTTGAGATGATTTACTAAGATCAAATTTTATTTTTGGTGATTTCAGTCTTTTAGCACACTGTATTGCACAATATATTTTCAGTATTTACACGTAAAATCTCATTCAAGTATTGCCAATTTTCTATAAATTTATGTTTTGCGTGTACACTAGGCCTATGGTTATTTTCAGGTAGCATGACTTGAGATGGGCTTTATATATATATCATTGGCAATTATCAATCAACTAATCATTAATCCAAGACAATTGGTTGGTATTACTCTTTTGACACAATCCAGATTATCATCGAGTTGATTAATTTATAGTATTCCCCCCCCTGATTGTGATTGAGGATTTTTGCAGCCAGTTCTCAAAAAGAATCGCTAGTACCCAAAAATCAAATTTGAATCGCCACTTTCATATCTTTATTGCAAATCGCGACTTTGGCGACTGACACTGACAGCGTGAGCCCTGCAACTTCTGCATGCCTAACCTACATCCTTAAAAAAACCTAATCTGTGCAGCAACAATGTAGTTGATCAAATACATCTCTGATCACACAAATGTCTATCTTCTGTATAAAAATATAAATGAAATGAAATGCAATGGGGTTTGACGTCCTACTGTTCTGCTCCTATGCTGGGCTAATGAAGACGGGCATACACCATACAGTGGGCTATGAGGGAAATTTTGCCCGGCCAGCGGCACTATCGCCTACTCTTATATCGAATTCCAACTGCCAAGTGATCTTTTACATGCATTCCAATGTATACACTGGACCTCGGTTTTTCGTCTCATCCGAAGGACTAGACAGCTGTCCTTGTCAGGCCCTCCGTCCTGCATCACTGACAAGGGGGGAACCACGCCAGGGTATAAAAATATAAAGGTATATGACAGATTATTGAAATGGGGTTTAACTTCCTACTTTTCTGCTAAATCTGGGCTTATGGACTATGTATCAGGGAATTTTTATTTGGAAAGTGGATCTACGGTTTAGTCTTATTTCGAATTCCAAAGATCAATGGTTCTTTTATGTGCATGCCAACATGTACACAGGACTTTGGCTTTCCTTGCCAGGCCATCCATCCTGCACCACGGACAAGGGGAAACCGCATCCGTAAAGCCTGAGGAACCTTCTTAGTGAGCCAGTGTCTTACTCACTCAGCCACCATGGTTCCTGTTGAATTTGTGTGATACAATGGTAACTTACTTGGACAAGAAGTAGGAAATTATACAGATGATAACAAAAAACAATATGGATATGCCAATGCCAACGATGATGAGAGTACGATCATGTAAAATCTTGGCTTGTCCTGTAAAGGGGAAAAAAATGTATAAATAAGAGTTTAAAACCATGTCTAATAAGAATTTATATTGCTTTATACAATGCATATGTATTTATTTTCAACAGTTTAAATTTACTTTAATTCTGTTCACTTTGTAATAATATCAATAAGTGTTAAATTGCATCAAAAAAATCAATCCTCAAGCATTGAAACCTATCTACTCTACTTCTATTTCTTGACAATTATTATTCTTTAACAATTTTTACTTTTTTAAATAAATAATCCCTTTTTTTATCAATATTCATATTCAATTAAATAACAATTTTTTAAATAAAGTACATTGCATTTATATCAATCGTGAGAGAGCTTTTATGTAGCCTTAAACAACAAGTCCCCACTTTAATAATTTTGTATATATAATTGAGAAGCGTTTTGAAGTGAGCAAAACAAGCGGCAAGCAACTTAGTCATTTTAAGTATATAAATTCAGTATCTTTACGGATCAAGCATTACTAAATCTAAATCAGAACAAATAAATGGGACAGAATCTGTATCAGAGACAGGGGTAACCTCAGGAGGCAATTAGGTAATTAAAATGCACAGATGACATCCTATCTATGAATGTGTTTTTATAATAATATAAGGGATAGATTAGATATTGGATTGTGAAAGAGTTTAAAGTACAACAGCTCATGTAATACAGGTAGTATTTGTATTTAAGATGTCTAGGTTTATCATGACCCAGTAATTTTAGTTGATTTTATCCTTTTCCATCTTGGCTTTATTTTATGAAAAACAAAATACCAGATCCCCTCTTATGTTATTCTTCAGAATAAATATAGGTTAACTTTCATAGTCTGACTGGGTCTAAATCACTTTCCAGTTAACCATCTTAATCTTTTATTTGTCTGTAGGCAAGCACGTTTCATAGCACCCGGACATAATAATGTTTACTACACCCCAATCCTATCTAAACACATTCTGCTTCAACTGAAAGTAACACACTCGTAACAACTGGATTTTTATTTTATATTTTAACAATTTATTCCAAGATCAACATATGTTATCAACAAGAAAGAAATGGGATATGCATCTTTCTATTTGCTTGAACAATCTGGAGAAATCTTTTAGCTTGTCTTACTGTATCATTACTGTATTGCTATACAAACAGCAAATCACAGCAATTTAAGTTGATAGTATATCTGAATATTTATTTGAAATGTCATCATCTGAGAATAGCTTCATCAAGCACAGCTATTTCTAGACAGAAGAACTATTAAAGCCTCCAGGCTAAAAGGCATTTTCCTTATCTAAATCTAACAAAAATGTGGGCAAAAATGTGCTCTTTTAATAAAAACTAGGTTTGGTGCCATCTTAATTGATTTCCATGTCTATGGCTAAAAATGAGTTATCCTTCCGTGCAGGACTGAAGTTATAAGACAGAAAAGGATGAGGTCAAATTTGCTTTTTGGCAAGTCTACTTTTTGTATGAACTGAAAGTCTATCTGATGATGATTCAATTGATGCAATTTTACAATTATCAGTTAGGACTATACAATAAATATATAAAAATAGGCCTATTGAAATAATTAAAGAGATATCACTCACACAATAAAAATGTTAATTAGAAATCAACAAGGGTTTGATGTAAATTTACAAATACACAACATGGAAAAAGAATGTGCCATGTAAAACTTTGACAGCACAGCAAACATGCAACAAGTTTGGATGCAAATATACTAATTTTTTGTTACAGAAATAATATTACAAGACTGCACCATTGATGGATTTCTGGTGACAAAAGGTAATTATTATAGGCCTGACCAAAGTGCTGCGAAGAAGAGAGGCTTTTATAATTCCTTTTTAGTATTTTTAATCGGAAATGTACTATATATATAAAAAGGAAAGACTATTGTATTCCAATACTTTTTGTATAATCGCCAAAAACAAGTTTAATGTGTAGAAAAAATAATCTCTATTTGTAAGGTCAATCAAACGCTTTTAGAAGATATACATGATATCACTGTGCTAATTCAGTTTGTACCTATTGGCAATTAACCTGAGTTACCATCCAAATCTATTAGACAAAATGATTGCCTCAGCCAAGCTCAAAATGGTCAAGGTACTTAAATTTGTCTTCATTAGCAGGTGATTCATATGCAAGAATTAGAAGCTTATTAAGCTAAAGTGTAAAATAGAATATCTTAAGATGTGAAGATCCAATAGTTAAATTCCCACTTCAGAGTGGATTTAAGTATATCTATTTGAAGTTAAGTGAATGTTAAAAGATTCTGTAATTTCAAAGTTTACTAGTAAAAAAAAGTGCTATAAAGTCTTAATAATACCTAGTATAACTGCAATAAACATTGATAAGCAGATTATATATATTTTCATAAGAACTGATATACAGATGGAAGCATTGATAGATTGTCAAAATGAAATGATGAAAATATATATTTTGGAGTTGAGAGTTAGGAATCATGCCTTTTCTAGGTATTTGGGTACAAGTTACCATAAAGAACTGGCTTAAATGCCATTCGTTGTTCATGCAATATTGAATGTTTGGACAGTGAGTTATAGTTGACGCATGCTTAGGGATTTTCCCTAAATTATTGTAGGATAGTTTTGTAAGTCCAGATTTTGCTTCATGCAAGAAAAACTCTGCAAGATCAAACTCATTGTAAGTAGAAATCCTTCATATGATTTAAAGTCAGACATTTTATATACGTACGGTTGCTTTCTCGGGTTAGCTTGTAGTTGTCCCATCGTTCGCATCGGCTACCTCCCCACTCAACAGGGCACCTATCATTGAGATCGCAAGGCTATGATACATGTACATACAGTGTGACATTACAACAAAATTTAACTAACACCATATATAGAAATAAATAAGGGAGGAATCTACAAGCCATGTAAATAACTTGTAGCTAGAAAAAACCTACAAAAAGATGAGAGTGATTAAAACAACATCATAATATTTCTAGACATTAAGAATGATGGTTGAGAAAATACTTAATAAATCTTTACCATAAATCATATATTATTTATAGGTCTGTATTTGATAGCTTACTTTTATTTAATAATAAATCAATCATACATATATACCACCAACTAACATCTTTATAAATCATGTCACCTTTTTGCTAATTACCATCTGTTTTAAGGAGCATGACATTTTTAAAAATTTGGTGGGAAAAAAGTTTTAACATGTTTCTTTTTTCTATATTAACTGGGCTATTGCAGATGGACATACACCACATGCTATTCATGAAATTTTGCCCTGACAATAGTGCTAATGCCTACTCTTAATTTGACTTTCAACAGTCAGGGGATCTTGGACGTCCTGTCTATGGTATTCACCAGACCTCTATTTATTGTCCAGACTCAATGACTAGACACTTTCCTTGCCAATCCCTCAGTCCTGCACCACTGAGATTGGTGTGAACCGGGCTGGAAAATCCTAAGGAACTTTCTCTGTCAACACCATGATCAAATCCGGGAACTTTGGTTAGCAAGCAAGTGCTATACTCAATGAGTCATTTAGTGGAGACATTTATGGAAATTTGTGGCATGGAAACAGAGATAGAATGAATGAATGTAATGGGGCTTAATGGGGCTTAACATGCAACTTTTCTGCATATACATGGCTATAATGAAAACGGGCATACAGCATACATGTACAGCAATTAATATAACTGTCAACTTGCCTTGCCTGTTGTTCAATAGTTTTCAAATGAATAAAATAAAAGGTTCTTTTACGTGCATGCTAACATGTTCACCGAACCTTAGGTTTTTGTAACCTAACAACTAGGCACTGTACTTGTCAAGCCCTACATCGGTCAGCACTGATAAGGGGGAACCAACCAGAAAAACCCAGAGGTTAAGCAGGCAACCCACATACTTCACTGGGATAAAACCCATGACTTGCATAGATAACAGGTTTTAAGTTCTACAGTGTGTGAGACGAATCTGCATTCAACAGCCCAGGACATAAAACAGAACCCAACTTTTTAATGGTGAATCCTCAAACCTCAAAAGCATCTCCCCATTTAAATTTTGACTTTTATATCCCATCTGTGATCTCAAAACGGGATATATTTCTCGAGACGGTATAGCGGGTCCATGTTTTTATTTGTGTGTAAGGACTCAGAGAGTGCAATATTAAAGTGCCTTTTCATCCGCCATTACCTGATGATTATATTATAGATTTTTGTTTTAGCAAACAATTCTCTTTTGAAAGAGATAATGGTTAACCATGTTTTTGTGGAACAAACGTAAATGCTTTTCAGAAAATTAATAAATTGGATTCAGAGAGAATGTTAACTCATCTGATTTCTCCAGATTGTTGAAAAGACCCATTTGGATAGTCAATAATTTGACTGATGATGCAATTGATTTTGATTTCAGTCTGCTTTTACAAGAGAATAGTTTCTTGTTCAAAGCATGGCATTAATGACATTGGCAGGATGTTGAAGTGTTTTGATAGCTGAAATGTCGCTAAGCAAGAATATGCTGCCCAATGATACTATTGTTCACTCAGAAAGACAAAGGTGACTTCATTTCCTGAATTTTCATAATTGACATGCCAGTTATTCTAGACTGTATCATATCCAATACACCATGTCCATGAGCAATCAGGATAACATTAGAAAATGACTTCACTTCCTGAATTTTTATAAATAATATGTAACTTCTTTTGGACTGGATTATATCCAATATGCAATGTCCTTGAGCAATCATTATAACATTAGCAATCAGCTTACATCAGGTGACAATGATATGAGACTTAATGGTGGTATAAATGATGATCGTTAAATCTATAAATGATAATTCAAATGATTTAATACATAAATTTCCATCACAAATCAAAAACCATGCACCATTATTTAACTACACAAGGAGTCTACGATATGCAGGATTACTGAACATTGTTATAATAACACATGACCAATATTATTAATGTTGGCATATAATCATCATTAATCATTAATCTGTTTGTACTAATCTATTTGGGACATGTTAATCTGTACATATATACACTGATATGGTATAATTTCTATTCCCATCTAGATCTGCTTCTATCATTACTATTTAATTACTATCAATGTTATACAATTACTGACATTAATTTTTTATATCTACGGTACATTTATCAACCCATCATTCCATTAATGTTTAAAACTATTAGGACGCTGCTTGTGCAGTGCCAGAAAGCTGTTAATAGTGTGGTTAGTACAACACAAATGTGAGCCGCGCCAGGTTTTTTTAAACTACGCTATGCATAACTTTGCGCTTCCAAAAAGAGCGCCCAATCCTTGTTCATGGCACACCAGATCACCATATCACATACAGTTATCAATTTTTAAAAACTCAATTCAAAACACAAACAATAAAAGGTAAAAAAAAAAAACCAACCCACTCTCCCAAAACTATTGGTAGGTGTTAAATTAATGTATTATTAATTGAATTATTTGAACATTCATGCAGCAAATTTAATCATTCAAAAATTAAAATTTTATAAATGTCATTTATTTTTTAATTTAAATTTTCTCAAAATGTAAAAATACCATGCACAAATTGTAAACTCACATGCTATTTATTATTAATTAACTTTGCCTGCTCTTTTTTGAAACTTATTTCAACAAACTATTCTCTCACCAACTTAATCAAGTTCTCAGATAAAGAAATGGAAAAAAAATCTACATTTTCTCTGTGTTTTGGAATCTCAGTAGAGTTAGACTACACGTTCACTATTAACATGAAAATTGAATTGTTGCAGTAGTAATTAGCATCTTATTGAAGTCGCCATAAAACATGTATGTGATCAATGGTTTCTAGCATGCCATGCACAAAGATGATAACGGGTGAGTTGGTCCAACGATAATGCTGAAAATAATGTTGCTTCCTACCAAAATCCTCAACAGCGTCTGGAGCACGCTCTTCACATCGTGGACCTATGAAATCCTTTGGACATCTGTATAGGATATAGTGATTATTAGAAGACAGAAACATTAAACCCCAAAAATAGAATAAGATACCAAAAATCCCACTCCCATTAATCAAATTTATTATCTATAATATTGATAATGTTTGTATTAAAGTGCCTGCAAAATAGACAGGGAAAAAACCCTTAAAAGGCCAAACTACAAACAAATCTCTAAGGCCATATACAAGTCTGGAAATGATGATTTTAGACATACCTGACAAAATGTCAGCCAATATTTATCATTAAAAACACAGAAAAAAGACAAATCTGAAATTGTGCCAGACAGCTGCCTTATTTCCAGACTTGGTTATACAAATAATAGTGGTTCCCAAATTTTAATATTCCATCCCTTGACATGCCATGCCAACTGAAAACCAGTGAAATTATTGTCTGAAATATTAATTTTACAACACCCTTTTTGAAAATTTTAATACAAATGCAAATATATGAAACTCAGTCAATAGACTAAATCACATTGATCTACAACATTCGAAGCTTCATATGAGATCATTTCTATCTTCCTATTATCATGTTTTTTGCTTAAATAAGATAAAGAATAAGGTTGTTAAATGGTTTTGGGAACCACTATGTCTATGTCAACTAGGACTGTTCACCAGAATCCTCTACACGTCAAATGATATCTCCTAGACTGTATTCAAATAACAGTGGTATATTGTACCAGAAACAAAACATTACATGGATCATTGATGTTGATGCTTATTACAGCCTATAATCTGCACACCAACTTGTGGAACCTATTTGTCTGTGTAATGCCTTGCCCACCATTCAGAACGAAATTTTATACTGGGCGGGGGTATTACCATATAAAGCCTGGCTTATGTCAACCAGTTTCAAGTGGTTTTATGCCCATCAAAAAAGCAACTGAGGGCAACTGAATTAGGAGCGCTCATGATAGCAATTGGACTTAGCATGTGACTGTTATTTATCACGTGATCAACAAAATAACGAATACCTTAGAAGAAGAACCCAAAATACATGGTCAGTCTTGCCACAGTTCTATTACTACATTATTGTCAACATAATTGACATTTCAAAAGTTGATGCCTTTGTTCGCTTCCATTTTGCCTGTTTATAAAGTCACATGACACATGTCTCTTATCATGTGAAGTTATTTCCATGGAAACGAGTTGCATCCAGTTGTAAAAGCGCTCATGTCCATGGCAACTAGCTGCCACTAGTTGAAGAAAGTTGCAGAAAGTTAAACATGGGCAACTGGTTTCAACTGACTGGAACTAGTTTAGAGGCGCTCAGGTCAACTTTTTTCAGTTGCATTCAGTTGAACACTGAAGAATAATAAAATTGACATGTAGAGGATATCCGTGGATTGATGTATTTGGAAAGTGATCATGGTCTACTATACTTACCTTATATTTTAATATCTACATGTATGACTAGTAGCATTTTTATTTTAAAAGATTAGTAGAAGCCATATAAAAACAACCACTCCACTTTTGTCTCAAGATTGAAATTTACAGGCATTCCTCCATAAGAATTAAAATTTGCAAAATTGGCCATAAAGGATTTAATTTCCAAGTAGGTTATTCAAAAAATTCAAAGACTTTTATATAAGGAATGCTCAGTAAAATGGGACAGCTGGTTTAACCTACACCTACATGAGAGTTTATCATCTAAATGTCAGTAAAACTACCATTTATTATATATATCATTAATCATAACTTTTCAACATTAAACAAAAAATATGAAGTTTAATGGAAAATAAATTGTGACAGTTAAATGTCCAATTTTAAATATACATGTATATATCAATAAAAAAAAATCGTTACATTATTTTTACACTAAATATTGTTTCTAGCTGTGGTAATTATTCAGTATATTACATGATAAAGCACTATGATATGCATTTTAACTTACTCGCAAAATGTGGTGTTATTAAGAGTTGGTATGTATCGACAGGTACCACCATTGAGACAATATGTCTGAATATCACACAATAAATGTTCCATCTGCTTTGGTTTAACTGAAATATAAAACATAACTCATTTCTTATTCATCTATTCAAGCCTTTGACAAAAATCTGACATTCTATATTGTAACATGAGATAAATGTAGCAGTGGTTTTTAAAATCCAAAACAAATGAACACAATGATATGGCGTTGTTTTTATGTGAAATAGCCATTCTCTATCAAAATAGTCTGTAAATCACAAACTAATTCAATTATATTTGACAAAACACATTTAACCGTTCCTACATTTGAAGCTTATCAAACATATTAACTTCATATTTGTAGCTTAATCGGAAACTTCTTTCCATATCAAAAGGTTGTGTTGCTTCGTAAATGAACTAACATTTCTAGCAAAGATAACTCACCAATGTTACTGACTTTACACTTTTTTTGGGAAGCAAGCCAATTGGTTAAACTGTGCGATTTCTCTCAATTAATAGAACCTGTACATATTGATCTGAATTCTGAATCCATGATTTGAAACACATTAAATCACCTTAATTCATCTTATATACATTAACCAAAATAGAACATTTTCAACTATGTGATCAGAGCAAAATCATACTACATCCTTAAACAGACATTATGCAAGAGCTAAATCTGCCTATTGCAGATCTTTCTTTAGGCCTTAAATGTTACATAAACTATTAATTACATGTAGTTATTAACATGACAAGACCATAATCAACCCTCGATACCATCAAATATCTCTGATATTAAGCAGATTCAAATGGTTCGGCCATTTAATGATTTAATTTAAAAATGGACATGCGAGGCTAAGATTTGAACAATTAGTACAATGGTTACAATCAATGCACACATCTTGTCAAACCTTCAATATATTCATTTTGCATTATCTATTTTTGAACTATTATAGCAAGAATAGCTATCTAAATCTTACATAATGCTTTTTTTAGGTGCACTTCAAAGATAGGATACAAAGTTAGCCTCAGCTTAATGCATGGAGCGAAAGAAAACAAGTTTAAAAAAAAATAGTCAAAAATTAGCGTTGAGAATCTGTTAAAACCTAGCCTCGGTCACCCAGAACCTCCTAGTCTTCAACGTATGAAGGGTCTGGGACCATTGTCAATATTTGACGAAAAGTTCCACTGCCCATGCGTAACTAGGAGTTTGTTTTTTTATGTTTTTGATTATCCAGTATCTTTGGCCAAGTCAAGTAAGAGTTGTGCCCCTTCCCGCAATAAATCCCATAATTCTTGCACTGATATAAACAAACATGAATCGTGATGAAGAATTAGGATTAATTAAAAAAAAACATTGATATGGCAGATGAAGAGAGAAATTTTACAATAAAAAAATAAGAGTGTTGGATATTGAACTGGCAATGCAATCAAATGGATTTTCTGAAATGGCATTCTTAATTAATTTCATGGGTGTCAACATATCTTATTAAGGACTAGTTAGCTCCCTTAGACTTTATTAATAATAATGTAAAATACCGGATAATCCAGCCAATGACCTATTATTCTCAAATGTTGACAATGCATCCAGACTAATATTCATAGAATATTTTCTGGATGAAAGGACTAGTTGAAACCCTATGAATTTAGTCATCTTAATACTAAAATGAAAACACCAGATCCTTAAAGTGCCCTTCAAAGATAGGATACCTTAACAAAAGAGTATAAATTATCCCCGTTTAAGTTCAACCAAAAAAATAAAGTTGAGGGTCTGTTAAAGTCCCTTGAATTTTATTTCCATGATACTAAACTGATCACATTGTTCTTAGTTTCAACCTCATTACTGTAAGTGGGGAAAATTGTACAAATGACATTTACCAGTAATGAACATATGTTCATAATGAAGAAGAACAGAGCGTGCATATCATCATCATTCATATCTAACTCTAAAAGATTGCTTTATTATTTTGTTCTTTGATAACCAGATTTTCTAGGAACAAGATTTTTAAAAACGTCCCTCTGACATCAGAAAGTGATGATAGAGAATAAATATGATTGAAGGAAAATATTTGTTGATTATGGTAAGGTGCTATAAGATAGTCTACAGCTGGAGATCAGAGAGTACAAATTAAACCACCAACGTCAAACTCTTGTTATTCGCTGTTCTGATCTGGTTCTTCCTATTTTACTGAGAAACCTGATCGGAAGATTGTCTACTTTTAATCCAACATTCAGATTTCATGGTAACCAAGACCCACCAAAGGCAACCACACAGTATGTTTTATGAGAGCCAAAAAACACAAGGTAAAAGAAAATTCAAACCACAGCATCCCATAATGAAACAAGTCTCGGGTCAAACTAACATATTGATATGATAAACATGTTGGAATCATTTTTTCCAATTTTACAACATGTGGCTTTAATAACTACCTCTACTTCTGCCTACAAAAAACATTCTCCATGAAATCGTAAGCCCAAAAATAATAAATAAATCATTAAAAATGCTGAAGCTGCTATGATATGACGATTAACAAAAAAGCATTATATAATTCTTCCGAATAAATCTGACAATAATGTTTATTAAAATTACTTATCATGCAAGATAAACATGATTTATCAATTAATATTAACAGACAGAATACAGTATAATAATCAATTTTATTTTGAAAAAAAAAATCAGCCTGACTCACTTATAAACATTCTCACCATTTAAATCTCCATGGAGCACTTTACTCAAATAAGCAGACACAGTCTGGGGCAACATTTGTCACCTTTGTCAGACTTAAAAGTAAACTTCAATGGAATTGATATGTTAATGGACTTCATATTTGTTAGATAAAAGTGACAAAAAATTCATAAAATCTTCAACTTGAAAAGTTTGTAAATTTTGTACTGAGGAAATTGGAATTTTATAAATATTGTCTGGCAAATTTAATTTCCCAAGAGACCATTGTCAGGAATTTCGATATCAGAATAATAATGTTTTATTAGAGAAAATTCATTCCCCAAAAAGAGCAATCAAAATCACTTTAATATAAAGAATTAAGTTCGTAATTGATAAAATCTCAGTAAAAAGATAGGCCACTTATTGAAATATTTTTTTTTTACATTATCTTTGGGAGCGAAAAGGTAAATGCTTAATGGTTGGTATCAAATCATACCTTGAAGTTTATATACGTTGGAACAATAATCTAGAGTAATCAACTGTATCCATTTTATTCAAATTACATCAAAAGGTGCACAGAACAGATTTTTGAAGCTTTGTGAAGCAGACAGATGATCTGTCTAGATATCTGGTAAAAAGTTAATGAAATGATTTCCTCCTTTCACAACATGTCTACATGCATGTATATTTCTAAGTAATACCTCACTACACACACAAATCATAAACTGACTCCAGACTAAACAAAATCTTTTTTTTTTAAAAAAACAGAATCAACTATATCCTACCCCAAAATTTAAATTAACTCAAAATTCAACTATCCTCATTTTTTGTGAGTGTGTAATAACAAATATTGCTTGAATTTCAAGATGTTTAGACCAGATAAATCAAATCTATCAACTTAATCTTTTCAAATTTTGCCAATATATTGTAAAACGTGTACACCTTTACTGTTCTTATCGCTCAGAAAGCTGTAATGGTCTAGAAAAACTGCAGGGGTTTAGTTAGTTATAGACAGTGGGTTCTCAACAAGTGTTCTTGTGAACCCCCAGTATTTGTTTTTCAAAATAAATAAATAAATTTGATAAATACAACTTATTAAGGAATATCGTAAGGAGAGTGAGAAATAGTATTCAGTCATCACAGCTAGGTCAATTTTCAGACCAAAATATCAACTAATTTCATGTTCTTTTATAGCTAACAAAGCTACATCTTGGTAAATACCATATTCATAGGTAAAATACCTAAGACTTGTAGAACTTTACCTTAGACCTGCAAGCCACCAACCTCTCAAGAAGCATGAGGACATTGTGCAATGACTATACAAGCTGAATGTACTCGAAAGTTACAATCATATTACTTTGTGAACTCAGCCTCAACCAATTCAATAAAAGAAGGTAATTCTACATCTGTTCTTCATAGATAAAACCATAAGTTGATGATTAGAAGTTTAATAACTCACCAGTAGTATTACACATCCTTAATTATAAGATGATTACAACAACTTGATGATACATTAACAATTTCCCAATTTTTATATAAAAAGAGTAAAACTTATAGTCATCTCCACCATCTGTAGAACGGGTGACCTTATCTATATAATAATATTTTTCATTATTTATTTTATATGTGAAACAAAAATGCCTGCAGGATATCAAACATTGATAATAAGTATGATAATATTCAAATTATTTTGTATGTTCCCAATTACCAATTATTAATTTATATCTATTTCATATATACGGGTGTATAAATCATACTACACAAGCAAAAAGAAAATCAGCAGACCAAGTCATTGTATCCTTAGATTTATACTTGACTTTAATAAGATCATACTGAATATCCAAATATCAATTTCCATGATAAAACTGTGTAATATTATCCAACCAAACTTAACTATTTAAAATGATTAATTTTTCTTGAATTCAAATAAGAAGGTATCAATGCACAATTATCCTAAAAACAAACTATGATACAAATGTTAAAAGAGGAAAACAAGCAACACACATTTTATTTTTATGTTTGTCTTGTTAGCATGTTTATTTTGGAGTAAAAAGCAACTACACATCATTAATTTACAGTTATTATTATATAATGTTAATAAAAATATAACAATTACCAGTACTTAATATATGTTTATATTAAGTCCATTCAGGTATATTGTTTAGTTCTTGGTAATGTACATTTTATATACTTGTTTAAAGCAAATATTGCTTTTTTGCTAAAATGAAAATCTTTTATATATAAATGAAGAAACCATGTGAAAATAACATACATATGAAATAAATATCAAAAACATGAGCTGTACATTGTGTGAACAGTTGTAAAATTACTGTACATGAATATTTTATGAGTGTTTTATAGTCAAGATAAATGTCACAATAAACATCTTTTACGGACTTTCTCTTTCTTGCTTTATTCATAAACATT